AAGGACTGCGATTTAGTCTAATAGACCAATCAAGTTGCATGGTTGAGGAAAATGACTAGAAGAACGATCGAAGTACTGCGAGGCTCCGAAGACATATCAAATGAATGTCAAAGAGTCCTGACGTAGAAAATATTGAAGAATGCAATTAAATGAATACTATGTGTAACTCCCTTGATTGAGTATAGGCACAATGGGTGTCTATTGAAAGAGAGAAGCAATTAGTTTAATCCAGATGAATCAGATTGATAGGATTAGAATCGAGGAGAGCTGATTTGCCTCCGGACGAGATGACAAACGATCGAAGTAAGTGTTGAACCGCAATGACAGTTGAACACCATTCGAGTCATTCTCTAAAAACAATTAAATTAAATGAATATTGAAGTACCTACCTATGTTTGGAGGTATACTAGAATCTTGGAACCAATATGGACCAAATAAGGACATGTAGATTCAAATTAAATGGTATCTGACTGAGTGTAGAAGTTTCCTTGCGGTTCCGAACGTTTATTGTATTAAATTAATTGTACTATGCGACTCTATATTCTGTATGTATAAATAGCGATCCGATGTATCTGGAATACAAGTGATTTTGGGACGACGTTGCAGTGCTAATCCGTAAAAAGGAAAGACACACTCCCGCCAGACTGAAACCTCTTCGCTAGCAGCCATTCGGGCCCGGCACTTGTGAGTATAGGAACGTCGTGTTCTGCTCCTTGTGACTGCGAGAAGTCTATCCAGTTGTTGGGTATTCTTTGAACTTAGGATCAGTCGTTGGTCTTAAGGGCAAATCACGCTGTGTGGTTGTGCCAGCACATAGTTCTAGCCCTCTGTAGGGGTCTGTGTGTTTCGGTTTTAATTTACTTTGATTCAAACCCCCAATTCTTGATATACCCAAATCAATACAAACCAAAGCACAAATTGTGCTAAATCTACCTTGATCAAAGGAATATATCGAATCCTTAGAACGATTCAAATTGATTGATCAAAGCTTCGTACTTAGCTCTCAAAGCTTTGCGGAACCTTTGCCAACGCTACCCCTTGCTATTAAATAAATTTGATAGCAGTGAACTCGCATATTGTGTATTAGATTGGTTGGTTGGAGTGCCCATTAGATTCCTTCCTTTCTCTTTCACACAAAAACGAGGCAAGCTCGTTATCGGTTTCGGCCTTGCACCTTTGGGTTACTCGGATAGCGATTGGGCTTCCTGTCTAGTGACTCGTCGATCTACTGCTGGCTACGTTTTTTTCATGGGTGGTGCTCCAGTGTCCTGGGCATCGAAGAGACAGGGCTCGGTTGCATTGTCTACAGTGGAGGCTGAGTATATTGGGCTCTCGAAAGCTTGTCAGCAAGCCTGCTGGCTTCGATCATTTATTCAAGAGATTGACCTTCCGCTTAGTGGTCCGACTCTCCTCCATGGCGACAACTTTGGTTCTGTGTCACTGTCAGAGGAACCGAGGAATCATTCACTTATCAAACACATTGACATGCGTGAACATTACATCAGGGAAAGAGTGAAGGATGGAAGTGTGAAGGTAATCCGTGTTCGGAGTGGAGAAAATGTTGCAGACATCACGACGAAGGCTCTTTCGGGGACTACGCATGCTCGAATCATTCAAATGCTTAATCTGGATCATACGCAGTAGGGGGGGTGTTGGACTGGTACTCCGTATGCTCAGCTTTGTCCTGTGCGACCCTTCCGGCCACCGATTCTAACTTACCCCTATATTTCTCGATTACCATATAATATTCGATACATGATTTTATACTCCCTCAGTTGTTTCTCTTATCAACTGAGGTGAGATTACTTATTTCTTTTCTTAGTCCTTAGTCTTACTCAAGTACTATAGGTTATCACTCAACAGGTATATAGATATAATATTGTTGTTTCTCTTATCAACTGAGGTTATCACTCAACATGACGTTGATAGATGACAAAGTGGCTGAATTTGAATGGACACTCTTTGTCAATGCATTGTCCAAAGTCCGAACTATGACTGCATTTGAGCTTCGAATGCAAGGAGGGCATTGGTATACACAGGTGTTGAAAGTTTTGAATGCAGGACCGCAACTTCAAATGCTGAAGTCTGTCTTTAGGGGAATTTGGTATCAGCAAATCCACGTACATTGAAAGAATGAGTTACAATGTGTACTGATAATATCCACAATAGGCTAATGATGAAGTGGTTGACATTTTTGTTGAACTATTGACACGACTGGAGAACATTCAAGAGATAGTGGTGATGGTGACAAGTCCCGATGCAATTTCCGATGCAGTGAATTATGCATTAGAGCTTATTAGCAGCAAATTTCGAGGGGATTTGATTGGCTGAGAACAGCTCCAACCAATTCAGTTCACGTCAAAAAGTGATTTTGCTAATGAGCTCTATTGACAAAAGTAGGTGTACCAAGGAGAACACAGATGAGGGTCACTGTTTACAACTCGACTGAAAGAAAGGCAATAGCAAAGTGGGATGGAGTCATTTTAAGAGATAATGTGCGTTTGAAAGGATTTGTGCAATGCGGTGAATATTTAACGTTAAGAAGATTGGTCAGGTAGCCTCTGTAGTAAACAAAATTGATAGTGAACAAACCAACATTGTGCGACGGAAAAAGTTCATTGTAATAATGGGTGTGAGAAGGTGTGCAGATAAGATTATGTAACGTGAGGCGAAATGATAATCTGAAAAAGTGTGGTAAAATCTTCACGCGCGCTAATCGGGCAGACTGGAGAAGGACCTAAGCAAGCAAGGTCTAATATTTAATCCTTTCAGTAACTGGACACACTGGGAATTGAACCCAGCACCCCCCGCATGCTAAGCGGATGTGATAACCAACTACACCATGTGCCCTATCCTGCTTTCCCCAAGTATCCTATGAGTAGAAAACGAAGCGTATTGGGATGATGTACAGGAGTGTACAGGAGTCTCAGTGATTCAGATTGTAGACCACGATGTCTTCTGCACCTTCCCCTTCACTGGTTCTCTTTGCTCGCGGGGTCATCGCCAGGCTTGCTCTCTGGGAAACGCTCACCCTAGCCGTTCAAGAGTCATGGGGCGGCCCGGGCGCAAAAGAAAAACGGACATGGATGGCAGGCGTCGTCGTCGATATGTTCGAGGAGAAACAATCTAAAACCAACTCAGCATCATCCTCCAACGTCGATTCCCGCGTAGAACCAGAGGACATCGAGGATACTCTACTCCAAATCATGGCTGATGAATTTGAAGTCCATGTCGAGGATGGTAGCGCGGAGACCTTGGGCAAAGATATCGTCCAACTATGGGACGCGATCATAAACTCAGCCAGTCCTAGTTCTACAACGATTACCCATTCTGAGGGTGAGAAAAAGGTTCAGGAGTGGGAGTCACGCGTTGAGAGCGCAAAAGGGCGCAAAATCCAGGCGCATTACCAAGAAGCGGTCGAAGAGGATGGCGATTGGGAAGATGATGATAGTGAAGGTGACGATGAAGACGGTGATCATCCGATGGACGAAGATGAAGTTCCACACCTTATCGATTCCAACCGCGGTCAGAGAAAACCAGAAGTTGACGAAGATGGCTTTACTCTAGTTTCGAGTCGACGAAAACGGTGACATTGCACATCGTAGCAGATCGTAACACATCATACATAATGGCCATAGAATTACCCAATCTAAAACATGCATACATAGTGCAATCATCCACCATAGAGGTCCCTGACAAATTATTACATGGGCGATCCCTCCTGTCGTTTCCTCAATTCGTAATCCTCTTCTTCGATCATGGAACTCGACTGTGACCGAGCATTGTGAGCCTGTGCTTGTGCAAGCATAGGCTCGGAAAAGTGCTCTCGTAGTTTTTGAGTGGCTTGTCGCTTGATCTGCAACGATGGTTCATCAGTCACCATTATGATCACATAGGTAGAAAAACTGACCTCTAATCCCATAGTCTGCGTGATACTTAGTAATGGGCCTGCTAATCCAAGTTGTATGATGAGGTACCTGTTGTAGCTTCATCAGTGGTTCATCCAGGTGTAAATCACAGGTCATCCACTCACGCAGCAGCGGCAGCCATCAGCAAGAACATGAAATATATAGGGTTGAACAACACCATCATGAACTCGTTCCAACCCAGTACCAACAATACACCATACATCCAAAACGGAATTTGAGCCACACTCGACACTGTACTCCGTTTCGCCTCAACATACGCCAAATCCGCGTCCTTTCGGAACTTGGCTGCCAGATCCAAAGCTTTAGTTTCGGAAAACACTACCAGGGAAGATTCGAAATCAAAAGCTTCCTCAAGAGAAGAACCAGAATCTGACGAGGAGATGGCATCCGGAGGAAGAACGTACGCCACGGAGGAATCTAGGGGCACAATTTTGGAGTACAGAGGAATTAGCTCGAGGGTTTGTTCCTTTGCTTTTCTGTAAACCCCGTCGATATCATCTTCCGGCTTCCATACTCTGGGTACACCCTGCTCGTCGTATCGGAACCGTTCCTCGAAATGTGCTCGTAGTCTGCCTACGAACACAGAGTCTGCCGTTTGCTCGTCAATCTTGCTCCGAAGGGCCTGCCATGCACGTCGGCGAAGGGCGGCTAAAGAATACGTATTTTCTTCTTCCGTGCAGTTGAAGCCTATGAAAACTTTAAGACTAAAATTGAATACTTGAACAGAGTCGACGTTTACTTGTTGCTTTGATCAAATAAGTTGATTCAGCCTTGTCTAGAGTTTGCCGGAACGCCTTCAAAACCTCGTCCCACATATTGGGCGACCCTTTGTTGAGTGCCAACTCTATTGGTTCCGAAATCTGCTTCTTGAAATTCCGCTGCGAAACGAGAGCATGTTGAGAAGAAAGCAAAGGCTTCGAATAATAAACTCACCTCGATGGTGTTGACCATCTTTTTAGTTTCATCCTTCCTGCACTGATCAGCAACACTCTGCACCTCCTCTCTTAACAATTCCAGCTCTTCTTCCCAATTCCACTCTGTCTTCCCCTCTTCAGAATCATCTACCACACTCTCCCTCGCACCCGTTGTAAATCTATTGTCGCACTTGGCCTTTGCCTTGCTTACTACATCAGCGAAATTATACTCTTCTCCTTTCATCCCTTCCAGAATGTCTTTCTTGAATGCTCCGAGACATGCCTTGTGTAAGTTCTTCAATTGACCTAGGAACAGAGGCGATAGCGTAGCATCGAGTGAGACAATCAAGTCCGCGCGTTTGCGTTTGTAAACGCCTTGGTGATAGCGCGATGCATCCCGGTCGTATCGTTCTAAAGCCACCGTACGCCAGCTGCGCATCATAGCGCCCAGTCCTTCTACAACCTTTCCAGCTTCAATAGGTCGTTTCTGAGGCTTGGCTTGTTCGTTGAATTCTGTAAGGGCGACTGCAGAAATTTCATCGCAACGGAATTGTGCAAGGAGCTCTTGCTGGGTCGGAAGGTCGAGATCTTTGTTGCTTTGGACTTGTTCCTACACGGCAAAATGAGACAATGGATTTTGAGATGTAGAGTGCGTTGACCTTACCCATATGTTCTCCATGTAGAACGCCACGCCATCGGCTGGTATGCGTTTGTGATATATAGATTTGAAAAGGTAGTCCGATTTTGTCTTGTCCACAAAGCGTCCTCTCAAATTGCGCGTTTCTAACTCGAACTGGTCCGTTGCAAGAATTTTATGCGGAAGCGCGGTGAAATCAAGGTCAAAGTAGTCTGTCAGTTGACGATCTTTGAGTTCATCCGGCTTGGATAGGGAGTCCCAAATTCTTTGCAGGTCCGCAGTAAGAGTCGCCTGGAGGTTCGCGAGAGGCGTGGTTCCAATGTGGTCACGGATGACGAAGAGTAAAAGAGTGCGACCATTTGTGCTATCATAACCTGAGCTGAGTGAAAGCCCAATGATAGAAACATACGCACCCGTCCTGTGCCTTCTTGCCACCAAATAATCCAAGATTGACTTCAAAGACTGTCTTGAGCAAGCCCATATTAGCGCCCTGGTATAAACCAACTTGATGTTCCCATAAGTTGATAATAAGTACTTCGGAAGAGGCAAGGGAGAACAAGGCGGATTTGCGCTCAAAATCCTAAAGTCCAAGTTATGCATTCAGAACTCTCATTCCCCATGCATTATTATTTATACGTACCTGGTCCTCTCCACGTTCTCTGCCGTCGGTGCCTTCCACATCCATAACCATGATGTTCATGTCTTTCCCTCTGCACATCCAGATGCCTGGAGCCGCCTTAAGCATTCTATAAAAGATTATTTGAAAAGTTCTAACCTTTGGTCGTCTGTTGCCGTTTCGTTTCGTCCATGACGTCGAACGTAGTGCCAAACAGTCTGTTCAGTAATGTACCTGGCGAGGAGCATTAGTTCCAGAAAGGTGTCATCGCTTGTACATTCCAACTAACTCTTGCCAGTGGACTGAGAACCAAAGACAGCAACAATATTGTAGTTGAAGCCTGCATCCCGAAGGTCCCAGCGTTCGATTTGCGACGTCAGCTCCGACCTATACACAGTTCGTTCCAATTCAGTGGAAGGGGAATTGCTCAACTACATACGTGAATTGTTTCTGGTCGTTAATGATTTGAATCCGCTCTGAGAGTGGGCTATGTCCGTTTGTCATTGGACTCGCCAACGCGTTCCCAAAGGCTCCTATTGAGGCGGAAGCCATTTTTTGAGCGACAAGAACTTGCTTCGGGGTTGACGACAGAGTAGAATATTACAGTGAGGCCTGAGGCCTTGAGGAGGACTGAGGTTAAATAAAGATTGAAGTTGTACGTCACAACTATGCTTGCTTATGTCACATGATTGCAGCCCAACTTTTTGCTCTCTCACCGCATTATGCGTAGGTCCCTCTGAAGTAGAATTTCTTGGTATCAATGCTGATCCCCTGTTGATCTTTGCAGCTCCCAAGAAAGCTAAAAAGATTTCTCTGAACGAGTTTCTTGAAACTGGTAGGATTTACTGTTACCAAATCATTTTTCCTTCCGTCTCACTTTACTCTGCTCTGTTCTAGCACCAGGATCATGGGCTGATGAAATGGACGAATTGCCCTCCGCTCGTGAGTTCGAGTCGCCGCTGTAAATGTCTGTTTGGTATTGATACATTGTCTATGAGCAGCTGCGATGAGGAGCGATGATGACCAAGGCCACCAAAATGACCGCTACGGCCGTCGAAGTGATGACTTCTTAGCCTCTCGACGTGTGTACATCTTTCCGGACCATTTCTTCGGGCTAATGCTTGAGAACGACAGCTGATCGCGCTGCTCTACCACCTCGTGAGGACATTCCTTTACCAACTCAGCCCCCGTACACGGCTTTCGTTGGCAACCTTCCTTTCGACCTCATAGAAGCAGAACTCGAGGAGTTCTTCACAAAGGCATGTCGCATTCGTGGCTCTCACAATTACTGGAATTCTGAGTGGTCCAATTTAGACCAAGTCGGTCAAAATTATCAAGGACAGAGATGATAAACCAAAAGGATTCGGGTATGTTGAATTTGAGGATCTGGACAGCCTCAAGGATGCTATTTCTAAAAGCGGCGCTGTGAATATCCTAACTTTCTTTTTCTGTGCGTTACAGAGACTTATTAAGTCTATCAGGCGTTTTCAGGAAGGACTATTCGAGTTAGCGTTGCAGAAGCCCGTGAGTACTTGATCTCTGAACTCCATTTAAAATTTCCTGAACTGTTCTACCCAGCCAAGGAACGTTCAGGATTTGGCGGAAACGACGATAGCAAATTTGACAATCCCTGGAGAAGAGACGGACCTCTACCAGACGTCTCATCATCGCGAGATTCCTCACGTCGCAGATTCGATGGACCTCGTCCCGACCCTCTTCCGAGTGTTTCCGAGGACGCCAACGACTGGCGTTCAAGTCGACCTCGGGCAGCTTTGCCGGAGCCCGAAACTCCCACTGGATCCATGAGAAAAAAACCCATTGGCTTTGGTTCCGACAACTCTGGGGCCGCTGATCGCGACGAGGTATGGTCCAAGGGGTCGAAATTCAAACCTGCAGAAGAGAGAGAGAACGCGGCTCCGACCAATAGGTTCGGAAGTGGTAGAGGACGAGGTGATATGGGCCCTCCGAGAGATCCTGTTCCTGAAGAGTCAGATTGGAGAAGTTCCTCTCGGGCAAGACCTGCCCGTGACAACACCTCTCGTGAGTTGATATTTCAACTTCGCCGAGAAAAGGAAAGCTCAGTGTATCTGTATACAGCTACTGGCTCTACGCCTCCCACACCGCAGATGGGAAGACGCAAATTGGAATTATTACCCCGATCGGGTAACGGCTCTAATGTTCCCAGCCCACTCTCCTCTCCAAAAATTGGACCAACCCCACCAACTTCTGGATCTCGCTCCAATCCTTTCGGTACTGCCAAGTACGTCCAGTTGTATCTACAATGTGTTTCTTTGCTGAATGTTAGGCTCAGACCCGTAGATGTCACGGCCAAGGACATCGAGATTACTCAAAAGCTAGAAAAAGATCGTGAGCTCAACCGTATCTCCATGTCTCGGACTAGTTCTCGGACTAGCATCGAACGACCTATCAGCCGTAACCATACGCCACCAGCAAGTGCTGGCTCCCATTCCCAGCCACCTTCCTCTCCACCTGCTCCCACTTCCAAAGTCATACCCCAGGGAATGAGTGCCAACGTGCGACCTGCTTTCAGTTTTGCTAATGCAGCCGCAAACAAGAAGAAAGCTGAAGAAGCTGAAACGATTAGAAAGGAAGAGACACTTGCAGAAAAGCTGGGTGAAGTTACTATATAGTGTTCGGTGCCTTGACACGCTAAAACTTGAGTTTCTTATTTATAACCTATGTGTTCATAAGTTCAGCGAGTGCCTTTTCCTCGCACGTCTCTTTTGCTAGCCGATCAACATAGCTGGCTCGATGATTTACCAAAAAAAGTTCAATTCGGTTTACAAAACATTATCTAAATCGAACATCTGGGTCAATGTATTTCATTCTTCCTCGACCTGGGGATGCTCAGTAACGAAACCTGCAAGGATTTGAAGATAAACTAATCTGACCTTTGAACCTTACGCCATCTTGAGTTTGAGACTCGGCATCATATTTTCCCTTCATCCTTTCCAACTGGATTTTTCTATCCGCGGCCAACCGCTCGTTTTCTTCCCGCTCCAGACGTGCATCGTACTCTTCTTCAGTTTCCCCCCTAAAATTGAGTTTGGCTTCTTTTTCGATACTATCTGCGTTTTTGTCATTCCGGTGTTTGCGTTTCGATTTTTTACGACGATGACGCTTGTTGGACGAGTCTGATTCGCTGTCTGACGAACGAGAAATTGAGCGGGAATGACGCGAACGACGTCGTGATTCTCTTGGTTTTTCCTCTTTCAATGGTTCCGGCTCTGATTCCGAGGGAACTAGTTTGGCTAGAATATTGTTGTTTAGGTTTTGTGGATAGCGTCGACCGACAGATAGAAACATACCTGGCGGTTTTTTGAGTTCCAACTCCCCGCAATTGTGTATCACCACAGGACTTAACGGCCTATCTTTTCCATCGACAGGTACTTCTGCAATCTTCTGAACAACTTCATCATAGCCTCTAAGCACTCTGCCAAAAACGACATGTTTTCCGTTTAGGTGTGGACAAGGCCGCAGGGTGATGAAGAACTGTGAACCATTCGTATCAGGTCCTCGATTTGCCATACAAAGCAACGCTTCAGAATCCAAAGGTCTAAGTAAGTCTTCATCTGCAAACATTCCTCCATAGATAGATTCGCCGCCAGTCCCATTCCTTTTCGTGAAATCTGTCATAATATATAGTTTAATGTTTAACAACAGAAGTTTGTGCTCTGACCTCCGCCTTGAATCATAAAATCTTTTATAGACCTGTGGATGATGGAGCCTTTGTAATACAGCGGAACATCAGAGCTGGTACGGCCTTTCTCCCCTGTGCAAAGTGCACGGAAACTGCTCTGGTCAACGGTGAATGAGAAGAGAAAGAAGGAAACTACATACTTTTCGCTTGCCTTGGGAGCGCTGTCATTGTACAGCTCGAATATAACCCTGTGGGCCCATCAACAACAATGCCAAACGCAAATTAAAGCGTTCTTACTCACCGTCCAAGTAGTTCCCCTCCCTCAGAAAAATCCATGAATACTCTGGACCTTACCATGCTGACCGTCATGCAACTGTCGGATGCTAATCTAGTTGCCGATACAGCTTTCAGTCTCACGATGGTTGGTCACGACCTCGTGTATCTACATATATCTTTGAATCTGACAGCCTTCCTATCCTTTTTGTATTTCTTTTACCTCCCCCCGCGTTATCTAACGCTACAGCGTCCTCAGAGCCCTGGTTTGCTCTGCCTTCACGGTTCAAAGTGTGCGAGTGTATGGCCCAATTCAAAGTCGTCGTTCTAGGGGGTAAGACAGCATCCTAGCTATGAAGTCTCAAGTGATAATGACTGACTGTTGAGCAGCTGGGGGTGTAGGGAAATCTGCTCTCACAGGTAATAATGGTCGTCCAGCTTTAAACGCCAACCAGTTATACAAACCATTTGCGGCTATCATAGTTCGATTCATTCAGGATATATTCGTGGAGAATTATGACCCTACGATTGAAGGTGAGTTGGCTCGCCATTATGTTAGCATGAAAATTCCTTAACCGTCCTACTCAAGAGGAATACCGCCGTTCCATCTCAGTAGATGGGACTCTCACATCTGTGCGTTGCTTTCCCTCTCTCCTACCACCCACTCAAATATCTGCCGTCGTTCCACTTTCATCAGAGCGTCTGCCTCAATCTGTTCACATTGTCAGCTTATACTGACCATCATTTTGCTGCTGTTTAGCTTGAAGTCTTAGATACAGCAGGCCTTGAACAATTCACCAGCCTGAACGAAGTTTACATCAAGGTATGGTGGCGTAAACACTTTTGCCGTGTACCTTACCTACATTCTAGGCCGGCAAAGGCTTCATTCTAGTCTTCAGGTCGGGTTTATCGTTTCGTCCCCCCGAATAAATTCTTCTCACGTCTGTTCGCAGTCTGACCCAGGAGGCGAGTCTGAAAGAAGTCGATCACCTTCGCAAGCAAATAATTCGTATCAAAGGCGAAGCTGTAAGCCTCGTTGAGACACAGGATTTGCCCAATTAAAATTCTTTGAATTCAGGGAGCAATACCTATTGTGGTTGTCGGGACAAAGTTGGACCTCGTGAATGAACGTGAAGTGCATCGCAATACTATTCAAGCTCTTGCTAGTCGTTGGAAGTTGCCTTTCTACGAAACGTCTTCGAAGAGAAATTGGCACATATGTGGGTTTGGGTTTAACTGAACATGCCTTAATCTCTCTTACTCTCTTTGCAGCGGATGTCTTCGAAGATCTTGTTCGACAGATGCGTGCACGATACCCTCCCGAGCAGCCGTCAATCAAGAAATCAAAACGACCATTGTGCTTAATCATGTAATTCTCTGCACATATTTTACGACACACCATGACCACTTATGCTTGCCACGACTTACTCTATCTTCCATTCATCTAAACGCGGACTTCGTCACCAGTGACATATTCTGGGCACACTATTCTTCTGACCCTCCTACACATTCTATATACCTTGGAGCTGTCTTTTAATATCACATCGTTTTCTATGCAGTGCTCTCTCTTGACATTCTTGTAACCATTTACAGACTAGACAAATGGATACATATGTAGACAATCTTGGTCTTCATATATACGTGAGTCTTGGGTAGTATTCGTCGGTTCTTCGCAGTATTCAACAGGTGCAGACATATACTCGCTTCATTATGGGGCCTGAGATCTGAGACCTGAACGATGATTTCTGAAAAGTTAAAAAAAACTTTTGTGATGTGAGAAGGATACGATATTTAGGGCAATCTACATAGGATGGGACAAAAGCTCAATTGAAGGGTGTTGATTCTGATTCTGAGCGTTCTTTGGCTATCCGGGAAATGTAGGTCTTACTGACAATGTTGACTGGAGGATTCTGACTTAGAGCATTATTATGAAGGAGGAAGGAGAATCCACGCACAAGTGTCCATGAAGCGGTCAAGGCATCGGGTCAAACATGTCTAGGATAATTTCTCTTGAACGAACTTCATGACGATACAAACAGAAAACGCGCACTTGTTCTGAACTTGACAATGAATCTCCAGGCTTGGTGACGCAGGCTTTGAAGCATCGTTCATTCATGTTCTGGCGTCAAGTTTTCATTGAGGTGGGACTATGTCAACAGCTTTAAACATACATTCATGAGTTGTTGTGCGTTGGCTTGTGCTAATTCGTTCCGTACTTGATCCATGATTGCTTGTTTGCGAGCCGCACTATCTTCATGAAAGATATAAGCTCAATATGCTCAGTACGTGGTCCACTTACCCGTAGATGAACTTGAAAGCGGATTTTTGAAAAAGTCGGACATGTTAACACTGAGTACTGAAGCTGAAGTACTGAACGTGAACTCGAAGGGAAAGTGCTCAAAATTTTAATGACGCGACGATTTTACCCACGTGACTTACTACTTTTTCCTTAAAGTTATACGTCGCTTCCGTCCTACTCAGAAAAAACATGGGCGCTGGAGCATCGAACTCTGGACAAAATGAGATTCAGAATGAAATAACAGATTACTATCAGCTCCTTGAAGTAGAAGAAACTGCGACAGCGGATGAAATAAAGGTCAGTATTGCGGCGCAACTCTCTTCTTTTTTGTATGCAATCTCCATCACCTTCTATCGCAGCGTTCATTTCGTAGACTTGCCCTTCTTCACCATCCGGACAAAAACAAAGATGATGTAGAAGGAGCCACGAAACGATTTGCAGAGTTGCAACAAGCATATGAGGTATCTGAGATCATCAGTCGGATTTCAATAAACACATCGATTGACCAGTGGCATGTTAGGTTCTAAGTGACGATCAAGTAAGCTACAGAAAACTACGTCTTTATCAGGTCTATATTGTGCTCAAGTAGGAGAGAGCTTGGTACGACTCGCACAAGGCATCGTTGGCTCCGGAGCCTGACGATGAAACTGTTTACGAAGATATACGCAAAGGAGCACCTCCTTCCCGCGCTCGGGACAGAGGCTTGTCCGTGCGCCAACTTAGTCGCTTTTTTGATGCTACACTCTGGAAAGACTTTGGAGATGAAGGCGATGTGGGCATTCTACCTTCGCCTTTTGTGTCTCTAAATTGGTCAATTGTCAGGGTTTCTACGCTATATATCGCAGCGTTTTTGCTCGTCTGGTAGCAGAGGAAAAGCTTGTATCTGATGACGAGGTGTACCTACCTTCTTTTGGATATTCACACTGGCCGTGGGCACCTCAAAGCAAAGGAGAAGAGGCTACTGCGGCTCGAACTTTCTACAATACGTGGATTAACTTTGCAACGGCCAAGGACTTTGCATGGTCAGATGCCTGGAATATATCAGAAGCTCCCGATAGACGAGTGCGCAGGTACGTTTGAAATGATGGTACCGCACAATCGAAACTAATACCAATTAGACTTATGGAGAAGGACAATAAAAAGGCAAGAGAGGATGCTCGGAGAGACTTCAATGATACCGTCAGAGTGAGTCATGAAAACAACTGTGGTTATATACATACAATATCGAGATCAAATTCAGTCTTTGGCTAAATTCTTGAAAAAACGGGACCCGCGGTACAAGAAGCATATCGCACGGCAAGCAGAGGCTACTCAAATGCATGCATCCGGCTCGTCTACCCCAAATTCTAGAAAGATATTTACACCGGACGCAGCCTACATCGAGCAGGACTGGCAAAAAATTGATAGTCGAGTTGGCGAACATGATTTGGAATGGGCTGTTGCAGAGGGAGATGACCCTGAAGAATGGGAATGCGTTGCGTGTAACAAGTCATTCAGAAGTGAGGCTGCATGGGACAGTCACGAACGAAGCAAAAAGCATCTAAGAGAAGTAGAAAGGCTTCGTAGAGAAATGTTGGACGAGGGAGAGATGTTGGGCTTGGATCAGGCGCCGCAGTTGGAGGTTGAAGAAACGGCGCCAAGTATTGAGGACCATCTTGATTCCTTCCTGGATGAGCCTCCGCGATCTCCTTCCCCTCCACCTAGCGAACAGGAAATTCACACATATGCGGCCACCCCAGAAGCTTCTCGTGAAGAGAATGGGGAGGAAAAGAATTTACGTCACTTGCCAAAAGGCAAGAAAGGCCGGGAAAAAGCACAACCTTTAGCGACGTCTAAAGAGCCTCGTACAAAATCTGAAAAAAAGATGCAAGGTTTGGATCATGCTTTCTTTGAAGAAGCTGGTTCATCAAACATTGGCTCTATTGAGCAGGGAAAGGACTCTGCCAGGCCTGATTCAGGCGAGAAGCTGGAGCTGTCCAAGCGCGAACAACGCAGAGCACGACAGGCCAAGAAAGCGGAATTGAGCGGCGCAACGCATAGTGTTAGCAAATTTTTCTTTCGCATGCGCCTGTATGAACTTCTGAAGCATTTTACAGATACAGTGCAACTGGGCTGGTTGTGGAAGATTCTTTGAGAGTAAGACTAAACTCTTCGTGCATGTCAATGAAGAGGGGCATGCAATTCAGAGTGAGGTTACTCCGAGGCAAAAAATTAAACGAGGAAAGGGTAAACCTAGTATAGCATAGTCATGATCATGTTAATGGTCAATACGAGGGCGTCTCTTTAAATATCACCGAGCGAGCGATAGCGTGTACTACGTCGGTCAAACAGTCGAGGGCGCCCTTTGAGCGTCGATAAATTATAAGCACGAAGATCAACGGACCAGGAGTCCAGGACTCAAGATGCACCGCTCGTCGTAGAAATACGGGCGCCTAGGCCTTGGCAATGAATCAACTTTGACTATCTGACATCATGGATTGATAAGCGCTGGGTGTCTAAGTCTCTCTCTTCAACCTTTCAATCCAGTATCTTCCAGGCTGAGTCATTGACCCTCAAGGCCTCAACAAACACACAAGGACTGGGCCCTCCAACGAATATTATATCTAAAGTCAGGATACGAAAGAACCCAGAGGCGCGTAAAGTGAGTGGCGCAAAACCTTTGGCCAGGTTCTCTAGCTTAGTGCTCATTACTAGGATTATACTCCCAACCTCAACTGCTATGACCGTGACACAACGCAAGGCCCAAACCAATCACGATCAAACCAACCATGATGATATTGCTCGTATGCCGGGTTTCAAATCTTTCTCAAATCATCGCTCATTCCTTCTTGGTAAAGTTCACGAACCTGGCGGAGAATACCATTGTGATTCTTGCTCAAGCGATCTGACACACGCTATCCGTATCAAATGTGCCGACCCGGTTTGCGAATCTGGAGATGGTGTAGACTTATGCCCGACCTGTTTCTGTGCAGGCAAAGAATTTGCAGGTCATAAACGTGGACATCCGTACCGGGTCATCGTGCGTATAATCGACAAAGGAGTCAACTCGGTTCTTATAGAGTGTGTCTTAGGAAATCAGTTCACAGCCTATCTTCTCTGAGGACTGGGGCGCAGACGAGTATGTCCAGATCCTGTTATTCCCAGTTTAACATTCAACAATCGCTCATCATCGTGGCACAGGGAGCTTTTGCTTGTTAAAGGCATTGCCACTCATGGTTTCGGCAACTGGAAGAAAATTGCTGAAACCGTTCGGACTCATACAAAGGAAGAATGTGCTGCCCACTACAACGAAGTTTATATCAATTCACAAAGCTGGCCATTACCAGTAAGTTCTTCTTCGAGTCGTCATATCGATCCTGTTTCGACGTAATACAGCCGATGGATCGAACATTTGACATAGACCCCGCAGATTTCCAAGATAGGAAACGACGTCGTATAACAGAGATGAACGCTGCACCTTTGCCTCCATTGAAGCCTACTCCAGTATCTCTTCCTGGGATACACGAAATTACTGGATTTTTCCCTGGTCGGCTGGAATTTGAACACGAGATTGACCATGAAGCAGAAGATCTAGTCAAGGACTTGGAGTTCGGTGTGGTCATGCAGTATGGGGGTGATCAAATCCCTGAGGATGAAAACGACCTAGACGTCAAGGCACGTCTACGATGGGAAGATGAAAGAAGGAACGGCGGAACATCCGGGAAGAAAGGTGTATTCGCTGGAAAAAGTGCAGGAAAAGGTCTCTCAAACGGCATCGTGAATGGTTATCATTCCTCGCCTCCTTTAGTACCGAAAGAAGTAACAGCTCCTTCAAATTCTGGTAATGAAGAAGGGAATGAAGAAGATGTCGAGGAATTAACGCAACCACCGCCTATTGAAACCGAAGACTCCTTGGCGTTCAAGTTTACATTAATGGAGATGTACTTCCAGCGCATTGAGAAACGATTGGAGTCCAAATCCATCATATACGATCGCGGACTGCTCGAATATAAAAAGGTATGGCCCGTTACAGAAGTCTTCCTCACTCATGATTGAATATGACCTTGTAGATCCAAGCTTCCGAGAAGAAACGACCGCGTGAAGAAAGGGAAATTATCCATCGATTTCGACCGTTTGCTCGACTTGGGACAGCTGCTGACTATGAAGCTTTCACTGCTGATATCTTGTGTAAAAGTCACACATTCGGTTGATCAATGGTCGATACTCATGCTTTGTTATAGATGAGGCTTTGCTGAGGAAAAGGATCAAAGAACTTCAAGACCAGCGACGCCTGGGCTTGCAGACTGCTGGAGACGTTGAAAAATTCGAAATTGATTGTACCAGACGTGTAAGAATGCAACAATGTACTTTATAAGTGATTTATGTTCTGACCTACCTTCTGTTCTTAGCCCCAAATCAAGGCCAACAACCGAGAGGCATTTGCAAAGTCTATTCGCCAGTCCTCTGTCCCTGACCAGCGTCGAGCAAGTCTTACTTTACATGGTGATGATGGTAGAAAGAGTCACGATAGAGAAGCCACGCCCTTGGTAGGCAACACAACTGCACCCGTCGTACGTCGACCTCGTAAGTTTTGCTAATTCCTGCAAGCCTATAATCACCAATTCACCCTTTGTCCTTTAGCACCACCCCTCAATCTGGCCAATAGCCCATCGCTGCATTTACTTACTCAAGGAGAACAGACACTTTGTTCCCAACTTAGGATACTTCCAAAACCGTATCTCGTCATTAAGGAAACCCTTGTGCGAGAGTACGCACGTCGTGGCGGTAAGCTGCGTAGGCGTGAAGCGCGGGATCTTGTCAAGGTCGATGTGAACAAAACAAGTCGCGTATGGGATTTTTTGGTGCAAGCTGGTTTTCTCAAAATAACACCTGATGTTGACCCTTCAACATCCACTCCTTCTACCAGGTAAGAGTGTCTTACAATTTTTACATTGAGGTCCTCAGACAACTCATGCTTAGTGCCAATCCCTCTACAAGTGCTGGTGCGACGAACAGCTCTCCAGTGAAAGAAGTATCTTCGACCCCGATGGCTACTGGACCGCCAAGCGCAGCAATTGCGCATCCACCGTTTTGACATCACTAGCAGTTGTCTTTCTATTATGTGATAGATATTGATTGATTGATACTCGGCTCTATATACTATCACTTCTGAAAAGGATGAACGCGTTCAAACAGATTACTCGTTGAAGCTAAGAATACAATGGGGATAACTACAGCATTTTAACCCATCAGTTGAGAAACATCTTCTGGGGGATACTTTGTTTGAGAGAATGTAAGCAATCTACAAGATATGTTGGTAAGTGCGAAGTGAAAAGGCTACCAAACGTACCTCTTCAAACTTTGGATATATTTCCGACTAACTTCGTCGTTGAGCACGTGTGCAACCTGATCTGAAGAAATTTTCTCTCGAGCTGAACGTTCGTGAATCCTGGAATAAATGTACAATTAGGGTCAGGTATCAAGACTCTAAGAACATACATACCCAACCATGGTAACTCCAATCGGCCAAGGTGCATTTCCGATAGACAGTCGAAGATAGGAATCATTAGCTTTTTGATACTGTCGTTTCTGCATGTAATGAACGATTTCAGACATGCGAGCCAACATGTCAGGGGGTAAGGACTGACGAAAGAAGTACGATTAGGAGCGGCAACGTACGTGTAACAAGGTACATACCCGTGAACGTAGCGTTTTGAACAACGGCTTCAAATACTCAGCCGATTGCACTTGAGTAGCTGCGGCGAGCTTTCCTTGAGTGGTACGTTTAACGTGCTCTGAAGATGCAAAAGAATTGAGTGGATGTACACTACGTATACCAACAAGAGTGTGATACATACCGGGTCTTTCGTCCATTGCCTCGCCCCATTCGTTGAGCACACGTTTTAAAGCATAGTAAATGATGGGGTAAAGCTTGTCTGGGTCTGTTTTGACAAGAGACAAATCGAGGACGCCTTCCCCTGCCAGTTCTACCTCGCCCTTCTTCTTCCCTTTACTGTTTTTGTTCTTCAGCTCCCGTTCAACGCTCTCAACGTCTTCCAAGGCTTTTTTGAAATCATTCTGTCCCGCTTGTTTATCATGACCCTTCTCTTCAATCAGCTCGAGCGCACGAAGTCGTAGTCTGCGGTCCTTGTCTGACTCTGCAAACAGCCTGATAGGTTGACCCTTTGAGCGAAGACGGCGTATAGTCTCTTCATTCGAGATGTTGAACGACGATTCTGGTATTAGGGATGCTCCTTCGCGTATTTCTGGATGTGGAGAATAGGAAGCTGGCCTTGAAGGGGCCTGTTCTCCATTCGAGGATTAGGACATGGGTCAAAGACGAAGAGAAGCAAGAGAGTATATACTTTACTTGCTTTTCGAACTAATTCCTCTTTCCGTTGTTTCTCTGCTGTGATTTCGGCTTCTTTCTCGGCCTTTTCTTTCCTTTCCTGCTCTTCGCGCAAACGCTCAAGCTCTCCCCTCCGCATATACTTTGAGGGCTTAGGGTTTAGTTGGTCGTCCGAGATAGCCTTGCGCTTTGCAGCGACTTCAGCGAGCAGTCCGTCCATAATAGAGAATCGAGAATTTGATTCGAGATCAAGCTGGACACTGCTTTGTAAGCAATCGAAGTCTTCCGAGTCCGACCTTCCGACCTTTTCCAGGTACTTTTTCCCAGCTTTTTCCAGTCTGCAGCAATGTCCGACTCTGAGGTTGATATCGTTGAGCTTCGCAGGTAAGCAATTAGCACTCTGAGCACGATATAACAAGGTAACACGCTGGGTAGCAAATATGTTCTGAAGACGGTGCCATTTGATGGTGAGCACCCATGCTACACTTTCATGCATCTTTGTCTCAGTCCTCTGCAGCCCGTTTTCCCAACCAGAACCAAACTAGAAACTGGTAAAGTCAAAGTCCACCTAGTCGCAGCGCTCGGCCCTTTTTGACATCGTGGACCGTAGTTTCCAGAATTATACTGACTACTTCAAATGTGTCAAAGCGAAGGGCGAGGATTTTGCTCCGTGCCAGCAATTCCTCCAGGCATATAAGGCTCTTTGCCCTAGTGCGTATAATGATCTTGCTGATTCATTTTCTTCTGTTCTAAAATATCCTTTACGTTTCAGATGGATGGGTAAGAACGATTGTTCCTGTACATTACTTCTTACCAATGTTTGTTTTCAGACTGAAAAGTGGGACGCGCAGCGCGAGAGCGGTACTTTCCCTGCATCTCTGGAGCCTTGATTCCCATCTCCATATTACGCTCGAGAAACGACCTGTAAAATCTATAGATAACTCTCAAAGTCACTCGCGGAATAACAATACAATTTTTCTCTTGACTTATGTCTTTCTCGCTGTTGGACAGCTTCAAACTGTAGAATCATTCCATCTGTGATTGGTTGTACTTCTTCGACTATTGCCGCAGCCAAAGGTACCTTCAGCGAGACTGAGGACCGATCAACTCGTGACGACAAGCTCCGACAACCGCCTACCAGTGATACCTCATGCCGACCTCGACTTTAATTTCAACTACCACCATCTACCGCCACAAACATATTAGAATGGATTTTTCTACGGAACCTCCCCACTCCGACAAACTATTTATTCAAGCTCCTCAGCCTTTCAATGCTGAACCACCTGCCGCTTCGTTGGTTGAATTCGCGTACGCTATGCTATCCTAAGCGCATATGTTATTGTACTGACTAGTTACAAAGATACACCCCGGAGGAGCTCGTGTATTGTCGCAATCATGGTCCTGTGCGCGAATTCGTCGAAGACAGTTATAGCATCGCTATCAAGAGCGCGGTTGAAAAAGATATCTTGATGTCGGTCCCTCAACTAAAATCTTCTTTTCCCAAAGCCCGTGTCGTTGCGGCTCTTCAGGTGACTCTCTACCCAAGTAATATGTAGCTGTGGATCTCACATAGACCCTGTTGTGACAGTGTGCAGGAAATAGACGAAATGAAATGGGGGCAATCAAGCCCGTCCATGGTGTTGGATGGAACAGCGGAGTAATTGCCAATTGTAGCTGGGGTGGCGTTCGTCTGCGGGATGTTCTAAACCACGTCGGCGTCCAAGTAGACAATCAGTCACACGTTTGCTTCGCTTCTTTTGCTACCTTATGCCAGGACGACAAGTATTATGGGGCCTCTATACCTCTAGCCAAAGCATTGAGAATGGAAGATGATGTGTTGTTGGCATATGAGGTGAGTATCAGCTGTCACTTGAGATTTGATTCTTTCATCACTGGTCCCAGATGAACGATGAACCACTCTCGGCAGAGCATGGTGGTCCTTTACGCGTTGTCGTTCCGGGTTATTTAGGAGCAAGATGGGTAAAATGGCTTGACACCATCATAATTTCTCCGGAAGAATCCCCCAATTACTATCAGCAACGCGATTACAAAGTTCTACCGCCTGAGGTGATTGGACCATTCGTAACTTCTGTTTTAATCACCGATAGTTAAAACTGAGTCTGAACAGATTGAAACAAAAGACCAAGCGCGTCCCGTTTGGGCCAAATTTGCATCGATGACCGCGTTACCATTGAACTCTGTGATTGGGTCTATATTCAAAGTTTCGCCATCGAGACTACACGTCAAGGGATATGCTACGCCTGGAGATTGCGGAAACATTGCTGCAATCGATATTTCGACGGACAGTGGCGTTACTTGGCATCCTACCAGAATCACATATCAGGAAGGTAGATGGAGTTGGACTCTTTGGGAAATCGAGATTCAGGTCTCTGAACCTTCTGGGGAGCTCCACTCTAGAGCGAAGGATGAGGCTGGCAATGTGCAGCCAAGAGAGGGAATTTGGAACATGCGAGGTGTCGCTTTTAATGCTTGGGGAACAATGAAGTGGTAGGATCTGGGTAAGATATGACTTTTGTGTGTATCGTAGATTTAGGGTATCCGTATGCTATGAACTATGAACTATGCACTTGGAACGTCAAATGTCATTCAGATTGAGGTTTGGGGAAACAATACGGACCAGTGTCATGCTGAAGATGAAGATACCTTTGCAACTTTTGCAGCCTCTCTCTTCTTCCTCAGTAACTCCAACTTATTCTTCATGGCGACTACTTTCATATCTGCCTCCTCCTGCGCCCTTTCCTCTTCGAGCAGCCTGTCCATTATCAGTTCCCGTTCATCCAACTCCTTCTGCCGTCTAGCTTCCTCTTCTTCTGTTTTAGACGGCTCCGTGGGCTCGGAAAACGTTTCCGGGACAGGAAACCCTTCGGGCACCTCGGGAGCCAGTACAGGCTCAGCAAAAATAGTCGCGTTCTCGTACGTTTCTTTGAAATCGGGAGCGTTAACCACCTCCCGTTGAAAGCGTTCCCATTCTAAATCCAAAGGTGCCTTTGCTGTTGCTACCGGTGCATCCTCGGCGGCCGATGCGGGTTGGTCTTCCTCTTCCTCATTATCAGAACTACCACCGCCTAGTGGTATAGCACGCGAAGGATCCGAAAAGAAGTCAACTGGGAAGCCATTGGGACCTTCATTGAGCCGTGGCTTCTTCATCGCAGTATCTGACGTAGTTTCTTCATCCTGCATAATTATATCTTCCTGTTCTGCTTTCCGTTTCCCTTTCGATAATCTTTCCTGTTCCTCTCTCTCTTCTCTGAGCCTCTGTTCTTCTTTAGCCCTTTCCTGCTCCTTTAGTCGCGCTACATTGGTCCGATGAGCTTTGCTTCCTAAATGTCCTTCCCATGCAGAGGCATGCTTGACAATGGTCCCACAAGCTGTACATCTCAGCTGACCCGATTGACTATATAATGCAAGAGGATGTGTGATGCGAGCTTCTTGTCGTTTTGCTTTCAAAAGTGCCCGGACGTCGGCCATGAGATTGAAGGTTACTGGTAAAGGTGGATGATACATGTGACTATGTGCTCGTTTACCAAATCATTTTGCCAAGATTCTGTCAACTTCTCTAGATGGTGAACTTGACGATTGTGTACATTATGCTTCCAAATAATTGACCCAAGCCATGACTCAGATTCATGAAATTGTTCCTCTTCCCAGCTCTTCCCTTCCAGGCCTGAAAGTTTGAACTCGAACATCCAAGCTACATAGAGCTACATAGAGCTACATTTTTACCTCGCACTTTGTTCGTGTCCATTTCGTTCCACTGATCATCTCCAGTAATCGGGTGGTGATAGCAATGAAGGCTGCTTCTAAATCATGCAATACTGTTAAACGACAACTCGGAACTCAATTCGATCAATGCTCCCTAAAGCCGTAGGGTATGAAAGCTTGAATGGGTTCTCCAAGGCCTTTCATGTCCCCTTCTCGTATAACCATTCTGTTTCTTGCTGCCGCTGTTACTGAACTCTCCCATGCAGCGACTCTCATCTCCGCCGACTCCCCACTCACAGATGTAAACGTTGTTCTCCCCCCTGCAGACAACGCCGTTACGATATCCCCTTCCTTCGTCTCCCTTTCAATTGAACAGGACCGATGGACGGATTGGTCTGGTACAACTTCAAGCAACCAGTTCTTCTACAATGCCATGGAAAACCTGAAGAACCTTTCTGGCTCGCCCCCCGGAATCAGAATTGGTGCCAATAGCGAGGACCACACCAACTTCGACCACGGTGTCCAGGTAAAATAAATAACTGGCCATTTCCCAGTCCTTCAGTTAATCAAGTAATTTTAGTACGCCGAAGACATTTTCCCAGCTCCCAATCCGACCACTCCGTATCCTGAAGCAACCAATATCACTGTCGGAGATAGTTACTATACTACCGCCAAGTATCTTTTGCCAGGTATGAAGGGCAACTCTCTTTCTCGTAGAGACGTTTATTTGCTATCATTCTTATCTAGATACTGAGGTAATTTGGGGTGTCAACTTTGGACAAAACAACCTCACAGCCGCTATCGTCGAAGCCACTTCTATTATGCAAGCGTTCTCCGGACCAGAAATATCTAACCTCGGAATATCCTTGAAATTTTTGGAAATAGGAAATGAACCGGGTAAAGAAGAGATACTTTCTCTCAATCCACAAGCAGACGACCCTAAACCCAACAGATTTGTACATGAACAACGGACTAAGGCCAAAGAACTACAACGTTACTCAATATGTCTCTGAGTGTGTCTTATCCTATTTCAACTCCGGTCTTCCATACCGCTAATCATCTTCTTATAGATGGACCCACTTTGCCGATGCAATTTTCCAAGAAATAAAACTGAACGACACTTCCACTCGATTCCTGGCGGGCGCCTTTGCAGGTGAGAGTCGAAGAGCAAAAGACACCAACAATTGCGCATCTGACATAATCTGTCAGGATCATCGTCCAATCTCGAAGGATTTTCTCCGCAAGCGATCTTCAATTTAGGCATCTCGAACTCTCTCGCAGGACAATACATAGAAGCGTGAGCAACGCCCTTTCGTGCCCGTACGCAGAATTACGAAGTGCCCCTCAGATTTTCAGAACATCATTACCAGGGAACGTTTTGTTCTGGATCTGAAGGTGTTCTTTCGGACCTAATGAGCAAAGCTAATATTCGCGGTAACCTCTCACAATATGCATCCGACATCCAAGCTACCAACGATCAAGGCTTCGACTACATTCTTGGAGAAACAAATAGTTACTCTTGCCATGTATGTAAACGACTAATTTTTATCAGTCGACTTGGAAACACTCACACACTGAATTGGTAGGGCGCCCCAGGAGTAAGCAACACTGCTGGAGCTGCTATATGGGCATTAGATTACGCGTTATACAGGTAGACCCTATTTAGACTTACGTGGCTTTCAATCGACTCAAGGATGGAATCTTCTTTTCTTAAGTGCAACACTTGGGATCAAGCAAGTCTACTTCCATGATGGCATCGGTTTCAAATACAATTTGGTATGTATTGGTTTGATGACTATCCCTTCGATTGCTTCAACTACTTTTCTACACTATTACTGCAGATTCAACCGCTCACGCTCACCCGCTCGATTTTGGATGGATCCCCGTTATCTGCACCGCTCTCACCACATATCCAACCTCAATATTACGCCGGCATAGTGGCTGCAGAGGCCATCGGACGATATGGGAACACCCTGATATCCGAGCTCCCTATTGACAACCCTCAAATATCCGGCTACTCATTTTATGATGATTCCCAAGTGAAGAGATTGGTTCTAATTAACCACACCCCATATTTCCAAGCAGATGCAACTGCCGGTACTCAGCGACCCGTTGCAAAAGTGAAGATATACTTTCCTGATAGATGTGGTACCCAAAACATCGTGGCGAAGATGTTGGAGATTCAGTAAGGGATTATCGTTCTATCTTCTTTCGTCTCTAATTGATGCGATGGTTTTAGGCATTCCGATGACACATCTGGCTTGACTTGGGGCGGTCAGTCGTACGAAACTTCAGATGGATTAATTGGTGGCTTCGTTTCTGCGAGAACTGTTGCGTCAAACGAGTACTTAGGTATTCCCGCGTCTCAAGCAGCTCTTGTAGCATTTCAATGCTCTTGAGGACCGACATCCAACCGTAGGCAATACAGGTTTTTCTGTTCGTTGTTCAAAGTATCGGACCATTTATATTCTCAGATTGGGACGCAAATCACGACTGAAGTACTTGTGTTGTGCTCCTTTGAGAGGCCCTCAAGGCAGCCTTGAGGCTTCAAGTTGAGGTTCAGGCAGTGAACTACAGATATGGTAATATAATACGGCTCGTGAAAACTGAATAGAGTGAATGCACCTGTCACCTTTAATGTCCTTTGAATCTTGATATCTTATCACCGTATTCCCTAGGTATATTTCCAGACGCGAACGTTTACTCTCGAAATTAATACAAACACAACTTCCTTTCTTACAGCTTCCCGAAGCTGATCTATGTAAGTATAGATGATAAGTGTTCTGCATCTCCATATACTGAGATATCTACCCAGGACATCAGAGAACATTCCTCCTGAAGTTCTCAACCTTTCTAATCCGATTATCGGAAACAAGTAATCTTGCTTATCCTGCAGCTCTCGAGCGGTGAAGCGGAATTCGAACTACTTAGTGTGCACCGTAAAGCTCGGCTGCAGTGGATATATGTACACGTTGTTCAAGGCCTGAACTTTGTCTTCTTGACGCGTCGGAGACCTCCGTGGTCTACTTCCGCTTCGGATATTTTCTTCCGAAGTTGGAAAGTGCATTGGGTTACAAATGGTTCAGATTGGTCAAGGTACTTGTATCCTGGTTGCTGTCAATGAATTCGCCCTAACTCCTATTGCACCTTTAGTATAGTCCACTTAGCACCTCTAGGCTCTATCAGGCTCTATCTTCAACGCGCCCGGCGCCCGGGGCAAGGTCTCCTGACTCCTCTCTTGTCGACGCGACCGAATGCGACCAGGTGTGACCGACTTTCTGATAACCTCTGACGCTGCTTAGCAACCGTTGAGGACCTGGGTCCTGAAGGCCTGAAGGCTTTATCTGCAACCTAAACAAGCATCCATAGCAACTATTGGTATCAAGACGTGCAGAGAAAAAATCCCGACGGGCAGTTTCCATTGCGGAACCGTAGGGCTAATCCCATGATGTCCGCAATGTATTCAGTCATCCTTCGTAAAACCCCCAGAACTTACATAGGTGAGAGCTAGTGAGAGTCCCACATTGGTCCCACACTGGTCCCACATGTCATGAGAATCTGTACCCAGAAAGAAACAGGATTAACAAGTGCTAAAACATTCCCATGAGAGTCGCCACATGGAGATGAAGTAAAAGAGAAAGAACAACATCAGAACTCTGCGTAACCCTTGCGGGAACAAACACCCATCACCAAAACACTCGTGTGGTTCCTAGATCTGATCGCTGTTTTTTGGGATTAGCAAGGTCTCCACTCAGACCCTGCGTTCTTCCCGTGTTTGCGAATTCATGACATACCGATCTGGCCGTATACTCCTCTCTTTCCTTTTCACCCATCACTGCAAATCCTCTTCTCGACGCGCGACTTCTTGCTGCACATTCTTTTTCCCTTTCCGCAACAGTCAATAGTTGTCGGCTACTACTTTGTCCTTGCAACTAGACATATTTTTGCGCGCTTCTTTTTAAAAACAGTCGTAAAAGGTGCGTTTGATAGCTGTAATCTTTATAAAGCTTCGACATTTGAGCTATTAAACGCCAGTCGATGCCTCCTATTACACGAACCAGACGCGAATCCTTGCGAATTGAGCCCGATGCAGTATATGCACCAGACGACGACTCTACTACCCCCATCTCCGCAGCGACAACCGGGTCACCCATCACTCCTCTGGCAACCTCCCCCGATTCGGCTGCATCAGAATCAACTGAGGCCGACAACGATGGGGATGCCATTATAGGATCGTCTAGCCGTAGGTCCAGGGAGAAGAGAAAACGATCCAGAGTCACACCAGAACAGCTTATTCATTTAGAACGCTATTTTGCTGTCGATCGCAGCCCTACAGCTGCTCGTAGACGGGAGATCAGCGATTTACTAGGTATGCAGGAGCGCCAAACGCAAATCTGGTTTCAGAATCGGTGGGATAAGACTTATTATTGTTGTACTTTCGTCCACTGATTGGGCGACTGGTTGGGATTTATTGTAGGCGAGCAAAAGCTAAAATGCTTGACGGAAAAGTCAAAGACCGCAACGTTTCCAGATCTCCAGATACTTCTTCCTTCAAATATGATGGTGACCTACACCATGTTATCCATGAAGATGAGGGTGAGAAATCCATATATACGCTGGCTCGGGAAACTGGCTGACGATAAGTTGTAGCTGTGACCTTTATCCCCTGTACAGATCTCTCAATTGGTACTTGGAGACGCATTGCTACTACTGTTAGTAAACACGACCTAGTGGCATATGTCTGCGAGGCCAAACAATCTCTCGCCTGGTTTATATTATCCGGCGGAACTGGATTCAAGATGGAGATACCATTCGACAGAATCATTGCGACCGAATTTAATCACACTAGTCCAGGCATTGCTCATGCTGTATTTACCGTATCTGAACCGCCACACTTCTATCTAGAGCATCGCATGGCACCTCGTCCAGACGGCAGGATGAAGCTTTCCTGGCGACAGTGTAACGACTGGACTGAAGGCGCTCAAGCAACCCACGTCCTTCGTCATAGCTTACTGGGTTCAGCACCACAATTGTCTCACCTCGTTCAGCGATTGAAGCTATACCGCTCACATCGAAATATTTCTCTCCTCTCTACTCCGTACAAAGGGGACGATTCTCTGCCATCACCGTTGGAAATTCCAGCTCCTCCCATGGCTGGTTTGCTTCGCCCTCATTTGTCGCCTTATAGCGACGCTTCTCCAGACACTGGCATAAATGCTGACTCGGACCAAGTTACTTGTAATTCCGACGGATATAACCCACAGCTTCGGAATGCCCCAGTGTCGACGTCCGCATACAGCGAGGAACAATATCCTCGTCTTTTTGGAAGGTACTCGACCCCCGACATATCCTCGTATCACCAATCGAGCGCTGGGGCGACCCTTGTGGCTCCCGTTTCTCGCTTATCCACAGCTCGTCCCTACACAGTCACCCAAGAAACATTCCCTTCCATGTATTCTGATGACGTGAGCATTGCTCAAAGTCTCCAGAGCGCTAGACGGCATACCTGGACTAACGTTCAAGACCACGTCTCACCCTCTCTTCCATTATTAGGCACTTCATTCCATCCTGCAGCTGATTTCATATACTGACGACGCTTGCAACGAAGACCTTTCTTCTATCCTGATGATGCTTTCTACGCGGATTCTCAGCGCAATTATCTTTTCTTTTTGGATTTTTTTGGCGACGAACCTGATTTTGAACTCTATAACCAGAGGACTGTCTTTGTTGTGCTATTTCAAGTGCCCTATGCTACGCACATTTCACTCTTTATTCATCTAATATGCAACTCGTGCAATCGACATCCTTTCCCTTTCAAACTTCCTTCATTTATATTCCCTTTAGTCTACTTTACATATACCACTTTTTCGTGATACATTACTTTCAGTTTACCCTCTCAGAATTGTTTTTGCTAGATGATCGCTGTATATTTGTGTTTCTTTTATAATGTAGCAGCTATTAGCGAGTATGGACATGATTAATCGAGCTGTATCATATATTTGCCTTACTACGTCGTCTAACTTCATCCACTCATTAAAATTCAAGAAATTATTGGTCATGGATTTGAGTCCTTTCCGACCCACATCAGCCAACATCTATCTATTCAGATTGAGTAGTGGCTACTACATGCGTTTCATCTTTCGGTTTTTCTGGATCGTCAGATCCTAAACCGATCCACTGCGACCAATTGATACCTTGTTTGTGTGCCATCATCATTCCTAGTATAAGGGGAAGGTACCACAGACTATGTCGGAAAAGAGTTCTAGCTTGTTTTTCACCGCCATTTTTCCAGAATACCCAAGAGGCTCGCAAGAAAATTATGTTCGGTAATAGACTGCTCAACGCGAACCACCAAGTTGTTAGTCCCGATAATGGGATAAGAACCGAACATGTGGGGATGAGAATGAGAGCGTGTCGAAGAGACACGAGAGAGTTTTTTTGAGGATCAAGGACAGAAAGCATATGACATCCTGCTTGAGCATAAGAGCCTCGAACGACGTAAGATAACGAGTTGAAATGAGGAAACTGCCAACTGAACAGTAACGCAAACAAAGCAAGTGGTGCAAGGGAAGAGTTAATTAGGGAAGGGTCTAGCGCGGTTTCTGGCAAAGCGGACATGAAAGATGGCGGGAAGATGTGGACAGGGAAAGAGGAAGAGGGGAATAGTTGACCGCCACAAGCAGTCCAACCCATAACAGGTGGTGCAGCTCCGACGACGGCACCGAGCCAGGTATTGGCAATACTCTTCCTCTTCATCCACGTATACGGCCCAGCATAAACAACAAGGGTACCCGCACCTATGAGTGCCGTTGTTGGATTCGTCATCGTCCACAAGATGACTGGACCGGTAATACCACTAACTGCAGCGAAAGCAGTTGCATGCAGAGGTGAGATTGCTCTGCGGACAATTGGTCTCATACGCGTCCGAGCCATCTGAGCATCGAAGGGAACCTCTTGTACCTGGTTTAGTGTGTTCGCGGAAGCGGAACATAGCGCCGTTCCAACAGCGGTGGCCAGTAAGACTGGCACAGTTGTTGGAAGAGGCGAAAGTGCAACCCCGCTCATGGCTGCAAGCACATTAAGCACAGTCAAGCTGGATTTGGACAATTGCCAGTAAATTTTTGTTAACCGAGCAGGCGTAAGTGCTTCAGCTTGTTTGAAGGCAGAACGAGGAAGATCAGCAGTCGGATGGGCTATAAGGCCGTAGGAATGAGGATTTCGTGTAATGTGTATTGCGGGAGACACCCATTGAGTGTTGTTGAAGAAGAAAGAGGTAAATGCAGAACTGGTCCGCGTTCTGGCCGCAGATTGCCACATTCCTCAGTGAATCCTGTCCGTGGTTATTGACGGAAGTGAGCGGGAAGTGGACGGGTTAGGCCGTGTGGCTGTGGGCACTTCTCGTTACTGATAGGCGCTTGATTCTTGAGCTCACACCACCACTACACTACATCACTGCGCTAGAATACGAAAATGGTATGGTAACCATGTCTATCTATTTCTGTTACTCATCTTCGGATTCAAGTCCTACAATAGCCATCACAGCTATAGCAGTACTTGGGGAGACTCAGACAAAATGAGTAATTTGGGTGCTGGTCTTCACTCTGTAGATTGGAGTCGCACAACCTTGGAACATTTCGAGAAAAATTTTTACCTTGAAGACAAACGAGTTTCAGCACGTAGCGAAAGGGAAATCGAGGAGTTTCGTCGTTCCAAGGAAATCAAGGCATGTCGTTCTTGAGCCAAGATCTTTGATCAAATCTGAACGTCCTTCGCCAGATACAAGGTCGCAATGTTCCCAGGCCTGTAACCTCTTTCTCAGAAGCAGGATTTCCTGAATACCTCATGGCATCCATCCGAGCTCAAGGCTTCAAGGAGCCAACTCCCATTCAGTGTCAAGCTTGGCCTATGGCCCTCAGCGGCCGTGATGTCATCGCCATAGCTCAAACTGGGAGCGGAAAGACCATTTCTTTTGCCCTTCCTGCAATGTTACACATCAATGCGTACGTTGACTTGCAAGTAGAGATAACGCTTATCGATTTGCCTTGCAGTCAACCGCTTCTTGCGCCTGGAGACGGACCCATCGCACTAGTTTTGGCACCGACTCGGGAATTGGCTGTTCAAATTCAACAAGAATGCACCAAATTTGGGTAAGCTCTACTATCTAAGATCACTATCTATCTACACGGAGATTGATCGCACTTTTTTTTAGCTCCAACTCTCGGATTCGCAATACCGCTATCTATGGTGGCGCTCCCAAAGGTCCTCAAATCAGAGATCTTCAGAGAGGGGTTGAGATAGTCATTGCCACCCCCGGCCGTCTGATAGATATGCTGGAAACTGGGAAAACCAATCTTCGCCGGGTCACCTACTTGGTGATGGATGAAGCCGATCGCATGCTGGACATGGGCTTCGAGCCTCAAATACGGCGCATTGGTATGTTCTTCAAAATGCTCGTTCTCTTTTACTGAAGAGGATACAGTTTCGCAGATAAGACCAGATAGACAAACATTGATGTTCAGTGCAACATGGCCAAAGGATGTTCAAAAGCTCGCGAGCGTCAGTCTTTTTTTTTGACCTATTACCTAATGAACCCATGTTTAAAGGGAGTTCATACAGGATTTTCTTCACGATATGATTCAATGCAATGTTGGATCCATGGACCTTACCGCAAATCACAATATTGAGCAAATAATTGATGTTTGCAGTGAATTCGAGAAACGCAACAAACTCATCAGCCATTTAGAGAAGATCAGCGCCGAAAATGCTAAGGTTCTCATATTTGTGGCCACTAAACGTGTGGCCGATGAAATCACCAAGTATCTTCGTCAAGACGGATGGCCTGCTCTCGCTATTCATGGCGACAAAGAACAGTAAGCTGACGCCGCCTGTTAACGAGGAGTCCCACTACTGATTATCTGAAGGCGCGAGCGAGATTGGGTTCTTGGTGAATTCAAGGCTGGTCGGTCACCAATTCTCATCGCCACGGATGTTGCATCCCGTGGGCTCGGTACGTTTTCCTTTTCGGAACGCAAGCGTAGCAAGCGATCAGTGCTCGAGTCTATACCCGATGCACAATTGCCTACATTTTGTGTCTGACTCCTCACAGCCAAAGCCTTCTTTGTCACACTTCAAATCTCAGGGTGCGCATCTGAAGACGAAACGGGCGACAGTGTACATGCGGCTTTCAAAATTCAGGCTTACTGGAATCCTTTCCCTTAACCTCTCATGCGTCTATCTCGTGGATTTGGTTAAAACGGATTCGATTCTACAAGCTTACTTTGATTCAAGTCGTGTAGGCTACTCTGTCCTGTTTCGTTTCAACCTTGCATCTTGGGACTCGTTTTGGCATCGTTGTCTTGGCTACTTGGGTTCAGAGCGCTTGCCCCCGATTTTCATCAAGCTATCTGTTATTGACTTTCTCCTTTGTGCTGTCCTTTTCTCAAATTCTACAATGTTTGCTTTCAAATCCCTTCATATCGCCTTCAAAACATCAGATGTGAAGGACGTCGGTTACGTCATTGCAAGTCTATTCGTATCAGTTCGTATTCCGAGGAAACCTTATTCCTCATCCTAGAACTATGACTTCCCAAACAACTGTGAAGATTGTATGTTTGATGTTCTCCCTTCACATAGAATGTTCATGTTCATTCCCTGTAGATGTACATCGCGTTGGTCGTACAGGACGAGCAGGGAAGAAGGGGACTTCGTTCACCTATTTCACTACAGAAAATGCTAGATCCGCTCGGGAATTAATTTCCATCCTCAGGGAAGCGAAGTCCGTGGTTCCGCCTGAGTTGGAAGAAATGGCGATGCTTGGAGGGGGTGGCGGCAAAGGTAAGTCCTCACAAATTGGTTGCCCACTATCAATGGACTGGTCGTCTAGGTCGATACAACAGTGGTAGAGGCGGTAGTGGAAGAGGCGGCGGACGCGGTACTGGATCGCGTTTCGGGCAACAGAGTGATACTGGATATGGTAGCAGGAGCAGTCGTTGGTAAAGTTTGTCGGACATGGATGAATTCAAACAAACACACGCGCCGTTTTACTATCCGCTGTAAATTTGTATCCTCTTTCGAATGACGTTGCGTATATTACATCGAAAGTAGAAAAATCTCAAGCCTCATCGATTATCGATCATCAACTGCCTTTTAATAGTGTACCACAACTTCAGTAGAATCATTCCAGTGTTATGCTTCCAGAAACCGACATAGTTCAACACTTCATGCATGTAGAACACTCCTCGTATACAAAATAAAGTCACCCCCACCACTGTTCGAGATACTTTCGCACTCCCATAGGCCTCACGTCCACCAAGTTGTTCAAATTGATAGGCCTTTTGACATCACAATCTCCGTCCATGATAGCGAGTAAGAACTCCGCGAAAAAGTTCTGCATAACTTTATCGGGAGAAGGACTCAATCTCGCTGCAATTTCCTCCCGCGAATTGTATTTTACGTTAAACTTGCCCGTACCTGCCGGAGGATATCAGCCAGATTGGCACGAAACAAGGACGACGATAATTGGCGACCACTCACCACATACATCCTCACACAATCGGAGGACTTCATTCATGGTTAACACGTCCCCAGCCATTTCGCTGTATTCCTCCCAAGCCTCAAGCTGAGTCGCCGCAGCAACAAATTTGCCTACATCTTCTGCACGCGTGTAGACAATTTGTTTTTCTCCATCCCCGGGAATGTCTGCTGAACGTTTCGATAGATCGAAGATGTACGGAAAGTGAGGCATATGTCCGTGGGCCTTGTGCCCCTCTGGTTTAGTGTTCCCATACCCAAGGTAATTCATGAATACACCACAACTAAAAAGGCTGTATTCGAAGGAGTCGGTGCGCTCCTGCTTGACTTGCCGAAGTGAATGTATGATTGGTAATTTCATCTGGTAGAGTTTGATTGAAGGTACCTGCTCTGAATTGACAGCGAATTCACTAGGAGCGAACCGACGAATGGTGGGTACTGATAACGCGGCACGAAGGAGACTTTCCTGTGAAGTAATGAATGCGTCGGGGGTAGTACCAGACAGGGTAGAAATGACAGTGTCAATCTGGAAATCATTCAGGACTTTCCGCATCGAGGACTGGTCCTGGTAGTCGACAGGGACAATAGGTGCATTATTTCCTGCATAGGAGATGTCCGAAGATCGTGAACGAGAGAGGACGATAATTTCTAGCGAATACTGTTGCTTGATTTCGAGAAGGCCCTCGACAATATGCTTTCCGATCCTACCAGTTCCGCCTGCGACAGCGATGCGTTGAGACTTCATGGTAGCTCGTATGCGCCTCAGTCTGTCTCCAGTCTGCCCCTCGCACCATTTATACGCATCGAAAAAGTTGTATGGTAAGCATTGTTTTTCACATCCGATTTCATTCCGCAAGTTTAGATCCGATTTCACTCCGTGTAGCGATAGGTAGTGATGCTACATATGTCGTATCGATACCGATTTAGCAAAGGAACGGCAAGACGATGTGCTCCGATGATCGTCGAAAAAGTCAACGTTCTGCAAGAATCATAAATGGGCATAAGAGAAGCGGTAGTCAGAGCGTGCGCGGGGTCATGCCGCGAGGACGCTGAACAGCTTGTGTCTCAATCTTGATAGCGCCCCCTTATTTGTACCCACTGTTCAAAATAGTAGTCGTGAACACGAAACCCTCCTTCATGGAACATAACAAACTGAGCCCTGACTCGGCATATCCGGATTTTGATTCATGAGTACTTATACTCGAAGGGCTCTTCAAAGTTCAAAGCAACCTTCTCAGATATGATACAAAGATATAGTACAAAATGGAATGAAAATGTATGTGAATGAATACGCGCCGTTATAAGTGAATGAGTATTTAGCCATACACTCATTTTTTTGTCTTGCTCTTCTTCCCTTTACTTCCACCCTGTTCCTGATCTTCACCCTGTGGGAGCAGAGTCAGTTACAACTTGTAATCAAAGTGCAACAACGCATCTGACCTTTCTTTTGGCACCTTTCTTTCCCTTGTCGTCCTTTCCTTTCCCTTTAGCTATTTCCTTAGGCTTTGCTGTAACCGTAAAGAAACCATCCAACCGTCCTTGCTGTTTGGTATTCAGGTATTTTGAAAGTTTTTCTGCACCCTTGCGCACACGTTCTTCACTGTTCAAAGGTGAATGATCTACATATATCAGTGATGGCAGAAAGTGTAGCACGTACTTGAAACCCTTCTCAGTCACTAAAAACTGCACCAAGCCATCGACATCGGGATTCTTCCAGTCAAGCTAATGGAGGGACGTTAATGAGTAACATCATTGAACACAAGCTTGCAGTAAACATACATCTAATTCATCCGCAGGGGTGACATCTGGTTTCAAGAACAGTTCCTTTGCCTCTTCCCATGGCCACTCCTCTGGCATCGACACACCACCTTTGCCCTTCCCCTTTGCTCCCTTCTTCTTAGCTTTGGGTTTTGGTTTACTAGAAGATGCTTCTTCGATGTCAGAACCATCAGGTTGTTCAACATCAGACGTGGGAGCCGGGTCTTCTTCCTCTGCCTCTTCCTCTTCCGCTGCTTCTGCCACAGCTTTCTCTTTTTCCGCTGTTCTATACACCCATCAACAAGACCCATCGTTAACGGGACAGTGGACTTACTTGGCTCGGAGATGTTTGACGACGCCCCTCAGTCCATTATGCTCGCGAATAAGTTTAAGGGCGGACTTTGGACCAACACCTTTGATGGGTTCGAGATAATCACACCCTAACAGAATACATAAATCGACAAACTGGATTTTGGATAAGCATAGAGCATTTATATAGGGATTGGGCGTACTTGGCTCATGTTCATGTCAAGGCCTTGCAAAGCCGCACTGAGGTTGATTTCGCTGATAGGCTGTTTCTTGGCTTCGGAAAAAGTGAGATGGCGGAAGAGGATGGGTGCGTTGAAAGTAAGCGTGTCCATATCTTCTGAGCCGGCTGCATAGACCTGAGACTTAGGATGAGGATGGGATTGTATCACATCGGGAGGTATGTAGAATACCTTTCCACCCCGAGCTAATTCAGCACATTGAGCTTCTGCTTCAGACGGAGCCTGAAGTATGTGAGAATACAAGATATCAGAGCTTTACAAAAGGCGTACCACAATCACAGGGATGCCCATAAGTTTCAGTAAGCGTATGCATTCTTCATTATGTTGCTTCGTGACCTTGACCGTTCTCCGAGAAAACCTGTCGACATCTTCCGCAGTACCAACTTCTTTAGCTTCTGCTCCCTCTTCCTTGGCTTCTTCACGTCGGGCGAAACGTTTTGAAAGCTGACGCAACGTCAACATGGGCACGAAGGATGGGAAGTCAAACCACATACCACTCCCTTCTTTAATTCTGGGGGTTTACCATCGAATACATAGGCAGGTTTGATGCCATTCTCCACAATACGAATAGTCCTGTAAAAAAATCCCATCAAGTGGCTTGTTGTTTCTCCAGCATCGTTCATGAGCATTTCTCCGTCGCGTTGACGTACTGCAATGAGAAATTGGTATATCGACATGGAGGCATCGATGGCGACTTTTCGACCAAAAAGGGTTTTAATTTCATGCTCCTTGATTGCATGTGGTGCATGTTCTGAGATGAGCCCAGTAAGACCTTTTATACCCATTGACGACGATGGTGGGGTAGACTGAATAGTAGACGCGCGAAGGAACGTGACAGAACGCGTTTACGCTGTCACACCTCGGTAAAATAACTTTTGATTTTATGCCTTCCAATCGGTTTCTCTCGCCAAGTCTTTTCCTTCTTTTGTGGATAACTTTCGTTCATCTTGCCGGCATATATCTATTTACTAGTGGATTTCTACTAACAAGACTTGCTCTTACCAATGTTACTTCTTGTGTAGATGGGTCCTGCACTCTGCCAGCTACTCACAAACGAGCAGTCATCCTCATCGTTGATTCGCTGAGGTTCGATTTTATTGCCCCGGCACCATTTATCCCTTCCTCGAATAGCACAGAATTCTCGGCCCATCACCACTCTATTTTAACTCTTCCATCTCTTCTCACTAATGCTCATCCGCGAAACTCGTTCATATTCAACTCGTATCCTGACCCTCCTACGACAACGCTCCAGAGGATCAAAGGTCTCACTACGGGATCACTTCCTACATTTGTTGATCTGGGAAGTAATTTTGGTGGCAGCGAAATTGAAGAAGATTCCTTCATTGCCCAGGCCAAAATGAAAGGTGGAGAGGTATGTAATTTAATTCGTGTATCACTTTACTGAGTATACTGACCTGTATCAGATAGGATTCATGGGAGACGATACTTGGATGGCCGTTTTCCCCGACACATTCAACATTAACATGACTTGGCCGTACGACTCCTTTAATGTGGAGGACTTGCATACTGTTGATAATGGGGTCATCACACACTTGTTCCCTCTACTCGAGTCGAACAAAGCTCCGGACCTCATCATAGGTCATTTTCTTGGTGTTGACCATGTTGGCCACCGCGTGGGCCCATTCCATCCATCCATGAGTTCAAAACTACAACAAATGAATGCTACTCTCAGCCATGTCGTCGACTTGTTGTCTGATGACACGCTTCTAATCGTTCTCGGAGATCACGGCATGGATCATTCTGGAGACCACGGAGGTGACGGTGAACTCGAGACAAGTGCCGCTGTCTGGATCTACAGCAAGGGCATAGAACTGTTCGATGATCACATCGGAAGCATCCCTTCCGAGCTGGTACCGTTTACGACCTTTCCCAATGCTGAATCTCCATATCGTCATATACAGCAGATTGATCTGGTTCCGACCATCTCACTTCTTCTTGGTTTACCTATTCCTTTCAACAACCTAGGTAGTGTGATACCTGAGCTCTTCTGGAGGGAAACCGGTAGCAACCCTGACAGCCAAGTCGGGGAGTCATGGAGCTGGGGCGGAATTCACAAAAGTGCGAAGCTTGAAGGGGGTACAAAACCGGATGGTCATCTTTTAACCCGTGCTCTACAGTTGAATGCACTGCAAGTACACACCTATCTCGATACCTACCGCTCCTCCAGCTCAGGCGCTGAGTTGGACGACGCGTGGCCAGGATTAGAATCTACGTGGCACAAAACGGATGCTCGTATACCGAAATTGGGGAGTCAAAACCTGGTCGATATGTGGAACTACACCCGACTCGCTCTGTCATCCTGTCGTTCGATGTGGGCGCAGTTCAACCCATATTTGATGATCCTTGGCTTGATATCACTTTCAATATCCCTTCTATCAACTTGTGTTGTTTACATAGGGATTCGTCGTGTGGCTTCTTCCTCTCCTACGGAGACAAATTGGGAAGATTGGCTGAGTGCCCGCTTGTGGCAGGCTGTTCGTGGATTTGCTGGCGGTGCCACCATTGGTTTCCTCGCTTCGCTTGCACTCGAAATCCAAGGAAAAGGTGTAGATTCCTTGGATTGTATACTTTTCATGGCACCCTTTACATCATGTATAATGATAGCTGTGCATTCACTCCCCAAAAATCATACAGTGCCGAAAGCTCTATCTGTGGTCTCGATGTCAGACTTGATTGTGTTCATACCATTCGTCTTGCATGTTGCGGCATTCTTCTCAAACTCCTTTACGTTCTGGGAAGACCGTATTGTAGCCTTCCTCCTCCCCTCTTCACTCATTCCACATATCCTTACTGGTGTCCGAGCTCCCACCGCTCGCCTCCGCAGACGTATACTAGGATTTGCTGGGTTAACAGCAGTATGCGTCAGGCTCATGGCCGTCAGTACCATATGTCGTGAAGAACAACATCCTTATTGCCATGTTACCTTCTATTCTTCGACTTTGTCCACCCTCGACAACGATTACACATCCGCAGTAGTCCCACCATCTGCATCATCATCTTTCGCGCCTTTGTTCGCGCTCTTCGGAGCCCCACTTGTTGCACTAGCATTGCCGATTGCTTTGCGCCTTTTCTTGAGACAATCGAAATCAGATCAGGGACTAGCTACCGTATGGTTCAGCTGGGTGATGGTTCCGAGTTTGTCATGCGGTACTGGATATTGGTTGATTGAGTACGTTGAAACGGCTGGAGTGGTAGATGAGAGCGAGTGGGGTACCGCTTTAAGATTCTGTAGGACCTTTTTAGCACGAGCGGCTTTCGGTTGGCCAACTATTGTAGGCGGAGCTCTTTGGTGGAATTATCCTCTGTGTATCTCCGTCCTAGCCGAAGAAGCATCCGAGAGACAGTCTGGACGTCAGGTCACTATTCTAGGTTTCGCAAATGCGTACGGTGCGCCCTATATGCTGTTCTGGACCATTACATTTTCAGTTGTATGGGCAGCAACGCAGCTCACTGGTCAGATCATACTGGGCCTCTCAGCAGTAGCACTTATGTCAATTTTGGAAGTTCTCGACGGAGTACGAGACGTTGAAGCAGTAGAAGACGCTTTCAAGTCCAATAAACTCTCGGAAATATTACAGACCGGAGGAGACGAATTTGGGGTAACTGGTCCACAGCACGATAGTTCAACCAAGCTTAAGTTTACAGAAATTGCCTCCTTGGTTTTATTAGCCCTCCATGCATTCTTCCGTACAGGTCATCAGTCGACTATATCCTCCATCCAGTGGAAATCTGCTTTCCTTCTTTCCTCAACCGTGACTTACCCCTGGTCTCCCGGTACAGCAATATTGAATTCATTTGGACCTTTATGGACTGTCGGCGTAGGCGCTGGTCTAGCTGGTGTCTGGCTAAAATCGCCCAGATCTTTCGTGCTGCCTTCCGTACAAGATAAAAAGTCGGAGAAGAATGATCAACCCACTGTTCACACACTCCAAACCAATGACCAAATCCAAGCGTCAATTTTACTTTGCTGTCTCTGCTTGACCATGTACTTCCTCGCAATCTTGTTGACCACTTCTCTTTCGGCTGCTATCCTTCGACGCCACCTAATGGTCTGGAAAGTATTTGCGCCGAGATGGATGTTGGGAGTAGTGGGTGTGCTGGTAGGTGATGTGAGCACAATCTCAGTCTACATCGGGATGTGGCGAATTCAAAAAATGGTGGACCAGACTTTGAGACGTTGATAGTTATCGATCAGCAACTCAACGAAGATACCACTCATGTTACATGTTACTCAATCTACCACTTAAACACCGCATAGTAGTATGCCATAGGAACGGAAGCTTCAAGCGTTCGAGAAGGTTATGGGGCTGACACAGGATACATATCTTCATGCTTTTTATGGAAGAAAGAGGAGAGCGATTGCAGGTGGGCAGTGAATAGATGCGAGATGGTGCATCATGTTTTTTATTTATTACACGCTATAAACTTTCCGCGCATTGTCGCGTGCGACTTTGAGTACCCAGTCGGAGTCTACTTTGTTTTCATCTCCTTCCCAATGTTCGTTTACTATTCCGGCAACGAAGTCTGCCGTCCATGGAATCATAGCGCTATGAGAAAGTGGCAACCTTCTTCCCTTGAGATCATTGCTATTGGGCAAATCCTGTAATGATGTGTATATGTTGGCAGGAACCATGTAAGGCGCGTCCGTCTCTAGAAGAATACGCAGAGGCAATACAGAGGGAGCAGTCATGCGTCGAATCAAAGCAGGCGTATCGAGATTAGTTGCAAAAGTCACCACACCAGTTATACCGATGCAGAGATTGGGAAAGTAATCTAACAGTCGTTGCCCAAAATCCGGTGAGTCGGTGAAGCAGTGTATGTGTATCTAACGTAGGGTCTTGTGGTTAGCTTTATCATCAAAGAAAATATCTAGACGCCTACCGGATGTTCTTTCGGGACGAGTTCCTTAAGAATCCTCTCCGTATCGGCATCCGCCTCTCGAGTGTGTATTGTGAGCGGTTTATTGAGTCTTACGGCATGCTTCAACTGACGAGAAAACACCGCTTGTTGAATGTTCCGCGGAGAATTGTCGTAGTGATAGTCAAGGCCCATTTCACCCCACCCGACACATCTAGGATGTTCCATCGCTTCCAATCTGTGTAGTCATCAGAAATGTACGAGATCTGAGGCTGGTAGAGCATACATGTCTGCTTCAACCTCATCATTGTAGAGTTTAGCTTCGTGTCTGATGTAAATATAAATCACTTTGGCTTTGGTATATGTACATAGATAGAATACTTACGGGTGTACACCTATATCAATTTCAGATCGTTTTGATTCATAGAGCACAAGTCACTGACCCATCACGAACCAATATTCCAAGCCTCCCCATTTACTTTTTCTATCTTCCTCGCGCAGTGCAGAGTCCGCGAACTCTTTCCAAAGCTTACGCACTGGAGCCTCACACCAAACGTCTATCACTGCTTCTATGTGTTTTCCAGCGTACATGCCCTTAATAAAGTCAAAGACGGTTTGATACTTCGAGTCCATGCGGTATTTTGAGTAGTACATTTCGAATGTTGAAGCCAGATGTGTATGTGTATCGATAACCTGGATAGTGGAAGAATGGGCTGGTAGTTGGAGGAATGACTCTGAAAGGGGGCCTTTTGATTTTCCTTTCCCCATTTTGTGCGAAAACCAGCGATAGTTAGTAGAAGATACGAGATTTCTGAAATTAGGACTACAGGAATGTCGGGAATGTCGGAGAAAGAGCATGTGCGTGACAGAGTGTGACAAAATTTCTCTGCGTCTCTCCGACAAGCTTGTTTAGGTCAAGCTCACGCGGTGGACGGTCGGCTGTCTTTTTTCTAATAAGGAATGTACAAAGCTTCGAATCACAGCTACAGGTCTTTCCGACGACTAATTTCTGCTTCACCTCACTTCAAAGGGCTCACAAGACGCGCCGGATTCCCGTATGCCTTTCAGTGAATGTAATTTGTCGCCCTCTAATGTTCATTCCAGCCTTAATCACATAAGGACATCATCTATTCATGGTAGCGCGGCTGGGCTCTACCCTCGCAAGGCATCTAGAAACTTGGAAAGCACAGAAGACGGATTTGATTCGGCCTCTATCCAGGAGTTAATAGACAGAGAGTACGTTTAGTCCAAATTGCCGTCATATCAGCTCTGTATAACGTGCACTATGCAGTAATCTAGGTCTCGATAGCTTGTTAGTTTGCCTCTCACTCCCTTGCAATCTCTCTGATTCATGATCTGGTATTGTAGGAACGCCGACGATGACTTTGAGCCTGCGCTATTCTTGCAAAAGGATTCAATGACAGAGCCCCCAGAGTTCGTGACCTGGTTCTAAACTTTATATTTCACTAAAATCCTAATTCCAGATTAGCGCAGTCAGAGGATGAGCTTTTTGGCGTGGCACACAGCCGGTACGTGTTTTCCAATTCAAGTTTACATACACTCCTGACCTTACTTAGATTTGAGCAAGAGCTGCCTCCAATATCTCCATTACCTTCTGGTCTTGACCCTCGTCAGCTTCCTGTGAAAATAGACTTCCTATCTGACCTTGGTCCAAATCCTTCAGAAGAAGCCTATGCATCGGCTCTGGTACACGGTCGCTCAATTCATCTACCCTATATCCATCCCCGAACGCATTCAATTCCAGCAGGCAACATTACCTTCTATTCACATCATCCTCGTCTCCTAGCGCTCTTTACACATGTAGCTTCTCATGCAGCCAGCTCCTTAGCTATTCCGATATCCAAAGTCATCATGCTCCCCACCGAACGCTCATTATGGACGGTTATCCGTGCTCCTTTCGCCTACAAAAAGAGTCAGGAGAATTTCGAAAGAAAGACTCACAAGAGGATGATCAAAGCTTGGGATGCTGACCCAGAGGTTATCGACCGATGGGTCAAATACCTTGAAAAACATGCGATGGGCGGTGTTGGTATCCGGGTGACAAAATGGGAAAGGCTTCCTATAGGGATAGGCAAAACGCGTCTCGCGCGGGTGAAGGAGGCTTTTAAAGCACCTATACCAAATGGGGTGTCTTCAGTCGATGCGAAACTGCTTGAGGTCCAACAGGAAGGTGATTCGGATGCGAATAGGAAACAGGCTATCCAGGCCCTCGGAGAAAAGATTTTGAAAGAGGAGCTTCAAACCTTTAAAGGGTCACAAAAACCTCCTGCAGCTTCATTGGGTGCATCTGGAAATACTTTAGCCACGGAACGAGTTCATGTGTCAGCTGACAAACCTCAGGTAAAAGGTTCTCCTAAAATTCATGCGAAAGGAAACAATAAAACATCGTCTACTTCCACGTCCAAGACGAAAGCCTCGCCCTCTTACAACAGTAACTCTTCTGCTAAAGCTGAAACTGTTACTCCAGCGAAGGCGGAGCAGTCGACTTCAGCATCCGCTCCCGGTAAAACATGATTCCGCCCGGCTACACAGGCCTCTGCACAGAAGATTACCTGCTTACCTGTCAGAAAAATCTTCCGCTGCCGAGTTTTGTGGGGTTTCGAGCTCTGCATCTTGAGCCCAAGACTAATTGAAACAGGAGGAGGAATCTCGTGGAAAAGTATAATTTGTTTACGGTATATCTGTTCTACGATGTAATGAATGCTCGCAAGTTTTCTCGTGGTATATTGCAGTCCTAAGATGGAGTCGTGAAGTGAGGTACCTGACTGTACTTCCCATGATTTCACGATTTGTAATCGTAACTGTAGACCTACTATCTTCTTGACTATATGAGTCTGACATCGTTCAACAAAGAGACTTTGAACATCGGTGGTCTTCCTGTACAAGTTTACTCAGCTTGGAGTACTAGTTTGGACCTCAGCAAACCGGTCTTCGTCTTATTCTTTCTTCATGGGCGCAGTGGGAAGGCGGATCACGTAGAACCAGTTATTAAGTCTGTTTACGATGATATTGTGGGCTCTGCAAAAGTCCTTGACCAAGATTTGGTGATCGTCACTTTTGTAAGTTATTGACGTTTCTGGTTTCGGTTTTGTATCTGTACCATAACCGTTTATCAGGACCATCGGAACCATGGCGGTAGACTGATCGACGAAATGGCAAATCAAGGTTGGAACGAAGACGAGTCGAAATCCAATATTCGCCACGGGTAGGTAAATTCATGGCATATGAAAGTGTACAATGAAGTTCTCAGGACTTGTCTGAAGAATTGACATGTTCGCCATACAAGGTACAAGCCTACTACAAAAAATCTTCCATCATACTCACTCATTCAGATGGGTCTGCAAGAGACGTGTCTTTCCTGGTTGATTATCTCCCGGCTTATTTATATCCAGAATCTGAGCGAAAGATATCTGGATGGGGATTAGCAGGAATTAGTTTGGGAGGACACTCGACGTGGACAGCACTTGCCAAAGGTTTGATTCCATTCTCCGTCCTGCCCAGATCGTAAGCTGATCATCAACCGTAGAGCCCAGAATCCAGGTCGGAATCCCTATCATTGGGTGTCCCGATTATCTATCACTGATATCTGAGCGAGCTGCGAAATTCGGGATTTCGGTGGACTCGGCGTCCAGGCACTTTCCAGAGAGTTTGCTAAAGCTCATTAAGGAAGGATCACCTCCGTCGACGCCTTATCTAGCGCAAGATGCCTCAAACCCATTTCTCGGTAAAAAGGTTTTGGTCTTATCCGGAGGTGCTGACCCTCTGGTGCCATGGAACGCGAGCCAGAACTTCGTCGAAGGCCTTGAAGTTGGTATTGATGGATATAAGAAGGTTGTTGTTCAGCCCGACACAGGGCATAAAGTTACGGCGGAGATGATAGCAGAAATGTCGGAATTCTTGCGAGGAGTTGTGCTGAGAGCCTGAGATGCGCGCTTGTTTTAATATGCTGTACTGAGTACTGATTAGTCATCCAACCGAGAATCGAATTTGCAGTATGTTTATTCAACGCTTATACTTTCGAACGACGAGCTTGAGGACTATCCCGTTCATCTGTGGCAGCAACCATCTTGAGCTTTAACTATCTTTCGCTGCTATTCCACACTGCTTAGCCCTCAGTAGTCCTCATCGTCAGTGTACTGGCACTCAACATTTTCTGGCACTTAGTTGAATCATAACTAGCCCAAGAGTTGATAAGTCGCAGGCAATCATCATCGTCTTCGCCAATGCCCCGCCGCACTTCCGCTCGTAGTGCCATTGCTCATGCTGCGCTAAACTCATCTACACGGTCTGCCACCGTTCCTCCTCGATCTCTTCCCGAAAATCTCGTCGTTCTCAGAAAGCAGTGGAAATGGGCGGCATTTAGTCAATTCTTCTTCACTTTCTCCCCCTTGTTTGCCATGGACGATGTCTCCCTGAAGGTACGCGGCTGTCTTGCGACTTCCATTATTATGCTTGACCTGCCGCATCTTTCCAGGATGTGGAAGACGACTTGTATATGGGCAGCTCTCTCGTATTACCGCGTATCATGGTCAGACTTCTGTATACCCTCTCCTATGACCGGAAAGTCAAGTGCGTGCTGTATACTGGCTATAGGACCCATCTGACGCGTACTGACCGCGTTTTAGTCTGAACAACTGGCAAACCACATTACGACGCCAATACACCAAACGCGATCCCATAGCTAACCCCATAGGTCCCGAGCCTATCAAAGAAGATGATTACGCCCGTGAATTAACTTCTCCAGAGCCTCCTTCGACTAAAGAAGGGACAAATGAGCCTACCGATGATACGGTGGTTAGGAGTAAACCCTCTTCTCGAGAACACTCGATGTTTCCCGAGAATGGCAAGGCGCCCATGGTCAAGCCTGAAGATGACTTTACTACATCAACCACCTCCCGAGAGAAGTATCATCCGTCAAAGGCAAAAGACAATGCTCCAGAAGAAGAGTCGAAGGATTGGCTCTCTCTAAATATGTTAGAAAAATTGGACTCTCTTCACTTGTTGACCGAATGGCAATTCCAAAGTCCGAAGCGTGTGCGTATGTTGATGAAAAGTGACGATGATCAGGCTTCTTGGGTGTGTTGCTCTACGAAAAAGTTGTTAATTTCAACTGATGAGTTTCACAGCGAATTGAGCCAATAGGCTATGATGCCAAGCGCAATGCTTACTGGCTTATCGGTGGTGCGTAGGTCTCACTCGAGGTCCAAAGCATGGATGGCTGAACATTGTTCGTTCGTCGACTAGCCGACCGCCTATGGATCCAGCGTGTTCCACCTAAACCCCCCAGACCACCCCCCAAACACTCTTTGAAACGCAAACGAATCGTGGACACGAATCAAACAAAGACGAAGTTATCTTCAACAAAGCGACTTCGTTTACAAAGTACTATCGAAAGCGATAGAAACGTTGCCAAATCAGCTGTAGAACCTGTCCCTAGCACCAGTGGGCGGCACGGTCGCGCAGCGAAGGATCAAGCAAACCTAAAACTCGATGCCCAAGCTAAAGAGCTAGCCGAACTCAATAGGCAAGCTGCTCTTTTGGCCTCCCATAGTCCTGGAAGCAACCGTAAATCATCCACTCGTGGTGCATCATCTGCGAAGTTATCGTCCTCGCCCGCTCGCCCAACTCGAGGCACATCGTCTGCACGTCCACTTGGTACACGTCAAAGTGCAAGGCTCAGAGGATCAGATGACGATGAATGGCAAGCTATACCTGATGAATGGCTACAGAATGATGAAGATGGCGATATGGAAGAGAAAGGCAAGGATAAACGCGGATCGCCCAGTCTTCGGAGCGTCTCGAGTATCAGTGAATTGACGGAGCTCAGCGAAGAGGAAGAAATCCCAACGCCAGCAGAGGAAACACGAATCATGGAGGAACCTGTCTCTCCTGATAAATCACAAGAAAATGTTTCGATGACTCAAGAATTTGTTGAATGGGAAACTGTAAGCTGTCTCAATATTTCTTGTCGCTATATAACTATGTACTCATATCATACCTTAGATTGCTGTTACACTCTTCGAGTGGGAACACATAGCCGAACGTTGGCAAAACGCTACTCATTACTCTGAAAAGGCTCTTTGCAAGGTTCTTAAAAATCATATCGTGCCCATCATCACGGAAGAGCTCAGAGTATGTTTCCTCATACGCTGACACTCAAGTGGAACTGATTATCATCCCAGGACGTCGAGGTTAAACGCCAGAAAGAAGAATCTATAACTCAGCGCAAGCGATCATCTCGCATCGCTATTAGGGAAAGCGAAAAAGAAGAGGTTCGGCTCGCCGCCAAGAAGAAAGCAGAGGAGGAAGAGAAGATGAGCAGAGCCAAACGTCTGGAAGCGAGACAACGGAAGGAGGAAGCAGAAAGGATCAAACGAGAGACGGCACGAGAACAGAGGAGGAAGGAACGGGAAGAAAAGGAGGAAAGGGAAGCCCGCGAAGCTGAAGAAAAAGAAAAGAAAGAGCAACAGAAGGCTGAAAGGGCAGCAGGGAGGGCGAAGCAGCGATCGTGAGTTATGAATTGTCCTGACCTTGTTGTGTTTATGTAGCCTCCCCAAGATCGCAATCCAAACCCGTTACTCAACCTTTCGGGTCAGACAGTGTGCTATTACTGCACCCTCCAGGAGGGTCTCACTACAGCTCTATAAATGGGTCTACTAACAACTCAAGAAATTCGCGCACATCTGCAGGCGATGACTGGGAACTCGACTGCGAAATTTGTAATCGCCACGGAAAAAATCTTGTGGGTTATCCTCACAGAGAAACCTAGAACCCGAAGTTGCTGACGCCGCTGTGCAGGATGAACGTGTGCCGCTGCTATGTTGTGCATTATGTTCAAGATGGCAACACATCTCTTGTCATGACCAAGCTGATTTGCAAGCAGGTCGTCCACGACGGAATTGGGACCAGGACGAGTTTATATGTCGTCGATGTCGAATGGATGCTCATAATAGCAATCAAAATGGAACACAGATGCAGTATCCACAAGCCATGAACATGTATCCTTCACTACGCTCTTCCGTGCCGTCTCCGTATAACCAGGTCCCGTATGGGCAGGGTCTGGGATTGGACTCAGGAGCTCCTCACACAAGTAACGGTTATATTGACGCGCCTATGACGAATGGAAGTAGAGCCTACGGAACAACAGATGTCCGCTCCTCTCAAACTTATATGGATCGCTCCAATGCAGGTCCGAACTCCAAGCAGATATTGTTCTCGCACTACCAGCCCCAACAGCACGACTTTGTTCGCAATGAACATGAGCAAAGAGGCCCACAGGATTTGTTAACCGCATACGGACATTCGGCCCATTCATACAATCACTACGGAAACAATAATTCTTCTAACGAGGTTCGTTGATCGTCTACTCAGCATTTCTGTACTTACTTACAATTAGATGGCTGAGTGGAATGAGACATCGACCAACCATGCGTACGAATACTCTTCGACATCTTCGTCGACACCATCTATTTCCATGCCTCATAATAGCATTGAAAGAACTAGCGTCGTACCCGAGTCTTCGTCGCGACATATTTCCCACAACAAACCTGCGTATTACCAGCAGCAGGAGGAATGGAATTCACATTCTAGTAGTGCTGAACGATTAAACGCAATCTCCAATTCCTCATCACATCCTATTCCTCATGACCTGCCTACTCATCATCAGCAGCAGCAGCAATGGCACTCTCGTCACCCCACTGCTGCTTCCTCACAAATGCTCTCACAGAGTAACATGCCATTTGCAACATCCCCATCACCATTGCAATCACATCCTTTGTAGGCTTTACCGTATTCATTCCGATCTTTCTGTTCCATATGTAATTCAACACAAACAGGATCCTGGCAATTTGTTGTTAATAAAGCCTTGGTTTGTACTCGTATTTAATCTTCTTTATTTTTAGTTGCATGTATTGTAATGCAAGTTATGAGAAACCGTTGGTCCTATCTAACACAATATTGTACCTACTTACCTTGACTCAAAGTGTCAAGAGAACACTAGAACACAGAGTAAGAATGAATAGTCTTGCGAGAGTCGAGACTAAACCACAAGTAAAATTACAATTCTGAGTTACGGTACAACTTGAAGGGTCTCATCGAATGGTTTCGTGCATCCTAAACTCGGTAGATGTCCAAGGAAATGGGTCCTCTTCACTAACAACTTCTCTGGTGCAAAGTTAGAGGACAAAGAAGCCAAACAGAGTCAATAGACAAAAGAGACGCACTCTACAGGGCCCAGAACGCGCAAACCACGCACATGAGTGTCCTTCCCACTCATATGGTTAGCAAGAATGATGATTTGAAGAAGATAAGCGTAGACAGGTTTTCTGAGAGGGTTATTTAAAAAAACAGTGTTGCCGGTGACATGAAAAACGTACAAGCCTTCTCCACCCTCGTTGGGTTCAGACGATATATCGAAGGTAAGCCAGCCATCCGGTTTCTCGAGTGTGATGATGCGAACGTCTTGGAGATCATTTGGACCTGTTCCAGCGCGAATAGCCAGCGTTGAGGGTGTATAGGAGTCGTCAAGAGGATGACAAAGGAAAATACTGAGTTTCTGTATCAAGAGGTCAGAATTAGCTGGACATCAGGAAAAACGCGTGGAGACATCCTTGAATCGCGACTTTTCGAGGAAATTCAATTGTTATGAAGTGCGGTTGTGGACCGTCAGAACTAGCAAGAACAGTCGGTCACAAAATGGCCCCAAATGCTACTATCCGACCGCTTACTGCCAAAAGGTCTCGGGATCCCCATCTTGCAGACATTCTGCTCCGAAACCAAACTTGTAGGAAGACACAGACCATTTCGCTTGTGCAGAAATGTCAGGCCAAGGCAAAGTTGGTGGTCTCTTGTCATCTACTGTGTGATTGACGAATCAAGATTTAATGAGAATATTGGTTTCCACTGACTGGTCAAAATGAATGGTGAATTGAGGTCCTCTGGTGCAGGTTGGGTAGTGCCCGTGGCAACATTGACCGGCGTCGCTACCGGAGCAGGATGAGACGTCGACATAATTACAAATGCAAGTCAAAGCAGTGTCAAAGATCCAAAATAATAATGTTGTCTTCTTTTCTTAACCTTTAAATGGCAGAAACGCCTCTTGCACTCAATGACTACCGTCGATATGGACGACAGATGATTCTCGATGGTTTTGGTCTTCCAGGTAACTTCCATCATTGTCAATTCAAGACTGCTTGCTTAAACTATCATAGGCCAATTGAAGCTCTGTAATGCATCAGTAGTTGTTGTAGGAGCTGGAGGCCTTGGCTGTCCCGCTCTGCAGTATCTTGGCTCATCAGGAATAGGTTTTGTCTGCTTTCATTCCTCAGCCAGCAACGAAATGCCCATTCCGCACGCTCAGGAAGGATCGGCATCATCGACCACGATCGCGTAGAGCTGTCAAATCTCCAACGTCAAATTCTACACAATGAAGAGACAGTGGGCATGCCGAAAGCCCAATCTGCTGCTATTGCTCTCAAGCGGTGCGTAGCTCGCTGGTTTGCTGGTTTCTACTGTTGCGCGCTCAATGCGCAGCGTTTCCTCGTGCAGAATAAACTCAAATATAAAAATCGACTCTTTCACTGAAGCTCTCACCCCGGAAAATGCCCTATCTCTCCTTGAACCCTTCGATGTCATTCTTGATTGCACCGACAATGCGCCGACTCGTTATCTCCTTTCAGATACGGCAGTCACTTTGCATAAGCCCTTAGTGAGCGGAGCTGCACAAAAATTCGAAGGCCAGCTCTGCGTGTATAATTTAGGCGAAAACGGTCCATGTTATCGCTGCTTGTTTCCCAAACCGCCAGCACCGGAGAATGCAGGATCTTGTGAAGAGACAGGCATCCTGGGTGCAGTGACAGGTATCATAGGTAACTTGCAAGCTCTAGAAACCATCAAGATTCTTACAGGTTTACATGGTAAGCCTTTTCTATTATTATGCTAAGTTACTGCGAATACTGGATTGCTGTCATCTAGACTACAAGCCCACGTTGTTGCTATTCTCCGCACTCAGCGTTCCTCAGTTCCGAAGTATCAAATTACGTTCTCGTAAACCCACTTGCCCAGCTTGTGGTCAACAAGGAAAGATAATCGGCTCGATCAGCGACATTGACTACGTTCAATTTTGTGGCGGAGCAACACCTGATTGGGAGACCTTGGGTCTAGTCGAAACGCATCCGGGGCATAGGATCCGAGTGAAGGTAGAGCTATGTATAATTCATTATCTCAAAATGCTCAGACATACTTTAGGATCTCAAAAACTCCATCGACAGTGATAGTATCTTACATCTCATCGACGTCAGACCAAAAACTGAGTTTGAGATTTGCCATCTTCCTCAGTTCACTCGTGAGTTGGCACTCTCTGTCACTTCACTTCCAGTGGATAGTCATCTAATTGTCATGTCCGCCATTCAGACGTCCCACTTAATGATATAGTTGCAAATCCCTCGTCCTTTCTTCCAACGCACCCTGATACACCTATATACATTATCTGCCGCCTGGGAAACGACTCACAAATTGCTGCAGAGGCTTTGCGGGGATTGGAAAACAATGCTCACAAAGATCGGATAGTAAAAGACGTTGTTGGAGGCTTGAGAGCTTGGTCGAAGGAGGTCGACCCTCACTTCCCTATATACTAGACGGCTGCCTATTGAAAAAATTCAATCGGCAGAGTGGATTCGTTATAAATGTTCAAAAACTACGATCCAGGATGAATATGTCCATACTTAGATATATACACCTACTTATATTATTCTACAATTATTTTTCTGCAGGTCGAAGTTAATGCAAGAGGGGAGAATGATAGCGGAAATGACTTACTTCCTAATTTGAGCCACTTGGGTATCTTTTTCTCTCCTGCTGCTGACCCATTGAGGGTTTTGTTTACCTTTTTCGTCGACGATTGCGAAGCAGAAGACGTATCTTCTAAGCTCAAAGGTGCAGGTAGAGATTCTGCCAAAGCCAGGATGTCGGATGCAAGCGGAGCGGGGACATCGGAGCCTGATAGCAAGCTACTTCAGATTACGATTCGTAATAGGACATCGGGATTCAATGTACCGTTCAATGATTCATCTTCGAAGCGCAGGAGTAGCACTGAAGATGGTGCAAGTTCCAACTCGGCCAAAGTCAAGTTCTTAACCTTGAGGTCGGAGACTTTGAGATCACGGCGAGGAGGCTGATCTACACAGATTGTGTTATCACTAGGATTGGACTGGAAGATTGGCTCGACGACGAACACAGTATGAATTTGACTGGTTTCACATCTTCTCTCAATGAATTTCGTACAAATGCGTAGACAGATTTGATCTTGTCTGTGGAAGGGAAGACCTTTTCGAGTTGCGTTCTGTCTGTGAAACGCACTCGAATTGTTGTCTGCTTTCCACAATGAACAAAGGTGAATAAAGAACAAAGTATGCATAACACACATTAGGCCATCTCTCCTTCTTAGCCTTCTCCGCTGCCTCACGAGTGGTCCGAAGCTGTAAAGGCGCATTCGTCAACGCTTGTGTGCGGGCTGATAATTGGGTTTGTGCTAATTTAAGGTCAGAGGCGGTTGGATTGAAGTATGAGTCAGGCAAATCCGCTGCGAAGGTTCATGAATGGGCTGTTTTCAAAGCGACAGTTGGAAATCCAAATCTCACTGGAAGGGATGAATGAGGATCCTGAAGATGGTTTGTAAACTTTGAACGCTGGTGGTTCCTTGGGGACATTGGAGTCATCAACAGTCGATGAAGGCATCTCGATACTTTCGGAAGCCTCTGATAAAACAGACTGTGCACTCTGTGCCTCTGTGATGTTTGGGGCTTCGGGCATGATAAAAGTATAAATCAAGAAGAATACGCATTGATAATACAATTATATGATATTACGAAGGGTCCAGAATTTATACCACTGACAATCCTCCTCCTCCTCCTCCAAGCTTCATATCTTCAAAGCTGAGACTAAATGAGAACACAGTTAGTTTATGGATGATGCATATGTATCGAGATATTTCAGCAAAGAAAGTTGTCTCATACAACTAACCCCAGATCTACTGGCGAGTAGATTTTTTGGTGTAGGGCTAGTCGCAATCGAACGCAAATTACAAAGAGTACCATCATGTAAAGACAAAAGGCAGAATACTCACAAAAATAATATGTTCGTCGCGTTTCTGCAAAATGAGCTTAAATACATCCGTGTCTATTTGGTGATGTTTGTCATGTTTCTTTAAGCGCCTAACAATCATGCGTTTGTAATTCGCGACCCATGCCTCATAACCACGACCACAATTGTAGCCATGAACATGAACATGATCACGATGACCCCGACTCGCTAAGCACTGGGGCCCAGGACAATCTATATCAGTACATCGATCGCGCTAATGTTGTGGCTCTCAACGCGGACGACGATTATAAAGGCTCGGACGCAATCAAACCTTGGCATGAGCGGGCGAGCGAGGACAAGGTGATTGTTCTTGAGATTTTCTGGTGCATCTTCTCAAATATTTAACTAGTTTGTCGAGTCGGATGCCGATGATCAATTGTACTGCCGAACAAGAATCCAACGCGCAGCTCGTTATTGCTGACGTCTTGTTTAGGATCATTCGGATACCTTTTACTGGGAGTGTCAAGCTGCGATCCCTTCTCTTGAAAACTGGTCCCGCCGATTTGACTCCTTCAAAGGTCGTGTTGGTGGGTGTTTCGAGCTGCATCTTGTGATCGCGTATTTAGATTTGGTGGTTCAACTTTGTGATCTTAGTTTGCCAATCAGGATAATTTGGACTTTCAAGATGTCACAGACAAAAAACCAACTCAAGAGTTCGACGTTGCACAAGGTCGGGAAGTAGGAGAGTATGCCGTCAAGTAGGTACCACAGTGTGATATTACCTCCAATTGAGAGACCTTCACACCCCAAACCAAGGACAGCAAAATTCCCTAATGTCTCTTCTCTGACATTGTTTTTTCCGTCCTCTCAAGGTGCCGATACCGTTCGCATCTATTACATCGGTCTCTTAGGAACTTGGACAGAGGTATGTCATACACTGAATAGTTACAATCGCTTTCAATTATTTTCGTCTACTTCTTATCCTTGCAGAGAAAGTCAAATCCAGTCATCACAGTCTATGAGGCACAAGCGAACCTGGCTGACCACGAAAAGATCCAAGGCACCGAGGGCAATTTCAGTACTCCCCAAAGATGAACTTAAATAAAGAAAACGTCTTCAATGAAAAATGTATCATATTCTTGTATAATTCTGGCCAGCTACTACGATAAAAATCTTCGAGCTTTTTTCAAATTTCTCAGCCCCTTTGCTTACACTCTTATAGTGACCTCGACATGGGCTCCAGAAGGTGAACGAGTTAATCAAACGCTTGTTCCACATACAATTCGCAAAATATCGCACGTGCTATAGTTGTTTTGCGCATGGTCCCATCCTAGCGGAAATCAGCATTTGCTCTGACGCTGATATTGTTGTTATATTCTGCTCGGACACCAGCTCCCACATAGTAACTGAAAGATTAGTGATTGGTTGAGAGGGAAGAACCATTGTCGGCTCGGTCACTTCCGAGATAAGCCTCGAGGTTTCCATTCCTCAACTAGAAGCTTTGCGAGCTTTCTGGCGGCTATTTTCTTGCCGAATAGTGAGAAACTCAGAGAGAATGTCATAGTAATGCGCTGGACTTATCGGTAACCGTGGCTTCATACATATCAAGCTTTCTGCGTTGGTGAGCGATTTTAATATTGTACTTTCGGAACGTGAGCTTGATCTATCTCAGCTGCTTGAAAACACATGGATCTGCAGAATCATTATTGCCCTTTTCAGCGAATCACCATGTAATCTCCAAGGTATCGCAGCTTTGAGCAACACATGTGGCGCTTTATTCACGAGGTTTCATTCCACACATAGACTCACGCGCTCAAACTCGAATTCCTGCAAGTCTTTGTTCATGGGCATCCCGGTTTTGTACACTTCGGGATGACACGTCCCGAACTGTAAGTTCTATGTTTCCGATACACTCTATCGTAAAGCTTACGTGGCATAGTTATGCAGGTTCAGGCAGGTTCAAATATCTACTTAGCTAGAAATTGGCTAGAATCTTTCAAAACTCGGAACCTGTCGCTGAACCTTGTATTCATGCAGCTTTTTGGAATGACAGTGTTCCTCGCCTGCGAACCCTTGGATTGTGAATTCACTCACTACTTGACTAGCAGTTTCCGCTGGCATAGAACCGGTACATCGTTATCGCCTCTGAAGTTACGGTATCCTGCGTTGTCCTTATGCTTCGTTGGGTGAACCAGGAATAGCACTTTATCTCAACAAATTCGAAAATGGGAGTGTCCTGACGCTTCTGATAGTACGCAGGACGCATAGACAGAAACACGCACTTAGTTTCTGAGGCACCCATAAGCAGGCTTCTACATTAAATTCTTGCATATCGCCATGCGAGATCTCGCGATTTCCGATCTATAGCATTTCGTTCATGAACTAGTATGCTTCTCTATCCTCATTCCCAGAGTTTAAACGATGATTTGCCAACCGCATGAACTTTCACATTGAAGACATTCTCTCTACGTGCACACTTTTGGTATGTCCATTGCGTATTTGACAGGCATTTTCAGTTCCAAAATATAAAAGGATGTCCTCTTTGCTCGATGATGGCTTGGAACACCCTCCACCCGTGTGCTCGATAAACACGCTTCACAATGATTTCGGTCTGGACCTACGTGGCTCTGTTGCTAACTTCTGTGACCTCGGCAGCTTTTGACCCTACTGGCAACACTAATGTGAGTGTTATGTGTTATATATATTTTCGTCTAGACCGTTCTGAATCGTAATTCACGCTCTAGCTCGTAGCGTAGCTATCAATAATACCTTGAACACCGTTCAGAATTACTCAACTTTACTTCAGCTACTGGGGTCAAAATTCATACGGAGCAACGCATACGTCTGACACGGCCAACTGGCAGACAAACTTGGCTCATTACTGTCAGGTACATTTATCAGAACCTGCTAATTAGCATTGGGAGTTCAAGCTTAGAATTTCTAGGACGATACTGTTGACGTTTTCCCTTTGGCGTTTCTGGACGTGTTCTTTGGCATAGGAAGTCTACCAGAAATCAACTTCGCTAATGTGAGTCACATTCATTCACCTCCCACTTAAATTTACTCAATGCCTCTGATATCATGTTATAGACCTGTAACGATGTCGACGATGCGGTGTTTCCTGGAAGCGACTTAGCCAACTGTCAGTTTATGGCTACTGATATCCAGACGTGTCAAGCGGCGGGAAAAATTATCACTCTTAGTATGGGCGGAGCGACGGGAGCAGATACTTTCACTTCGGAGTCTCAGGCCGAGGATTTCGCGGATCTAATTTGGGATCTTTTCTTGGGAGGGACATCAAATACGCGACCATTCGGTGACGCTGTAAGTCTCTTTTTTGAAAGACTGAGTAATATTCTGTTTATATCGTTTTAGGTTCTTGACGGGTGAGATACTCTTATTGAACGCATTTTGAAGTGTGGTAATGACATGGTGGAAGAATTGATCTGGATATCGAAGGTGGCGGAACCGCCAATTTTGCTGCATTCGTGAACAGAATTAGGACCCTTGCAGAGGGTGCCAGCAAGGCGTGGGTCAACTTTCATGGCGCACATGGATTTGATGTTCCCTAAATGATTATTACAGATATTACATTACCGGAGCGCCTCAGTGCCCGTAAGCTCTCTTTCCACATGTCCACCCGGAATTTCTTTGCTAAATTTCAAGTCTAGTTTCCCCGATGCCAGTGCGCAAATTATCTTGTCTGTCTTCTTACGGCTAGTCATAGTTGATGTTATGCACTTCGTTCAGATCTTGACACGGTCCTCAATGCTGTTGGATTTGATGCTGTCTATGTTCAGGTGGGTGGGAGACGTTCCCAGTGTGAGAAATCACCGAGAAATCTCACAATTATGCATAGTTCTACAACAATTACTGCGAAGTGTCAAACTACAATGTAGCTGGGGTAAGTATACTCTAGCTGTTTCTTTGAACATTCCAATTGACACATGTGATGGTGCAATCAAACAGGATTGGGACTTCTCTTCGTGGTGAGTATTTTGCAACGAGATTTCAATAATCACAAACTGAAGCTCAAATAGGGACAACTGGGCTAAGACGACCTCCCCCAATCCTGACGTCAAAATCTACATTGGCGCACCTGCTTCTTCAACAGCGGCTACAAATGGCTATGCTGACGCCTCTGCTCTGAGCACTATTCTTCAAGCAACGAAAGCCACGTATTCGTCATTCGGTGGCGCGATGCTTGTCTGTAGTCCATCTTTACTCTGTCTATTGTAACCGCTGAACTGGTCTTGTGGTCAGTGGGATATCAGTCAAGCCTATGGTACGTGTCATAAAGTCTAGGCCTCGTATCAATTCCGATCCAAACTTGGAATCTAGCAAATGGACGGTTCGATCAAGCGGTCAAGACAGCTCTACTCGGAGGGTCCAGTGCTCCAACCACCTCTGGAGGTTCTACGACGACAACTAAGACGACGATAACTAGCTCAAGTAGTGTTACTAGTACGACAAGTGTTGCAACCAACGGAGACTGTGCCGGAGTGGCGGCATGGGTATCGACTGTTGCCTATGTCGGCGGATCGCAGGTCACATACAAGTGAGTATACACATCTTCGGTCAAGATCTGACCTGATCTGCATATGGTAGCGGTCACTTGTGGACGGCTAACTACTGGTCTGAAGCTGGTGTGTAACATAACCATAAACTCTTTCTTATGTATATGATCATGCTCAATTCCTCTGTATGGCAGATGTTCCTGGAGGTATGTCAGTCTATTTAACATGACACTCGCAGTCTTACATCTTGGACCAGGAGCTTCTGGTGACTGGGCAGACGATGGCGTTTGTACAACTGATGCAACTTTAATCCCTGCTGTAGCTTCTGCTACTTTATCCGCTGCGAGCATCACTGCTCACGTTTCTTCAACTGCGTCAGCTAGTAGCGTCAGTGTTCAGGCCGCTTCGTCTGCTGCTGCACCGACAGTTTCCGTTTCTTCTGCTGCAACTAGCAGCTTCAAGACTGCATCTATTGCGCCTACGGTATCGGTCTCGTCCGCCGTTGACGCCAGCGTCGCCTCTGCTAAATCTGTGATCATTGCTGCTTCAGCTGACTCAGAAACCCTCAGCGCTACTACCTCAGCTGTGAAGAGGTCCCGCTTTTTCAAATTCTAAGGGCTTTGGAGGTGTGTTTTTGTGAGTGTATGTACCAATAACTGTAGACTTGAGTATTTTATCTATTTATTGGTTTCAATAACGCATCGGGCGGTCAGAATAAAACTTGATTCAATACTTCATTACTCTTTGAATACCACGCGGCGTACCCCCCCGGTTCACAAATATTTCTTCATCCACTCTACTGTAGACTTGAAAGCACCCTCTTTACCAGCCTTCACCATCGGATCGCTCATATCCCCACGAACAGCAAATCCATGCTTGCATCCAGAAAAATACTCCCGCCTGTATCCTGGAGCAAACTTGCCATCTCCAAAAATTACATCAGCTTTAGCCTGCGCTTCAGCAGGGAACATGGCGTCTTCTTCACATGAGTTGATCAGGAAGGGCGCCTTGGATACAGAGCAATATTTCTACAATCAAAAGTTATATACGGTAAGGATGCAGGAAGATTAGCTGTATTCGTGAGGCAGGTGACCGATTGACGTACTTCAAGGTCCTCTGGAACCTTGAGTCGCGAAGGGTGAGATACGGCAGTGACCTGGGTGACATTCTCAATGGCAAGAGGGACAGCATACGCAGCTTCAATATCGTCAATCAGTATAAGAGTGGCATGAAACAAAGTTCACACGAGTTCAGAATCCGTTCCATCCGCCTGAAATTGGTCTGCCAGTGATAAATTTGGCTCTCGACTCACCTCCAAAGCAATACCCAGTCGTCCCAAAGGCCACGACACCTTTTTCCTTCAACGCTGCAACTACGGCATCGACAGCAGGGCGAGTAATTTCATATCCATGTTTCTCTCTCCATGCGTCTTTGTCGAATGTGTTCTATAATTTGAATATAAGTCAGGGTATGTTTGAAGCGATATCCAGAAAATTGGTGTTATGTTCGCAAGTTGTGCGGATACTACATTTGGAAGACGCATACATACCCCAGGTTGCATTGCATTTGCTGGGATGGGCTCGCCGAAAAAATAGTCTACTCCGTAAGTCTATCACGAATATTTAGTGCTGTCTCGCCCAAGTACAAGGGGAAAAACTGTGTCTTTCACACACTAACCAAGATTCCGTTATCTGCGAAATCGTCGACAAGAAGCTTCGGGATCAAAGTTAGTGAATGATTAATTAAAGCCACATACAAGCCTCAGCTACTACGTATGATACCGCGACATACCTGGTTGTTGATCAACTGCATACCGAAGACGTCTGAAAGGAACAAAAGAATTTTGTCCTTGGGATACTCAATGCCGGAGGGAATACCGACATAGCAGTCGATCCCACCGATCTTTTCCCATTTACCTTGAGATAAGGTTGTACTTCAAGTTATCAGTGCAAAGGTCAGAATGGAGATCACCTTTTGGGGTACCTTCATGAGTAACACCTGCAGTGAGTAACAAAATCATGGAGATGAGCTTTTTTGAATCAATTATATCTACGGGGTAAAACCTTTGAAGCATTCATCGCAAAAGCTCATGTTTAGATAGTGCTGGTCTCTGCTAGTAGTGGTGTATGGGAAGGAAGAGTGACGGTATTTAATAACGTTACCCACCACAGGAGATTAATCTATTACAATCTGTTTATGTTCCTTTGAAAGGGGGTATAGCTCAATTGGGAGAGCAGCAGACTGAAGTCTTTCTAGGTTAATCTGAAGGTCCCGCGTTCGATCCGCGGTACCCCCATTTAGTTCTGATAGGTTGTGTTGTTTTTATTTATTCTACATCGTTCCGAGATGCCATACTAATGAGCTCTATGTACCCCAGGCGTTAAGCAACCGAAGAGCGCTTAATATCAACTGGTCGAGGGGGGGGGGTGTTAGTAAGCAGTCTGCCAGGTGGTCGGCAACCATCGGCATTGACAACGTGAGGCAGCCTCGAGTTAGCTCGAGTTCGTCGTCCGTTCATTGTTTATGCCCATCTCTTCGCTGCTATGTACCAATGAGAGCCTTGATACTCTACTTAGCAGAACTCAACTCACAGTCTATTGTTGCAAGGGCACGAGCAAACACTGCCTCAACTTCTCATAGACGACGGAAAAAGAACAGAAATTAGATGGAATTATATCTAACATGTCATTTTTCTCCAAGAAATCATATGTACCCACTTTTTCTACTTACTCGAGTCTCAATAAACATTCTTTAACTCAAAATGCTGCTCAACCAATTTTCGGCTTTACGGCCAGTGTCACTGTGCCGCAACCTCGGCACTAGAAAACCTTAATCAGATATGAACCCTGAGTGAACCAGTCAATTTCAGGAACTTCTCGGTTGCTTACCGCCTGATGTACCCCACATGCGAAGCAAAACAGACAGATTAAGGATGTACGAAATTGTGGCGGAGATCGCCTTGCACTTTACAGGTATATGTCGAACGTACAACAGTTAATTCAACCGTACTTAAATTATATCGACCGGAATGTGTATTGGATGTGACATTCGTAATGAGGGGTTCGGCGAAAGCATTATTCCTGTGGCAATGCCCAAAAGGCACTAAACTCTTCAGCACAAATCAGCTGGCCAATCCTGAGCCGGATCCCGTGTAAATGAGGTGAATGAGAATAGGTCAACTGGACCGTTATTCCGGATAATGACACTACGCCACCGGGCAAAAACATTGTCTGTAAAAGGAAATGAGAAAAGTTATGGGAAAGTTGACCTTTTACAGTAGATTTATGGGGCGAAAAATCATATATTTTATGCTCGAGAAAACATTAGGTAGATATTTCCCTTCTCGGAAAAAACCCCGCCCTGGATAATTAGTGGTAATGAATTCCTTTCGCAAATAGAAAAGGTGCCCTTTTGTAGTTATTATTACAAAGGGATAAAGCTTTGGGATTCTTTATGTTTCCCAGAACATATCTCCAAAGAAGAAGTTTCCCTTTATCAGAAGTAAAAAGCGATGAAATTGATTCCTTTTTACATCTTAAATTAATTACTTTTTTTGACGGAAAAACAAAATGGCCGATGAGGGGGAGATTCACGGTAGACTAAGACCCGATGAGAACACACTTGACGGACTGTTGTTGGGCGATACCGATTCGAGGGAGACTCTCTGGGCTTTTTTGTCCCGTCAGTGGTGAGAATATCTGGACCATTAGACAGCACCATGTATTCTATCTATCTATGCATCTCCTCTCATCTTAGAAATCACAGTACTTTAACGAACACAAGGTACGAATCTTTGATTGAGGGATAGCCTGCAAGATTACTATTTGGTAGATAGGAACAAGATTAGGTCGTTCAGTACGGATGAGACCTCTTTAACTTTGCAACACCATTCAGCTCCCAAAGCACCTTCCCTGTCGTCCCCCAGTCCCAATCCCCACCACTTAAGACAGACAATTACACTGAGCCAGCCGTTCTTCCCGCTAGTATTGAGGGTACCCCATTCCTTTCTAACACGACCATCTGAATTTCCACCGCTGACCATTGAGATTTGGCAAATAAGGCTGTTCCACCAAGTCACGAAATTGGTTCCGAAACGAGCAATATCATGCTGTCGAAATTTGGGATCGTTGTTGGGCCTGTCATACCTGCAATTTGTGATCCAATGGCTGAGCTCCTTGGGCCTGAGCTTGGCTGATATTCCTTTCGCCGAATATGCCCAATTTTTGTTACGCTCAAGCTCAATCCAACGGCTGATAAGGTAGATATAATCTTCACCTAAGTTATAATTAAGGTATTCGAATGCGGGGCGAAACCAAAGCAGGGCATTCTCCGACTGCAGCGCATCTTCAGGATAGCAAGGAAGCTGCAAATGTATTACATTCACCATGATAACACTGACTATAAGCACACCTCCGAGCGAAAGTTCACGAGAGCGTTTTGTGCAGTAACGGGGATGTCTTCTATTTCTCCAGTGGACTATGAGCGATATTGTGAGTCATCTGCGAATGCGAGGAAGATAAAGAGAACCTGACGCACCTCTGCACTACAAACTCCTTCCTCTCCGGCATTCAAGGAAGGTCCACGAAAGTCGAATCCGATATTCTTTTGAGACTCTTGCAATTGGTTGTCTAGCTCACTGGGAGTATGAGGAGAATGAGCAGAGACTACTTCAGAAGACTACAGTGAACAACGACATAAGCATGCTGTAACGTAGATGTAGCCAAGGAGACGAAGTACAAACCTCTCGGTGTGTCGTCTCCCCCTTGGATCCATCTTCAGCATCCACAGGTATTCCATCACCATTGCCACCAGTGTTGTTGGTACCCTGATCTTTCAAGTCCGCCTCCAGCGTATCTTCTGTTCGTGACAAGCGACCTATTGTTGCTTCTTTATCGCACTATGGGAAACATCATAAGTTCAATGTACAAGAAGTAGTACGAACACGAACCTGTTGAAGCATCGCTTCACTAGTCCGTGTAAAGCCAGAGTCCGACATAAGTCCACTGCCACTTGTCGTATGTTTTCGAACTTCTTGCAATTCAGCCTCTAGCTTGTCGACCCGCCGCTGAAGTCTCTCCGCCTTTATTTCGGCTGCAGTCTTTTCAGCGAATACTTGCCTCCTTTCATTTTCGAGAAAGGTAATTCGTTGAGATTCGGAGTTCTTGAAAACAATTTAAGGACACCTACGACTCGGCGGGACAAAACTCACCATTAGATTGTCAAGCTCTTTTTCTGCATCACCCAATGCCTGGCTCTTCAATGACAGCTCTCCGTGGAGTTCTTCAACTTGTTCAAGTCGCCGGGATAATTGAGCTGTTAATCGAGCTTGCTGGTGAAATGTAAATCAGTGAAACTGGATTGAAGCGACATGAATACCGAATAAAGACTGGTTTGGCTTCGAGCTCTTCGCAAAGACATGGTGGTTCCGATGACAGAAAGATGATGCATAAAGGGAATTGTCAATCCAATGAGAAACGAGTGCTTGATACAAAGGGCAGTTGATGGAAAATCACGACACTAGAAACAAAGGTAGCCATTGAACCTGCAGATATATAAGACTTACCGTGAAGCTTGGATCTTCATCCTAATCCGCACATATCCCCCCCTGATTCGCGCTTGAAATTCATCGACAACATGGGCATGCATCACACACCCACTATTATTCCTAACAGACACGTAAGTGCAAGTGCAGGCAACGACTGGTCGAGGGCTGACCGAGCTGACCTACATGAAGGTCACCACAAAGGGCATTCGCGCACGGCTATACCCCGCTGGTTCAGTCAGGCCAAGAGCAATCACTACCCATGTCCGACAAAACATGACCGACCCTGCGAACAGCCGCTTTGTTCTTGCTTCACATCTTCTCTCCGAACCAAGGCTTCAGCCATACATCCATGATATTTCCTTGAAGATACGACATTGTGGGAAGGTGTTCAACTTTCTTGTCTTCTTCAAAAGACACAAACGACTTCCCTTGAATCTATCGGTTCAGAATCTCGGCGGTAGAGCTGTACATGGAGACATCCTACTAGTCGCCTGTGGTAAAAAGGTGTCCATTCGGAACTTACGCAGTGGATTGGAGGATAGAGCAGCAGATAAAGCAATAAGAAGGTATATTGTTGCTCTGCAAGAAAGATTAGGCAGTGTACTGACAGTCGCATACACAGGCTTACGGAAGCATTAGATCCGATTGGAAGCCGACGCCGCTTTCCTGCAACAATCTCTTGCTCGTAAATCATCATCCTCTTGGTTCGTTCATTATATATCATTCAGTTTTATTTCAACCAACTTAAAAATCCTCAGGTGTAGATAGACTGCCGATTTTCGATCTTCCTACAGGCAGGAGTATTTCTACGTTGTATGCTACTTTCTCTGTGTATAGCCTATTCAGGATTGAAACTACAGCAGTACTGTAATGTAAACATCCCTAATTCATATTCTTTTACATTCCGTTTTGAACCCCTGAGCTCAATAACCGGTCGAGGTCAGGAAGACTGAGAGGATGATCGGTCAGTAATATGCATTTCCAGATGAAACCAATATCTACTCACCGCGGAATTGGACGACCTTTCGCCATTGTGATGACATTGCTTGGATCATTCTTCATCGTCTCTAGATATTCGATCCGATAATATGATGAAGGAAGGTTTTCTGGGGGGTTCCGAGTGACTGGCACAATACCACGTATTCTGGGAAGCCGCTTTCGCCCGATTTGGCGAAACAAATGCGTTGCAACTTGAGGAACTTTGTCTACTGTGTCGAACAAAACATTGAACTGTGGATGGCGGAAGCCAGGTTCATACTTAATGATGCCCTGTTGACCTTGTGTATCAAAAACCTCTTCAGTGTCAGACGTGCCAGCAACGCCCAAGACATCAAGAGAATATAGTATATCCGACCAGCAATTGTACTCCTCGTTGTCATCTGTGCGTCTTGCAATATCGCTCATTACACTAGAAATCTGCATGCGGCGCTGGTGTGTCTGTGAACATAGAAATTGAGTTTGGACATGAGATGAGACAGAGTCAAAGATATGTACGTATTCTCGAACTCTTCTTTTCTTACTCTCGTGTTTCTGAGCTTCGTAGAGATTGTCCCATACACCTGCTTTGGCCTTCACGACTTCTAGCAGTAGCCTATAGACCCGATTGTTGAACAATCCCCTCCAATCGACCTCTTCACCGTTGTTTCCATAGTATTCGGATTTCTCTAATGCGTACTCGGAGGCTTTGGCCGCAAGCAGCGAAATCACGGTTTGATTCCAGGGAGAGCGCCGCATATCGTGTGCAGTCTTTGCTGAGGTGTCGAGCTTCATACCAGAAACAAGTTCGAGTTCATAGCTGTGTGGATCTGCAAGAAAAGAGCCCAGTTCTTCAGCAGGAACTGTAAATTGCTGCCAATTGCTGGGATCATCGATTTGAAGATATTCTTTCAGCACAATGCGCGCGAGTTTCTGTGAAGTGCATTAGAAGTTGATTATAGAAAAAAAAATCAATCTACGGACGTTGATGTGACGCCGAATCGCATCTGACGAGTATGGCCTAGTTTCACAAGTTTAAAGATCAATCTTAGCCAGCACGGTGCAAAATGACATACATTACAGCACGTAGTCTGAGAGAAGTCCGATGAGTGAATAGCTGAATCGCCCTAGTATATTATGACTCACCGGACAGCTGAGGATGTAACAAGATTGTGGTAGTAGATCAAGGATCATTTTGCCCGGCGTCCACATATCCGTCTTATGCCTGCATGGCCACTTGTTATGTTCTCATCGATAGACAGAAATAGAAAGATAAGAAAATCAATCCTTTATTCGGTATATTAATATTTAAATCTGTACAACAACCATAGACCATATACTACTACAAACTTCCCTAGTCTGTTTGCATTGGTTCACCACCGAATGTTGTGCTGGGATCATAACCTGAGAAATCGGCCAGAGGGAAGGAGTACTCGGAAAGATTGAGAGCAGCAACTTCGTGAGGCAAAAGAGCAGACAGAAACGCCTCCCGAAAGAACTCTCGAGGGTACCCAGTGATCGGAGCTCTATGGCTAATTGTGTCGGAGTAGATCCTTGGGATTCGCTTCGCGCCTGCCCTATGAAATATCAGTTTTTCCAACGCGGGTGCTTGGTTCATGATCCTGAAAAGGGCCTCAAGCCAAGGATGTCGCCAATAGACCCTAAGAACTTTCTTAACACTCTGTTCCACTACAACACCTTCAATCTCGACGTCTCTTGTGGTGTCTTCCTCGTCAGACTGGCCTTGATCACCAAGCAATTCATTTACATTCAGAGCATAGGACCAGAATTCGACACCCGCTTGGTCGCCACGCTCTCGACAAACTTTGATCATAATGGTGGCAATGTCCGAGCGTGATGTTCGTTTCTGCATGAAAATTAGGACAGGTAGAGAAAGCAAGAGAATTCACGAACTATGTGAAGTAAACTCCTATGGGCACTGCGCTTGTTCCGCTGATCATGTTTCAAAGCAAGTCGTAAAACCCGGGCCTCGTTATCTTCATGGGGTAGAAGACGGGCGTCAACAATTTCCTTGTACACAGCATAAAGTCGATCGGAAAATAACTTGTTCCAGTCGATAGGTGCTGATCCAAATCGGCCATCTCCACAGGCAGCTACGATCTCTTTGGCTTTTTCCGCAAACTTGTAAGTGAGAGCCCTATTCCAGGGAGAGGCCTTCATTGACTTGACGTCTGCCGCAAATTTGTCGAGGCGAGTGTTACGAAGTTTGGGACCATTCGCGATAGGATCCTTGATGTAGTTTTCTAGTGTCTCTAGTTTAATCCCATCTCTTGCAAATATTGCCCAGAGGTTGCGCACATTGAAACCTTCCCGTAAAAGGTCTCGAGCAAGTTCCTGGAAGAGTATAGGTAAGTATTCGACATGAAGCGGTGGATCCTACATTGATATATTTCTTGGAATTGGAGCCGTCGAATCTTTTCGAACCATTCGCCCATTGCGCTTGCACCTGGCTCACGTCGCTTGGCTCAGCATCATTATCATCCAGAGGCTGCCTTGGTTCTTGGTCCGAATTGTCTTCATCGTCGGCATCAGAGCCCAGGTCATTGGCTGGCGGTATTGCATTGGTGCGTGCTTCAGCTGAGGTCTGTTTCTGCTTTCCTTTTGCTCGACTAGACTGAATAAAATTGTGGAATAAATAACTTTATTGATTGCAAGGCAAAGTTACGTACCGGTCCTGCTCTGTTTGAAGATCCACCAGCCCCAGGATTGGTTTGATTCTCATCGACCTCTTCATCTAATTCATCCGATTCATTGCCCAGATAGGAGTTTCGAGGCTCTTTATGTCTCTGAAGGAATTGTGAGAATATAGAATGTGAACTTGGGCCGAATTCCACCAGCAGACTCACCGCCTTGATGTAAGGGGAAGGCTTAGGTTGATTCCAAGGCTTAGAAGAACTCCCTGAATTCTGAGGCTGAGGAAGAAGTATGTCAGATGTTGTTCATATCAAGCTTGCTATCGAGCTTACCATAGAATCAGGTAATCGCCATTGAGGATAACCACGGCGAACACGACTCAATTCCATTGAAACTGGTGCTCTCGACAGCGTGGCGCCCAACCCCCCGACAGCACGAATATCGTGAATGATATCTCCATTGGTGGGATATGCGGTGGATCGGCTAACAGAGGGTGGTCCACGGGTCGAGGTCGAGCTTGGGCCAGGGGGAGCTGGTACACTGTGACGGGACGAAGGCATGGCTGGAGTTGAACCCGCAGATGCTTGACCACTGTGACCAGTATTCGAAAGTGATGTCTAAAGGATTGTTCAAGTAAAATGTAGGTATCTAATTTAATAAACGGACCTGAAGCTCTCGCTCTAGCCTTTGGATTTCAAGACTTTTCTTCAGATTATCATGTTGCAAGACAGCGACTTGATCTGAGAGATTGCCATCTGCAACAGGCTTCAAACGCGTAAGCATGTCAAATGAACCGAGTGATATTGAGACTCACTGTCGAGAGCTTTGCCTATATTTGCCAAAGTCAAATGTTCAGAAGTGAATAGTAATAGTAGACGAAATTCGGAGTAGTACCTGGAGATCTTTGATATTAGATTCCAATTTGGATTTTTCTCTCTGAAGATTGTTGATTTCCTGTGATTTTTCGTTCACTTGGCGACTCAGAGTCTGTAATTCTGTTTTGGCAGCCTGAAATAACATGTTGATTCTTGACAGGAGGAACTGCATTGAACAAACTGACCTTGAAATCCGACTGTATTACGCTACATTCGTTCTCCTTGTCGATTAGCTCCCGTTCTTTTTGAGTGAGTTTCGAATCTGAATCTTGATGTTTTTGCTAAAAAGATATGATCATCAGTCAAGTCGACTATTGGTAAGAACCGTCTGTACAGCACCTTTAGGCCTTCAAACTGGCCGCATAATACATCGTATCGGGGCTAGGATCCATATATTGAGGTAAAGCTTGATTTTCTTGTATCAAGTAACATACGCGTGGTACCCAATCGTCTCCCCGATCATTTCTCTGTGTCCAATTCATATATTAACACCTCATCAATGATTGAGACAGTGCGAGTACACTCGCCTTTAGACTACCTATCTCTTCCTGCAGATTCTGGTGCTGACGGTCGAATTCACGAACCAACCCTTGTTTCTCAGTGGCGAGCTGTTGCATTTCGGTCTGAAAACTTTGATCAGTACTTTAGAGGGAACACCGTTTTCGACCAACGTACCTTTAATCCATTTATATTGTCCTGCAGTTCCTGCCTTTGTTGCTCCCCTTCTCGTGACATTGTCGCTTTCTCTCTCTGTACTTGCTGTAGCTTTTGATCCAAAGCACTGTACTTGGTCTAGATATGCATCGTCAACAAACAATAAACTCAGGCCGAAAATGATATGATTAAACTGACCGTCAAGCCCGTGATTTTATCATTCAGTTCCCGCTTCTGCTGCGCTAAGTCTCGGGATAGTTTGACCTTCTCGCCAACTGCTTGCTTCAAGTCGCCGTCCAAGGTATTGTATTTAGCCTGTGACCCCGATCAACGTCTTGAACAGTGATCAATTGGAATCCTCACGTTAAAGCCATCGGTTTCATTTTGAAGTTCCCGCTTTGACCGCTCCAATTCTTGGGATAGTGTCGCATTCTGAGCATGCAATTCCAGTCGCTTGGTATCTAAATCACTGCATTTGGTCTGAGAATATATTATTGATAGACCAAGGTTACAACTGAAACAAAAATTTCACCTTCAAACCATCAACCTCAGCCTGAAGTCCCTGCTCTTGCTGCTCGGATTTTTGGGAGATCGTCATTTTCTCGAGGTCTGATTGTTGTATCTTGGTATCTAAATCGCTACATTTGGCCTGAAGACATGTCAGTAACACGCCAGAGGATGCTGGTCGACAAAACAACTTCACCTTCAGACCACCGATCTCAGTCTCAAGTTCTCGCTTCTGCTCCTCCGCTTCTCGCGACAGTGTTGCGTTTTGGAGTTCTAATTCTTGTATATTTGTAACGAGATTACTACATTTGGTCTGAAAACCCACAGTTAACGGGCCAAATGACTATAATCAAAGAAGTACTCTACCTTTAAACCGTTGATTTCAGCCTGACATTCATGCTCTCTTTGCTCGGAATCTTGAGTGAACATTATCTTCTCGCTGTCCAGTTGATCTAACCTCTGTAGAGCTCTTGTCAGCTTCGTCTCGGTTTCTGATTTTTCGGATTGAGTTCGCTCGAGCTGATATTTGAGCTTCCTGACTTCCTCCTAATGGTGCATTCAGAAAATGCACTATTGTAGAAGAAATTGAGACTCACTTGTAAATGTTCATGATCTTCTTTAAGAAGCTCGTGATCATGGAGAAGTTGCTGATTGTCTTCTTCGAAGGCATTGATAATCTCGCTCAATTTTTCCGTAGCCATGCGTTCTTTTTCCTCAATTTCCTTCAATTTTTCCCCAGTATCTATTTCCCTTTCGCCGGCTTCGATAGTCATTTCCTCTATTTCCTTAAGAAGACTGGCTTTCGCAGAGATAAGCGTAGCATTGGCTGTCAGCAACTCATCGATCCTTTGAGAAAGTTCGACCCTTGTGTTATTTATGACCTGTTCTCGTTCGGCGAGGTCTCGCCTTAGAGATGTGCAGTCAGCTTTGAGAGTGGAAATTTCCGATGCCTAGGTACTGGTCAGAGCAAATTCACAGCAGCAACAGCACCACCCACGGCTGAATGTGACAAGTTTTCCAAATCACTTTTTGCTTCCTGAAAGATTACCGGTTGAGTATCATCATGACGGCCAGGAATAGTTTAGATTACCGCCAGCAAATCTACTGTGTTTTGAAGATCCTTGATATTCGCCTCCAACTGCTCACATTTGTGAACGCTATCAGCAAGAGATAGCTACAGAATTACATGTGAGACACAACAAAAATGGAGCAACGAATTTACCTGTGGACAAGTTTCTTCGTGCAACTGTTACATGTGAGCCATGGCAAATACTAACACGTTGAATTTACCTCCGGTGGCAGAGCGGTTCCTTGTGGTGATTGATTCTGTTCAGATAACTGTTTCATGATCTGTAGACAACACGTAGTTAACAACATGAATGCACTTTTGCAGTATAAGTGAATAATCTATACCTGTAATTCCTTGTTGACCTGAGAAATATGTCGGTTGGACTCTTGCAGAGAAGCGATTTGGACGTTGAGGGCATGGCATTCAGTCTAACAAATGTCAGTAAGACCCGAATTAAGTTTTCTGAACATACCTCAAGTCTCTGGATACAGTCTGTTTCAGTGCTCTTGGAGCCCTGAGATTGAGAAGTGAACGGCGTTTAAGATGAGAGACGTGACGTGACTCATACCTTTTTCTCTTCGGCTAGCTGACTATCTTTGAGACTCTTCAATTTCTCATCTCGATCTTGTATTTCATTTACCAACTCTGAGTTCTTTTTGATAAGCTGTGAGAGATGTCAGATTAATGTCAACAACCGACAATTCCTGACCTCTTGGTTGATAGATTCTTTTGCACTAGCACTCGCCCAAGCGCCTTCATTCTGATGTTTTTGAGCCGAGAGACTGTCCTGTAAATCTTGAGCATCACTTTCGAGACGAGAGACCTGAGCTCGAAGATTTGCGATCTCATGATTCTTGATGGTCATTTCGGCACCAGAAGAATACAGTCTTTGGTCTCTATTTGCGAGTTCTTGTTCGAGTTCAGAGATTCTGTCAAAGCCAGATCTCTTGCGCGCATGTTGTTCGAGTTCGGATGGTGCCTGAAGCTGAAGATTGTGGGTAACCGTAGGTCCCGGCTGCGTTTTGTATTCAGTTGTGTGGCATGTTCACGAATATGAGGAACATTCACATCAACGTCCATGTAGATAGTACGAGAATGAGCCAAGGGCCTCCTCTGTCAAACATTGAGATAAAGATGAAAGAGATACAGTAAACACTCACTTCATGCTGCGTTGAGGCGGGGTCTCTTATGATTACACTGGAATTGCGCATATCCACATCGGACTGAAAAAACCATCAGCCTCATTTGAATGACAAAGTGAATGAACATACTTACAGTCGAAGGCACTGGACTGCTTCCTAAATGTTGTTGTGGGTTCTGAGATGTCAAAGTAGAGTCTTCTTCCATTGTTTAATGTCCGTTGACATCAAGATGTTGGGTCGATGAATGGAATCATGAATACAAAGGATAAAGCACACCACAGGCGCCCAACAAGCTCAATTCACCGGCCCGTTTGAGCACCGACTTATGTTGCGGCACGTAGTCGGCTGCCGCTACGCTTTGAAAATAAAGATTACTTTCATTGGGCATGCATCGCCCGATGTTAGCCCGATGGTCAAAACATTGCTTAAGACCTGTTCAAAGTTGACTTATTACTGAATAGTACAGTACATACCGAGTCACCGCTATGTTGATGTATTCTTTTTATATCACTAACGGTGACCGCTTCAAATCTATTGGTCTCAACAACAAAAAGCACACTAACTACAAGATCTCATTCTAAGAGAACAAAACCAGTCTCGAGGACAGTGTCAGAAGCTGGACGATTTGTGGGACGATTCACCATCTGATCAATTCCACTCGAAAAATCTTTGGCTAGATTATCAATGTTCTCCGTTTCCGCTTCGATTGAGTCAAAAGCAACCTGAGTCATCCATTTCGCCTCATTGCGACTGTAGGAAATCTATGCAAAGCGTGAAATGAATAACTAAATTAGAGATTAGCTAAACGAGTGCAAACCTGCTGTATATATTGGGGGATGGTACAGTAAGATGCAAAGGAGATGGAGAGTAGTAGAGCGACAATCCAGAACCAATTCAAGGCCTTCTTGGGTATGTAGAATCCGACGTGAACGAAACCTGCCGTGGGGACAGTCCGAGCAGTGGGTTCATCCTGCATGACCTCCGAGTGCAGTACTAAAGGGACCTCGGGGATAGTCTTTTCAAAAAGCACAACATCAGAAGGCTGTTCTTGGGTTGATCCCGCAATCGCAATGAGGTGTCGTCCAGGAAGGGTAAAGGTCTGTTCTATTTCATGAGCACAGCGAAAGACGATTTGATACATTGCATTTACCGCAACTGGTTGGACAAGGTTACCACGAGGATAGCTCAACTTCTGGACCATTTCTTCCGATTCCACATCATACACTAATGCAAACCCGCGATCCGTCCCTCCTACAACAATGGTCTCAGACTCCCCAAACGCAACTTGCTTAGGAAAAAAGACCAGCGGTGCTTCAGCAATGAACGTCTTCAAAATTTCGAGGTTGGAGAGGCGGTAAAGTTGAAAATTCTTGCCAGTATACGCAACAAACTTGTCAGCGGTGTAGTTCAGAGAGACAGAACCCCTGCAGAAAACCTGATCATTCACAAATAACAAATGCGAGTGACCTGGAAAACTTACATTCTTCCAGGACCAGGGGATTTACGGCTCTTTACTGCTCCACTTTTGTAATCAAGACGAAGTCTATTTTAGAGTTGGTGCGAGCAAACACATGATATGGATAGATACTCACATTTCACCACCATATAGAGGAAAGACAAATATGTCCCTAGTCTTCTTGCACATTCGAACAGTTTTTGGTTTGAGATTATCGTCCAGAATGGTAGAGAATACTTTTGAAAACTCGCCAGACGACGATAATGTCCAAACATTGATGCATCGATTGGCAGTTGCAACCACTACCCTTCCGATCCTCCCAGAGGCAATCTCTTGCTCGTGAACATCCATTGATAGGATTTCGTCTTGAATGTCATTCATAGGAGGAACCCTATAGAGCAAGTTGAATGACTGAATTGGATTAGTTTGAATACTCAGTTCAATGAGTCTATGACCTACCTGGCTCTCTTCGGTCCAATTCCAGAGTATGACATCCCCTCGCATGGACCCCAGCAGTAGAATGTGCCGATTGTTCTTGTGGAAATACACCCACACCGCTGCGGTTATAACGTATTTTGGATTTTGAGGTGCGAAGAGCATGTGGGGAAGAGGTGTGGATGCGCTGGTGGATAGATCCCAGACGTATACACCACTATAGCCTGCAATATACGATAATATATGGCTATGAATCTGAAGGAGACTAGAATGGAGTACCTACCTGCAGCTGCAAGGAATCTGCCTTTTGCTGAGAAGGCGAGAGAGACGACAGCGTCGCGTGGACCCGTGAATTTTGAGAGTGGTCGATATTCGGAGGCCATGAGAACGTAACTAATACCAGGAAGAAGCGAATTGTAAAGAAGTATGCATGAGGGTCTTGTGAACGCCGTTCGACAAAGACCACTTTGGGATCAAAGGGACCGGCCCGCAACCGCTTTTGTTCTGAGCTCTCACCAGGACTCGACAATGGCCTTTGCCATCTCGCCACTGCAGTTTACCTATATAAGCATTCAACCTCTCGATATTTTCGTGTACTGCTATACTCTACTTGATGGATCTTTACACCAACTTCGACCTTCGACCTCTGTGCGCCGATCATGAGGAGATGCGCTTACCCCCGATAAGCCACGAACACACCAATATGCCATCAACTGGGCCACAACGTACCCAGAAAGTATCACCTAGAGCTTCGCCTTATAGTGGTCCTTCATTAGGTGTAGAACGCAGCTCTACCCCTGTATCACCCTCGTCATCCCTGTCATCTGTTCATTCTCTCCTCAGTATCTCCAGCGAGCTCGAATATGACACTGACCGGGAGCGTTTGGCACGCTCGCGGCGCACTCGGCGTAGGCAGTCACTTGCTTATGATAGCGATGACGGTGTTCAACTCTCTAGAGCAAATGGCACCAAACAGTCTTCAAATTCACTAGCAGATGTTACGACTAACGTGTGCCATAATGCAGACACACAATCGACAAAACCTGGAAGGAAGCACGGTCCTCCTGCCCTCGTCTTCGAAGATGATTCCGATGATGATCTTATACCCAAACCTCCTGGTGAGGTTGGTAGGCCGAATCGTGGTGGCTATTCTCTGTTTCTAGTTCTGGGGTGGCCGAAGAAGAAGTACGACAAGGTCAAGGTGTGTGCTTAGGAACTATTACCTCCTCATCAACTAACTTTCCATAGAATTTTATCAACGACCTTGTCGAGAAGCACCTGGATTGTGGCCTTCCCATGAGCGAACAAGCGCGCGAAGACCTCAAAAAGGTACGAATAAAAGTGAGTATTATCATCATTGAACAAGATGCTCTTCTCATGGTCTTAGGCTACGGAGAAATTTGTCTTTCTGAAGGAATATAGTGGACTCTGGGTCACCAACGACTTCATTCGAAACCATCTCAAATACCAGAAGACTGTTATCAGGAAGGAGAAACTGGAGAAGATAGCAGCAGATGCGGAGCGTCCTGCTGCTTCGACTGCGCCTTCACCTTCAGCGCCGACTAAAACATCGAATCGCTCAGGTACCAAGAATAGAAAGCACATTTCTTAGTTTCGCGTAACACAACTCGTTAATTTGTGCAATTGTAATCAGATTTATTCATTCTTTTATCCTCAATACATTTGCGTTCTGATTCATAGCTACACTACATACATACCACACAGAATTGGTAATTAATCCTGTTCAAAGCATATTCAGTGTGAATAATAAAGATACAAAGATTAGACTCACCGAACATAGGTTAACGACGACTACCAAATCATTAGTGATACTCCATCTCGCAATGTGCCCAGCAATTTGACTCAAGGTAATGATTTCCAAAGTGTCTGAAAAATTCGACGCAACCATGTCTGCCTCGAAACCATTTGCCCAATAATCGGCAAATGGGTGAGGTGTGCTAGCTGGCATGCTCCGACAAATGACTGCTTGAAGTGGACCATTCTGAGTCCGTCTAAAGATATGCCGAATCTGTCCTGCTATCCACCGCTGCCCCGGGCGATAGGTGCCTTGAGCCTGGAAGCAAATATTGCTGTTTCCTATTGCGCCTTCTCCTGGAATAGTGTAATCACCTTTGGAGCCAGGAATACGAGAAAAACACTCAAAAGGCTCGGCCCTGAGCAGCCTTGTGAGGGTTGGAGAAGGAAGGATCTTGTACTTCGAGTCTGGTTGTGCAAAATTGCTTGCAACTAGCTCCGCATCCACAGTGATCGAACCCTCAGAATCATCGATATCATCAGCTGGAGCGACGGGAGGTGGAGGTGCCGATGAACCACGGTCGTAGTTGTAAGCTTTGTCCAGGAGTTGCTGGCAGTATCGGAGAATTGGGGGGGAGTTTTCACGTAATAGCCACTGACGGAAGGAGGCCCCTTTGCAGAATGAGTGCAGCATTGTATGTTCGAATTGCCCTATTTTACCAATATATGTAAGTCCCCAGGCAGATAAGAGTATAAACAGACCAGTGATGTGGTTCGTAGGAATACGCTGAAGTTTCCCTATCAGATTTTCAAATGGAAATAGCCACCAGTTGCGAACGCCACTAAAATTGTTCATCCCATCGAAAATGTGGAAAGCTAGGTGATGAGTAGGGAAGATCCATCCTGGGAAGTCTTGTTTGAGACCAAGAATATGAAGGCGCAATAGGTGGCGGTACAAGTTGCGCCTCTCTACGCTCAGTGTCCGTTTGGCCATCACTAGTGAAGCACATGCCAGGTGCATTGTTGTATCAACTACAGAAGTCATACTAGAGGCCTCAGGTGAGGCTAAAGGCGATTTCTCTTGCCACAGGCTCAGAACTGCCAAAGGAACGTGGATCAAAAAAAGGGTTCTCCAGTGTTCCGCCTTCAAAGTTCCTGCTTGAGCGGATCCGACGTTCGGGGGGGGGTTCGTGACCCAAGCGGGGGTTACAGCTTCACGTATCACCTGTTGAATTCTCTGCAAGAGACTGGAAGAGTCTAACTTGATTGATGGCATTTGCTCGAGCGGCTTCGACATCCTCTAAGAAACTCACAGTATTGTGAATGATAAGCAAAGCACATGTATGAAACACGTACCCATAACATCAATTGGTCTACCAAGACATCCTTGTTGAACTTACTTGCAGGAAGTCGGTCGATGTCTGCACAAACATAGGTCAAGGCATCCCCATTAGACTGCTTTAATGCTTTGCGCAGGTCATCTTTGTGATCGTGGACCAACGGTTTCTGAAGAAGACGGTGTAGGTTGCCAACGTGAGATGCAGAATGGTAAGTCATGGAAGCAGCGAGTTCTCTCAACAGGTTCGAGCGTTCTCCAGGGGTGAATTTGCGGTACGTGATAGGATTATCGTGATCGGGAGTTGAAGCATGGTGGGTAGCCCATGGAATAACGGGGGGAGGTATATCGGTCGGTGTAAAGTATGGCCAGATAAATAGCTGCTCCTCCCTAATCTCGTGGGTACGCTGTGAGAAGTAATTAGATCATATCATCTATGGAAAGAGTTAAATCGCACCCAGTGCAAGAGAATATTACTGAGCTCCCTTTTTGTCACATCTTTTTGAGTGATTTGGGAAGAGTTTCGTAGGTCAGGGGGTCTCTCATTAGGAAATATGGCGAGATTATCGCACACATAGAGAATAGCAGACCATTTGTGTCTCTGTATCCTCGAATACAATTGGTGCTTCTGTGCTTCTGTCACGGGTGCCCGTTCTGAAAGATCATTCAAGATATCCAAGACCGCCTGTCGCGCACGACTATCATTTGATATCTGCACTTGAAGAGATTGCAGTCTAGCGCAACGATAGGCACTATGCTCCGTAGACAAATGAGGCCACTCGAGTAGAGAAAGTAAATTATCGTCTATGGGCTGCGATTCATAGCCGATGATACTGGTCCGTAGACGGGTCGAATCCTCTTGACTCACTAGAGATGAGAGAGGAGGAGGAGGCGTGAAATTATGATAGAATGCGAACTTGAACTTGGGCTTTTTCGGTGTCCGTTTAGGATCATCAGGATTATCCAGACCAAGGATGTCCCGAAAATATCTCTGCAGTAAGATGAGGAACATGGTGTGCATGGGGTCAATACCAAGCTGGATAGAGGCTTTCCAATACGGTAGCCGCCAGAACTCTGAGGCTCTGGTACCAAACATATCTTCAAGAATCTTCCGTTTCTTGGTGTCCGGGGCGTCACGCCAAAGCTCCGCTCCCTTTCTCAAGAATGCATCGTCTGCACTTTTCCACTCCTCATAGTCCGTGCGCCCTAAATGTGAGACATGCCAGCAATCGCACATATAACAAAAGTGATGGGATGTGACATCCAAAAATCCAGAAAAAGGTCGGGCAGCCTTGAAATCCATTAGAACTAGGGCAAGAGCGACCCGAAAGATACGATCATAGGGACAGTCTTTTCCGTACGTTCGATGGGTGGCATAGGGGCGGATGCCCCGAGTATAGCCTACCAACAAATCGTCGATTAAGGGCTTTAAATAATGACGGTGCTCGGCGTTGATTGCGTTGGGTTCGTGCGGTCCCTGGATAATGCCAGGTACATAAAGGTAGGCATGGTCATTTCTCATCTTCAGTGGAAGATTCAAGCAACTCATGGCCATCATGCCAGTCGAAGACTTCTTTCCACGAATACGGTTTCCTTCAGCGTTGAAGAAGTCGGCATTGAGGGTGAACAACCAGCGCCCCTCACTACCACGATCCGCAATGAAGAGTCGAGCATCTGCTCCGAGAAATTCATGAACAAAACAACCATCGGTTTGATCGACTTTCCTGATAGGCACATTTTGGTGGCTTTCGACAGCCTCGCAGAACTTATCGCCATATTCTTCAATTCCTGGGAGCGATATGAACTTCCCAAACCAATCAAAGAAGGGATAATATTCGAATATCTTTGCAGGTTTACCGTATGACAGAAGTGATGCATTACAAGGTTCCTCGGATGATGTCTGTCTCTCCAGACAAATGGGAGGGTAGACCGGATGCGAGGCACCATTTGGAAAGGACGGGGCATAGGTCATGCTGCACTTTGGACAGACGGCGTAAGGGACACAGTCTACATCGAGATTGAATTTCTTTTCTAAGCGTTCGATGGACTCCGGGATTCCAGCAAGCGCGATCTCCTGATCGGTATTGAGAGTCCGTCCACCCAAGGTAGCAAGGGTGTAACCGAAAATCTTGATCATCTTCAATATGAAAGTTGCACCGCGCTGTGCTGTCCGTTCAAAGACGCGAGCGACTAAAGCGATGCAGTATGCGATGACAGTTGGGGAATTCTTGTCTTGAGTGGGGTCGAAAAAGCACTTTCCTGACAATGGGTCCATAACACTGAGACATCAAATCAAACAAGGCATTTGAAAAACTCACTGTTATCGATCTTGACTGGCGCAGTATCGGGATATTTCGTTCTCCACAGCTGCACCGATTGCTGTATACTGTCCAGGACCCCTCTGACTTCCTTCGCCTCGACAGAAACAGCGGCAGTGGATGAGGCGATCTCTCTGCGCAGAGTGTCGCTACCATCCTCTACCGCGCAGAGGATAGACTGTATTTCAGCTGTGGTCTGAGTCCGGGAAAGATTGCCAAGCCGGGTTTTCAGATCAGAGGCTGCATCATGCAAACTCGATACCGACATTAAGGCTCGCATTACCTTCGTGCTGCTTTTCCTTGGATCACCAAACTGTAGACGGCCATGACGATCGGGAACCAATAATGATTCCAATGAATTCTCCTCGACAGAAGGAGTGCCAGCGCTCACAGACAGCATGCTCTTAACCTAACAGCATAGTCCGAAATTCAAACAATACATTGGAATTGATTAAATGGACGTACAGTTTGTTTGGTAATTTCAGCCTGAAACTTGTGGAGCGAACGTTCAATGGATGGTAGCTGGGGTGTAGCGCTCTGCATGCTTGAAGAAATCGCAGCGGCCATGACGCTCATATTGTAGTTGGAAGCCTCATCTGCATGGCGCGAAAGAGTCTGATATTTCGATCTAAGATCAGAGGCGGCAGCTGCAGATGGCCAATGGAGTTTTGGTTTAGCATTATCTGGCGAGGACGTAGATTTCGACGATAAATCAGGTGGAGAGGACAAGGAAGAAAGCTTCGAGGGCTCATCCTTCAAGCTCCCTAAGAGATCTCTGTAGGAGGTCATTTTGTCGGCTTAGATATTTTTAGCGCCCGTTGTTCAAAACGGTCAAGATTCGGGATTCTTCGGAACACTCATTAGACTTATATAGCATGGTCGGAATGTACATTATAGATGGAACGTCAAATATACAGTAAAGAGATACATTTGCGTCTTAGTTAGCATGGTCATGTAAGTAAGGGAGAGTAGCTTTGCGTGACTTGAAGATAGAGGGCCATTTCAGAGAGCCTCGAGGAGGTTGGGGAATACCGAGCTCCGATCGTAATGCAACAGCCATTTGCTGCAAGTGATGAGCTTCTATAGGCGTGAAATGGCCAGTGATTACGCGGCAGTCAGGGCATCTGGGGTTGGTCCGCTTTTGAACATGATACTTAGCACATTCGGATATGCATTCCGCACAGAAGAAGTGACCGCAAGATAATCTATTGCCGCAGATGAGTTGTGAAGAGCAATATACACACATGTAATGACTTACATGAATGGACGGTTGACGATGGAAAGGCAAATGTGGCAATTCAAATTTTCTCGCTGTTTCAACAGAAATACATCCATTCGCTCCCTAGCTTCCTAAATAGAGTCATATGAGAGCAGAGAAAAACACGGTCTGGGTCTAAACGAACCTTGTTCTTGTGCTTTATAACTGCGAGTTTCTGTGGAAGTGATTTGCGAGGATAGGTAGCCTGTCAAAAGTAACACAGGTTGAAGCGGGTTTTTATACATACATACAAACACATACCTTGAAGGGTCCAGCAATGAATTGTACATCATCAGAACTGGTTGTTGCAGCAGTGGTGCGAGAGGTTGGCTGCTGAAACAAGAAGATTACAGGTAGCATGTTGCGAAGAAACAATTCAAATACCTGGGACGCGCCAGATTCAAGAGCACTAATGTCGGTGTTGGGGATAACAGTTAGTTCTTCAGGAGGCACCTCGGACTGAGATGCATTGACGATAGTCTCTCCAGTAGGATCATCTGGCAGGAGAATTGGCTCCGCATAGTCCGAATCAGACAGAGAAGGATCGGCGGAGGAACTTTCACGAGATCGTCGACTTTTTCGGCCATATGTGTTCTGATAAGGGCGAAAATTGGCCATGTGGCGTGCTTCAGTGCTTTGTCGAGGTACAGTGAGGTTGGAAGGCATTCTAACCCAACAGTGTTAGCGTATGTTTCAAGAGTTATAAGACGTAGGACGCACATGGTGATGGGGCAGTCTGTGTCAACAGGAAAATGGGCAGACTCTAATGATCTGGTCGATATTTTATACTGTCTTGGACAAAGGCATCTTTGCACGCGACAGGATCCATGACGAAAGTACACAAAGGAAAGTGGATAAAGGTCTTTTGAGTTTATATTGGGCCAAGGCGGAATGAGTTCTTGAAACCGGAACATCGTGAAAGAGATTCGAGGCAAAGGTACTACGTGCCTGCAGGCGAAGAATTTTGAGAAAGGTACGGGGTGGTATGTAAAAATGTTCTAGTTGGTTAGGGTAAAGCACCAGAGGCAAGGTGGATATATTCTCACCACTGACGGGACAAAAAAGCCCAGAGAGTCTCCCTCGAATCGGTATCGCCCAACAACAGTCCGTCAAGTGTGTTCTCATCGGGTCTTAGTCTACCGTGAATCTCCCCCTCATCGGCCATTTTGTTTTTCCGTCAAAAAAAGTAATTAATTTAAGATGTAAAAAGGAATCAATTTCATCGCTTTTTACTTCTGATAAAGGGAAACTTCTTCTTTGGAGATATGTTCTGGGAAACATAAAGAATCCCAAAGCTTTATCCCTTTGTAATAATAACTACAAAAGGGCACCTTTTCTATTTGCGAAAGGAATTCATTACCACTAATTATCCAGGGCGGGGTTTTTTCCGAGAAGGGAAATATCTACCTAATGTTTTCTCGAGCATAAAATATATGATTTTTCGCCCCATAAATCTACTGTAAAAGGTCAACTTTCCCATAACTTTTCTCATTTCCTTTTACAGACAATGTTTTTGCCCGGTGGCGTAGTGTGAGTGGTGAGAGGAGATAGAGAGCGCGCTCGAAGGTGATTTGGTAATCTTTGAAACTCCGATCGCAGCCACCTGTATTGCTGATGGGCAAAAGACGTCGACATTACTGCAATCGATAACTTTCTTTCATCTAACAAACAAAATTTTACCTATGGACGACCACGGTGGCACTCTTATGATGGAATCGATGGACGGCAGTGGCGCTTCTACCAATGGACCTGTGTCAAAACGACGAAGAAAGAACGACGGAGAGCCCAGCGAGCCACGAAGGCTAAGAAGATCACACGAAGCTTGCACAAGGTGCAGAGGAAAGAAGATAAAAGTGAGTTTACTTTTAACACAAAAATCGGGAATTTGCGAAGAATAATTCTACAACACGGGCGCATCCGTCGTCGGCAACGCCCGAACCATATTCGCTTATTACTTTTCTCTTCGTTATTTAGTGCGATTCTAAACATCCACGATGTACGGCCTGTGTCACTGCTGGCGTTGCCTGCAACCAGGAAGACCGCCATAGGCAGACAACAATCGCTAGGGACCATACTGAACGTTTGGAACAAATTGTTTCCCAGTGTGATGCCCTGCTCAAACGCCACATACAAGGTTTTAGTCTACAGACTATCGATGACCTCTGTTCCAGAGAAGGAATAGACATATCTACCCTCCAACCAGTCCAAAATCTTCCGATTCAAACTAGCAGTAGTTCTCAGCCAGCTCCGGCGATGAATCCAGCCCCTCCGCCTCCACCTCCCGGTTATTTTGCGCATCCGCCTCCTCCAGGTGTCGGTTACTACCAATATCCTCCGTACATGTATCCTGCACCTCCTCCATTCCAATTGTCTCCTCTTTCGGCCCCTCCGGCACACCCTGCCGCTACCATTCCCGGCCAGGATCCAAAATCAAACGACATGTCATCAACCCATGCACTTGCCAAATCATTTGGCGTTGCTCCACACATTGTCAACAATGCTTCTGCATCCCCCGCTCCATTATATCACTATCATCCACCTGCTGTCGTATACAACAGCAGCATTACACCCCTTCCCTCTTCTTCCACCGCTACTGCCCGTCTTGCCGAAGAGGATTTAGCAGTAGGTTCTTCAGGTCTGGATTCTGGTCGTGACCGTGTTGTCCAACTTGAGATGCCTGCCCCCAGGGATACTGCCAAGTGGCGGGTAGTTTCTGTATTTCGTTCTCAACATTTTTCATCTACACCATCTATGGATATATGGATTCCCAACGACCGCAATACTCTCCTTGAAATCGTCGATGTCTACTTCACTCAACTCAATCCTCATCGTCCAGTATTTTTCCGGCATCAGTTTCTGGAGTCGCTCAACCAGCTATACGACGAGGGAGCTTCATCTAGACCTGTCTTTGATCCTGGTTTCATATGCTCCCTTTATCTGGTGCTTGCACTCGGGACTCTCAGTGAGCTCAATAGGAGTGGATATCAGGGTGAAGCACCCGTCGGCGATAGCGCTGCCGACCATGAAAACGATGACAGTCTTCTGTCTCCACCCTCACGGCCGGGGAAGGGAAAGAGAACAGCAAAATCTGCTACAACTACTTCAGAGACAGGAGGTTCACGCCTCCCGGCTGATTGGCCAGCTCACGATGAATTTTTCGATCGTGCTTTGGCAGTAAAGCCTGAGCTTCGGGTAACGCTGAGCAGTCTCCAAGCATTGATCCTGCTCCATTGGTATCTCTATGCTGAGGCATGTTGATATGCTCGTCTGCTTCCGAACTATGCTGATAATTTCCTTTCACAGCGTCAAGGTCGCACGCTATGGCGTCTCGTAGGCTCTATCGTGCGTTTGGCTATCGAATTGGGTCTCCACCATGATCCAACGACTCAAACGTTGATCAAGCCTAAACCGTCTTCTTCTTCACCTTCTGCAACTACTGACAATGGCGACACTGCATACGAAGATGTCCCCACATTCACCCCACAGGAATGTACTCTTCGTATTTGGCTTTGGTCTATAGTCTTAGTACATGACCGCGGAACAAGTATACTTTTAGGTAGGCCATTGGCTATCGCTCCCAGCGATTCGAATACTCCTAGACCTTCTAATCGGTCTGGTGAAACCATATACACGGTCGCAGGATCCAATGTCAAGCAGCCTTCTGTGAATGATCACATATCCGAACACTTTTTGCTTTCGGCTCCAATCGCAGAAATACAGGCTGATATCATTATATCCTTGTACAGTCCCACTAGGCAATCAAGTGAAACCCTCCTCCGTAACGCTAGCCGTATCATCAAGTCAATCGACCTTTTCCGCCGGTCCCTCCCACCCAAGTACATGGATTACTTCACCGGTACCGCCGCCTGGTCGATCTCCAAACGGCATTCTCTACTAGCGAGTCTCGATGAATCTACCGGATTAACTCTCCTGAAACTCGCCATATCGCGCATCCTTCTTCTTCGTGCGCTATTCAGCTCCAAAGAATTGGAATATACAGAACGAAAAAGGGCGCTTGTTGATGCCATTGTACAGGCGCACAACGTTATTGCAATTCATACTGTGCTTGTGCGCTATCCTGAAGTAGGATTCTTCACGAGTCCAGTCCCGTTGCACATTGCTGCCATGGTCATCCTTTATGGTAGGATGAGCAAATGCGACGTGGGAATACCTTCGCTTATTGATGGAGAAGGAAGTGAAGATGGGGGGAGTAATGCGGTGAGGATACTGATGGAAGACGTTTGGCTGGCTTTAGATATGCTTCCACGCTTCCGCTGGCGTTGGGAAACTGGGAGTGGTTCTAGCGGAGGAACAACTCCGCTCATTGCCAAACTGGCGGAAGAGGTGATGGAGACTTCTTTGTCTGAAGCTGGACTACGTGGGCTCGGAGCTCCAGATGAATCCGACAAGCGTGGTTCTAATGACGCTACCGAACGTGGCCAAAATGGGAGAAGTCGAATGATTGCAGGTATCGGCCGACAAGGACCAGTTGGTCAACCAGTGTTAATACCAGAACCGGAGTGGGTGGAAGATGTTACTAGCCCAAACCGGGGGAAAAATACTGGTAGCACTCCAGTCACGGCTAGTGGCATGTGGGTACCTACTTGGACTGAGACCGTCCCGAGTCCCAAAAGTCAGCAAACTACACCAACATTGCAAGCAGCGTATCCGCCATCATCGTATCCTCGGTCATCTGCCAGTGCCCCTACTGGAGTGCCGTCGCACCCATATCCCCCTCCGATTCCCACATCGAGCCCTACGCATACTGATAATTCGTATCCCCATCCTCAGTATACATTCAACCCACCAGTGTTTGGTCCCCAGCCTGTCAACGGAACAAATGAGAAACCACCCAAAGCTACCTCTTCGAATGCTCCCCCTTCCGCCACTCCAACGCGTAGCAATGGAATGCAGCCTTCTCTTTCAACTCACATGATGGAAGTTCCTCATAGTCTTTTTTATCCAATTTATCCAGATGGCGTTCCCGTGCCTCCAGAAGGTGTTCATAGATCTTCCACCGGAACTCCTCGTGCTTCCAATGGACCCCTAAGTCCGCCTCCCCAACCACCGCGGCTATCTAGAACGACCACTTCGGGTTCGTCTGCACCGGCAGCCCAAAGCAGTGGGGCAACAAATTCACTCCTTGCTGCAGTAGCGGTACAAGCCCGTGCACATGGAGGACAGCAAGGTGCACCGGATATATACATGAATGAAGAGAGGGGAATTCAACCAGGCCATGCTCACCCATCGGGTGGCGGGTATGTGGCTCTGAACTCTCATGGTTCTTATCATGTTCATACAGGTACGCCGTATTTACCTTCCCACCATTTAGGTCAAGCCCTTAATGCTCAATCCTCCACAGCTGGGCCGCCACCTGCTGCTCATCAACACACCTCATCTCAGTTACACCATGCCGCGGTGAATAGCCCGTATCCACTTCATCATTCTGCTCATGGTTCTATGCCGCCACCTCCTCCTCACACCGTTTGGGCGAGTCATGGGGTAAGTGCTCGTTTGGTTCCGGGTTACCATGTCCACTCACTTGTTCGTTCTTCAAGCACACGCGACCAGCGGGTTATGCTAGTCAACCTTCCTGATTACCTTGGTGCTCGAATCTAGTCTCTTGTCAGTCTGTTCTAATCTTTTCGAGGAAATTTCCTTTTTCGTGGTATGTAAAAGATGTACGTGTAGGTTAAATGCATTATCTTTCCTTCAGATTGTGAAGAAAATATCAGTCGCTCATATACTTATACAGAATAGAACAACTTATATGGAAATTCTTCGGTTTGAGCGCGCGCCTTAAGCCATTTACATAAGTTACAATAGATTATAGTGACAGTCCACTCGAATTTACTCCATTTTGAGGACTTACAGTCCTCCTACGGTGTTGCTTGAGTGCGTCCGCACACATCAGACGTGATGTGTCGTGATGTGTGTAGCGTAAACCCTGTTCCTAAACGGAACCGTACCAGTTCATTCACCTCCCCGTACATGTAATGATCGAACGACCATAAAGCCCAGACCAATTTATTGAACCACTGATAGAAGTAGACTTTCGCGATATTTGGATCCAGTTGGTCCAGCTTTCTCATTTTTTGGATCCCCCGCCACCAGCCACAGGATGTTTCACTCCTCCACGAGGTCGCATGCTATGAGTCGTTCAATATCGAGCAATCCTGGGTGTCCACCTAAAGTTACATACTTTGGTTTCACGGGCTCACTATCTGAGTCCCACTCTTCTTCCTCAAGGTCCTCTTTGTTTCTGCTATCAGTTGCACCGTCAATTTCTCCAGCCGCTTTGACGTTTGAGGCAGACTCTACAGTGCTTGCGCTGACCTCAGACAGCTTGACACTGCCTGCAGATTCAACATCCGAAGCTGATTTGACAGTATCAGCGGAGGGAACGCTCGAGGCTGATTTCACTGTGGAAGCTGGCTCAACGGTCGAGGCCGATATGACGCTGGTCGAGGCCGACTCAGGTAGTCCTATGTCTTTCGGTCTTCAAGGGATGTTAGGCAGAGGGCATATCAAGCCCAGGAGATAAATACCTGTCAGACTTGTCCATGTTATTGAAAGGGAGATAACTGGGAGATAAAAAGAAACGGGACTATGGAACTGAGGATACATATACGGGCAAAACAAGCGCGCGTTTAGTTGTTCAATGTTTAACGCTAGGTAGTATCATTGACGACAACAGCGGAGACGGATACAGTAAAAAGAGGAACACGCGTTGGCTCATGGTTCCATAATTCCATTTCTGTCCGACGAGCGTCTCAGAGAATGTAAGAATAGACATTTTATGGAGGACGATACAGGAGATAGAATGCACAACACTGATATACAGTACTTAGACATACAAACATCACCAATCTCTTATCTATAGGCTCAATATCAAGGTCAGTTATATCTCAGCCCCTTCCGGAATCGCGTAGTACAAAGGCTGAAAGACTTGATATTAGGTGCAACAGCACAAATTTCATTTAATAAACACTGACCGTGTCGAATACATGGTAGAAATGGCCGTTGACTCCTCCCCATCTTCGATTTCCGTAATATGCCATGGGGAACCACTATGTTGCCAAAAATGAGCGTTCAGGTGATTTCAGGTAAGGTAGACGTACATGTTGTGGAGGCAGCCCTTCCTTACGCGATCTGAGATACCTCGCTGACTCGGTCTCGTTTGTAACACCTCTTCCATGTCTTGGAAGAACAAACTGCGCGACTTGCATTTCCGTATCTGTGACAGTGCTTCGCGATATGCGGGCGTACGAAGTTCGATACAAACCACGGTACAAAATATATTCTATTCAGGAATCGGTGTTAGAAATCAGGAAGGAAGGCAGATTAGGGGTACTAACCACACCATCTGTCATGATCTTCTTGGTCGACATCGTGGACGTTACCATCCTGCGGAACAGAAAATCGGCATGGGTGCAAATAAATTTCATCGTAACTCTGGGCTTGCCTCGACAAGAATCTGGTAAGGGTTGGCTGCGGTGTCTTTGAGCATCTCTTGCAAGAAGCTGAGCCAAGTTCACTTACGCCTAGGTGCATGCGGACGCGTAACTACGTAACCAAGAAAGATAACCGGTCTTGGGTACGCTTCTGACATTATTCTTGCCAACTCTTTGCTCTGTAATTCACGATCCAAAGGATCTTCCTCTATAATCCACCCCGTCTGTGACTGATGAACGAAATATGATCAGAATATATACCTTGGCCATTGTGTGAAACAATAACTGTGACAGATGTGCCATACACATCTAAAACAGCTTCTATAGCGGGAGCTAGCTCTCCGTGAGGTGAAGGTAAGAGGTGATGTGTAGAGTTGATTATCGGGAACTGTCCTGCCAAGTTGAGCGAGTAGCGAGCGTGTGGAGGTCTTTGAACCTACTTTGGAAAGGAGCACAGCACCCCACGTATGAGAGTTAGGACCTGGTCCAAGGTCCACGTTCTAGAAGCCCATTAAGTACGGCCGCAATTGCGGAAAGATCAGTGACAATATCCTACATAGCCCATATCCTCTATGATGACTCTGGTACTAAGCAATGCTTGAGTATCAAATGAATAACTGTAAACGCGGAAGAATCACAGATCACGATTGCCGTAGACAGTACGCTGTATGGGTTTCGTCAGTCAAAGCCAACAGAAGACGTCTAGTACCTACATGTAGGTCTGTCTCAAGAAGCCCGACAACATCAAGTTCCATGCCTCTGAATTCAAATTTTAGTTGTTGCAAACGCGGCAAGGGAAGCATACTTTATGAGATTCATCACACGACGCTGACTATCCCGACCCTCGTTGTCAATGCCAAAGTGTATCGTCCAGATTCCCGCACGCAGTATTCGGTGGCCTGCTCTGAAGGGCTGGATTGGAGCAGTTGGAAGTCGATAAAGCGAAGCTAGCACAGCCACGATAGACATCAGAGCCAGTGCAGTCCGAGTACATGAAGAGATTGTGCTTGTCAAGGCAGTTGCACTACTCTGTCGATTCCCAAGAGCTGGCCACTTGAAAGCTGGAACCAGACAAACTATTTGAGCGATAGTTACCCTATTCAAGGAAGTTGGTAATGAAAGTTATAACTCTTCAAGGAAGGTGATGACTCACAAATCTGTCCGTTCACGAAGATATACACCTCCAGGAACAAAAGCGTACGCGACTGTCCAAACGTTTGCAAGAGCCAGCAAACAATAGACTAACATTGCGGTGAAAGACGTTTTGAATACTGCACGAGTTGAGCTCGCGTTATGCAGTATCAACGGTGAAGATCCCATGACGAAGATAGCAAGTCCTAATCCTCCGAGATATCCAAGCCAATTTCTATGGGTGTACATTACATAAGAGCTTGCGCTTCCAAAGACAAACCAAAGTGGATTCGCCAACAGGTGCACTTTCGACCTCGCCACGGCTTGCAAGGCAATTAGCAGACCGATAGACTGACAGAGGAGAGTAAGTGATCCATGAAGATGGGGTAGTGGTCCTCTGGGGCGTCCATTTTCATATCCGGTCCAAGACCAAGCTATCAGTGTGCTGGGATCTGCGAACAACGAATGGAGGATGAAAATGAAGCTTCCTAAAGGTAACGCTCCCAAAAGCCAATGAGTAGCAGATACAGGCTGAGCGGAGTCATTTTTTTCGGATTCGGGTGATCGTCCCTCTTCATCGGGTCTAGTGAAGAATTCATATAATGCGAGGAAGGCGAGGAGCAGGCCTTCTTTGTTATAACCACCAGACCTTTCATCGATAAACGGCCAAACTAGGAAGCAATCTACTTAGCTAGCCCACGTAAATCGTCAAAAGAGATATCGCACCTGGATTGTTGGAATGGTTAACGTGTTTAGACAAGGAAGACAACATAAGACCTAAGCCGGTCACTGTAGAATCGCAGAGTCAGTAGCAGTCCACCCCCTTTTCGGAAGGTATCAAATCTCACTTATGCTTTGATAGCCAGGATTATCAGCCCAGGTTACGACTTGAGGTATCATGGCAGCCGACGTTGCAAACGCTACGAGGAACAGACGATGAAGAGGTGATTGAAGAACATAGGCAGCCACGCCAGTGAATGAAAGCAGACGCATAATAGTCTGACCACCTCGTGTATGAGCCCAATTCAATATTGTAGGTATAGATAGCCATATCGGGGAAAGAGTCGAAAACAAAGCTAATTCAGACCCAGCAATCGCAAGTTCCCAAACAGAGAAGTAGAACAATGTCGGGATCAGTGATGTGAAAATCGACCAGAAAATGTATGCTGTCAGCAGGCATGTAAGCACAGTGAAGAATGCCACAACATTTGTGAAACGCACATAGATAAAGGTCTGAAGTAAAGCTGACATATGGTCGATACAACGAAACCAAGGACGCCACCCAATTTGAGGCTGGAAGACTTCTTATTTTCGGTGATTCTGATCTTTCATGGCGGGAAGGGGATCCTCCGATGTGAATGTACTTTACCTGCCTGCTATATGTCAGAACATCGGGTACTTAGTATGTAGCATACTTTTTCAAACTTACGTAGGTGCAGCACTACCATTCACTGATTTCAAGTCTCCGATGGCGACCTTTTGAGAATCAGACAATATATTGTTGGGGCTTATAAGAAGAGACATCCTTGTTTAAACTTACATGTAAATTGTTCAGTCGGAACTCCTCCTCTGCGCACGCATCATACAAAACATCGAAGAAAATAAGCCCCCACTCGAAAAAACTGTAATGCGTGTAAGCTAAAAGACGTATGAGTGGACAGAAATCTCGAGATTCTGGTTTCTACGTACCTCCGGGAATTCGATAGACTTTGTGCTGAATGAAGAAATACACCAGAGGCACGATAGCCAAGAAAAATCTATTCAACAGTGAAGGGTGAGTTCTATGTGGCTCCTTGAGACTGCTTACGCTGAAGCGATGACAGATCTGGTGCAAATTATCTCGTTCAATTCAGAATTAGAACATAACTTGTAACGCCCACCGTTTTCTCCGAACACTTGGACATTTTATGGTTGTTGAATATATGCCTCCAATCATCCAAGGTAGATTGAGCACTATATACGTGATCATAAAGATGTCGTGTGCGTCGTGGTCATCACTGGATGTTATGTAGACCCATCCCCCACAACTCAGCGTGCGGATAATACCCGAGACGAATACAATGGCAGGGAGCGATGATTCAGTCGAACGCTGAAGAAAGTACTGTAGGGAAACAAGCGCAATGCGTGGTCCTACATATCGGAAGAAGGAAGCCTCAGAAAATTGCATGAGAACACGTCGAACGCGCACGAACCGGAAGTCAATGCAATCACAATTTGGAACACGTTCCTCTCTGGATACCAGTCGCCAATTCTGTTGACCCGAAATGAGAACGGAGCTTCAGAACACATGGTTCCGTTGCGTACGTGGCAGATACAGAAGGAAACCATTCCTCGGGATATCCGGCTATCCCATTTTTGACAATCTTTTTGTAATGAAGCAGTAGTCCGAGAGCAAGAGCTGAGGTAAAAGCAGTGTAGGCAAAGATAGTATGGGCGCGGGCGATGGTAGAGGCCTTGAGGATATAGTGTCCAATACTAGGACCATCCTTGTCTTTCGAGGTCATCGTGGTCTGTATTCAAGACGCGTTACTTTAGAAACTCCGGACTGCCATCGCGGATCTCGGCCTGATTCTCGGTCGTTTCGTAACCTGTGCTTTGACCATCTCTATCATGACGAAAACTACGATCCCTATCACAGTTTTCACTGGTTTTCTTGGCGCTGGAAAGACCACCGTGATACTTTCACTATTACCAAAGCTTCCCAAGGATAATAAAGTTGTGTTATTGAAGAATGAATATGGGGATGTCGAAGGTACGACCCCAATCTTTATTCTCTCTCTCGGTAACTTATGAGTATAAAGTCGACAGTAAATTGGCCAAGGAATCCAGTTTGACGGCCGTCAGTGAAATTCTGAATGGCTGTATGTACGTGGTCTTGATTGATTTTCAAAGCTTTGACCTTTTCATCTCCAACACAAGGTGCTGCGTCCTCGTGGGTCAAATGCAAAACGCACTTTTAGAAATCAGAGGTACGATCTACCATCCAAGACCTGCATTCAACTGATCTCAGAACAAGAATAAGACCAGTACCATCCAGACCGAATCTTAATCGAGTGCTCGTGAGGCTACTTCACCCAAATTCTTGCGTATCCAATCCATAACCCGACCTCGGATTTTCATAGAGGTTCGGCATTTCCAGCCACCTTGGCCTTCCAGATACGGGAAATGGAACGCAACACGGGAGGAGACTTCAAACTAGACTCCATAATCACAGTCATAGATGCAGAGAATTTCGCCGGATACGAGGATACTTCTCCTACTGCTAAGATGCAGGCTAGCTACACGGACGTGATCCTCATTGTATGTCTCATTTATGCCATCTGGTATCACTCTTTCATCCCAATCTGTGCAGAACAAATGGGAGTCTGTATCCGATCGGCATCTAGACATTGTAATGGACCACCTACACACTCTCAACGACCTTACACCGAAAATCCGTTGCGATGCGCGTGGTGGCGTTGATCCAAGTCTCATATTTGGTATAGACTCGAAACTATTCCAGAACACGGATGCCCACACTCAAGATCCATCTCATGTTGACGAAGTACAAACTTTGACATTATACCGTGGCTCGACAGCAAGTTTGCCTCATAAGCATGGCGATGACCACGAGCATGCACATGAGCATTCCGGGGCAGCAAATCCCTTGACCAACCTCCCAAAACTGATAATGATAGATACCCTAGAAGAATGTCTGACAAAACTTGGGAAAGAATCGGTGTGGAGAGTGAAAGGCTTCGTTCGGGTGCAAGGAGTCAATGATGTAGAGACTTACATTGTTAACTGGGCGTTTGGTAGGTACGAACTGACTAAATCAGAACCTTCCGTACTGGTGGGAGATTGCTCTGTACAACTCACCGCTATGGGAGAACAAGGGGAACTACGTAGAGCTATTAGATCGTTCTGTAGAGCACTTGAATTGTCAATTTTGTAGATGATCGAAATGAGATTTTTACTGAACGAGTGCTCAAAATACTGGTCGTTATGATCATCACTTTGCAGACGATGAAGCAAATAGAGCGATAAGTAAAGCAAAAAAGTACAAATCCTTGTAGAATAGTCTGTACATAGCAACCAAAAAGCGAAAGCGAAGACATACAAGTACTATGCAGGTTACACATAACTTTTCGCAAGGGATGCTTGAATCCAAAGAAAACGACATAGTATACTACGTATGCCAGCAAGCAAGAAGCAAAACGAATAAATCAAAGCAAAAAAACTGACCGCCGACCCACATAAAGATATTCTTTGACTTTCCTTCCTCACAATTAACCTCCCGAGTGTCCTCATTCAGTTCTGCGTCAACGGCATATCCGGGATCAGAATATGCATATGCTTGGCTCCCTCATTCCCCAATACGGCATTATACGCACTCAAATCACCTTCCATGTTTCTCAGCGAAGCTAACGACTGCGCTGAGTCTTTGTGTTCCAATGCAGGCACGTGAGACCCGTAAGGGTTCATAGCACGTTGATACGTGGTTGGCGTCGTGGCGGGGAAGGAGGATGTCGATGACGAAGCCGACTCGGATGCAGGAATTGTCGGGGCAGGTCGCCGAGTAGTTGCTGCTTTCGCCGGCTTAGTTGGAACGGGGCCAGGGTAGGTATAAACAGGTGACGTAGGAGAGGTCACCGTTTCAGTGAAGGCACCAAGAGCTTCGTCAGGTGTGTATGAAGGAACAGGTTTACGAGGCGTGCGCCTACTCTGTGCTTTACCGGCAGACGAGCTTGACTGTGTTTGTTCTGGGTTCAAAGTGTAGACAAATGCGTCGGGAGATGAAGCACGTTTGTTTTGTGCCGATGATACAAATTCATGCTTGGGTGATTCCGGTACATCTGGACCACGCATGGGACGAGTCGAAGTTGGCGAGACGTTCTGGGACTGAGATCGGGCACGGTTAGGCCGGAAGCCATCAAATGTCGATGAGTCAGAAATCCCGAGTGCATAAAACGCCTGAGTATTCCCGCTAGGGGCAAGCGATGATCTTGAATATGAACGCGAGTTATGTCTGGAGGCGGGCTCGGAAGGTGGCGGCGTAACAAACGGTGAGGGTTCATAACCAATCGGAATAGTACCGACACCAGGTGCACCTGAGTCGAGAGAATCGGTGTTAGGGACATAAGACTGGTATTTTGAATAGTCTTCCTCTGTTGGCGAAGAGCTAGGCGAAAGATTACGCATCGGCATGCCTGTCTGTTCAGAAGGAGAGTAGGCAAAATCTTCTTCGGCTTGCCTGGTGCTCGTGTTGCTGTATCCTCGAGGAAAGTCAGCATAAGGATCGTACGATCCGTGTGCTGATGATGATGGGGGAGAAAATGAAGAGCTGAAAGAAGATGACATTATGGCTCCGGTAGATTCTGTAGTCCCAGAAGAGTCTTTAGCTTGTCGAGTTCGACGAACCCGTTTTGATTTAGTGGTAAACGCAGACGGGGGAGAATCCTGAGGTTTCGCAAGACCTATAGCAGCCAATCCTATATCTCCCAACCTGAATCCGCCTGATTTTTGAGGGCGAGTGTTGGCTGCAGTATTGAGCACGGTTACCGGATCAAAATCATCAGTGCCCTCAGCCTTTACAATAGATTTTGGTGCCGATCTAGACCCGTTGGCAGAATCAAACGAGCCTAAAGCACCCCATTTGCCAAAGTTAGGCCTGGGAGAAGTACCATCGCCCGCGTCATTTAGCCCATTCCTGTAACGTCGTCCACGCAGATAGGCTAGACATGCACCTATGATGACAACAAGGGCCGCAAGTCCACCGATAACACCGCCTGCAATGGCACCACTGTTCACATGACTGGTAGTAGAAAGACTACCGCCAGCACTGGGTGATGACTGCCCTGCCGTATTTGTGGAACCCGAGCTACTTGAACTTGTGCTTGTAGTTATGGTCGCAAGGCAGGATACATCACTAGAATTGCGTATGAAGATAGGCTCACTGGAGGCGTTCCAAGTCGTCCAGATCCCTCCCACGCCACCCAGAACATCGCCCGCATCAGTTGCGGTGACCAAAAATTCATACCACCCTTGCGGCAGATTCACTTGATCCCACGTGAAACTGCTCTGAACACTTGGGTCTAAGGCAGTGGATAGCGACTCAATTAGCCCTGCCAACTGTGTAGAGCTCCCTGGAGCTGCAGATACAGTGCCAGTTGCTAGTACGGAACCTGAAGCTACAGAGGGAATGATTTGTCGGCGTGCAACGGTATTAGTGGAGGAGTCCAAATCGGTGAATGTATTTGTAATTTGCGATGAGGCGGACAACGAAGATGAGCTGCTCGAAGCAGGAGGTAATTGTTGTGTAACATTGATGTTCGTGACGGAAAGCGTGATAAGCTTAACTGGTGGCTTTGCGCCGATCCCCCAAGACCAGATGATATTGAAGGGTGAGCAGGTGTCAAGCTCTGTAGAAGATAAGTCAAATACTAGGTAGGGGGACGCTGTAGCAGAAGCGGAGCTGGAAGTTGAAGATGAACTGATAGCGGAGGTAGTTGCAGGTGAGCTGGTGACGCTTGACAAAGAGTTTGACGACACTGTGAGGGGGTCACTGGAAGATGTGGGTTGAACTGTACAGAAGGATAGATTAAAGTTTGATCAAACGCGCTGAAATGAAACTTACCACTTTGAAGAATAGCCAAAGCCAGCACCAATACACATGTCGGTGTCCCCTTCATACTTCAATTCAACGCCTTTACTTTGATTCTGCTGGTTGCTAGGCAGCCAGACGATACTTGTCCTGGTGGGGAAGCGAGGACTTGCACTGCACTCTATGAGCAGATATTTTGACAGACGCTCCAACCACTCCACTTGTAGGGTAGAACAGTGGGTGAAATGGGATGGGAAGTGCAGATAGAATAGCTGTCCTAGGCTGTGGAATGGTCACTGGTCACCGGTCAGGACCAACCAAATCCGAACCCTCATTTCTCCGGATCCGACAAATCACAATAAACAACAGCCGTTCGAGCCGCAACTTCAAGTTCGCCCCGAGGACCTGGATATTTGAATCCTTTTTGATCCCTTTGACTGGGGGGCCTTTGTAGGCCCGGTTCTAGTACTCTACTACTTTACAAAATATGTAGGCTACAAATTTCATATAATATTGTTGAGGAAGCACCTCATTCAGCTCTGACTGGCACTCTGGTCTCTAAAAAGCAGGGAAAAGTTTTTGACAACAATTCTTGGACGAAGAATAACTGTAATCGCGAGTTCTCGAGTCCTGGAGCCCTGTGGACGCCTGGGCTCCTAAGTAATAAAGTATAGTGAAAGGCAGTAATACGTGGTCGACTTTGGTCACCCATGCCGCCGATTCCCAGGCACCTTTCGCACAAAGCGTACAGCAACAAGGAGCTCCATGATCAGAAGGGGTCAAGTGGATTTGCGAATCAAGGTCGAACGCTGTAGAACGCTCTTCTCCCAAAAAAGCACATCTCAACATCACTGATCTTCTTCCCTCCAAGTTCCACGGCTTTCTCCTCACATGAAACGGGCTTATTGCGTTCAAATTTCAAGCTGACCAACGTTGGAAAAATGGTGAAGCCAGTGGTTGAATATTGAATGTTGACCACATTGAATTCCAAATTGCGGGAGAATTTTGTGGCTTATCAATTTTATCACATGAGATTGGGAGAAAATCACTCTGAAAGTGATTTTCTCGTCTTCAACTTTCTTGCCATCTGAAGACGACCTCAAATACCTCGTGGTGCCTGAGGGCAAGATATGCTCTCTTATGCACTGTCTACAGGTGCACCTTCAATCATCTGAGTTCTACTGATTGGCCTCACTAATATGAATGAAAGCAACAAATCTCTTTCACCTTCCCATTGACGAGGAAGAGGACAGGGAAATTGAAGGTTATCAGAGGAAATATCTGACTTGGACATCTGATCAGGCTGTCGGAACCTCGCAAGCGTCATCTTCCAAGGCACCCAATTTGGATACCCGGTCTGCACTGTCTCGTGCAGAAGATGAACGAAATCAAACAGTCAATGATATCTTACAAAACGAAGATCTTTATGATGTCCTTGGTGTGGACAAGTCAAAAGCTCTTGACAAGCTTGCATTACGAAGAGCTTACCTAGTACGCAGCAAAGCATGTCATCCCGAGTACGTCCTCGCATCCAACTCTTCCGTTTGAAGTCTACAACTGGTCCGATCCACAGCAAATTTCCCGTAAACAAGGCGGCGAACGCTACTTTGGCTTTTCAGAAAATCGCGATAGCGTACGATATTTTGAGCAAACCTCAATCGAGACGAATATATGATTGTCGCTCGCGTTATGCGAAATACGATATCTTTGCCGCAGGACCAACCGGGCATGCTGAAGAAACATTCCAAGGTGTCGTCATTGGGATCTTCAACGATTTTTTGGACGGAGACCTAGAAGTTATCAGGACTCTATTGAGTAGGTGGACACTGTCCTGGGAGCTAATTACGGATTGACTTGTTGCAGAAGCTATAAGTGACTTCAATCCTTCACTGACTTTGGGCGATGATGGTATCAATTCCGTGCTTGCCATCCTTCATACCATACGGGAGCGTGCTCTCAGTACGTTATCTCGATGCCCTCAGAGTTTTTCATTTACTCACTTCTTGGCGTGTTTAGCTTGCCGCACTTGTATCTTCGCTCTGCATGCAGAGCTGAGTCGCCTCTTGGAAGTGCAACAAGAAATGCGACAGTTGTCTTGTTTTGATATCTTTGGTCGCTCCCGCCTCACCATTCAACTCACCCGCATAACACTCAGTCTTCCCTTCGTTTTGGAAAAAGCCTTGGAAGAGCAGCATAGTATCTATGGTTCTGGACCAAACGATAAAACTGTCACGATTCTCCCGAAGCACTTGAACGTTCTCATTCGAAATATCGATTTTGCCCTGGCAAAAATAGAATGCGTGCTATAGACTTATTATATATTCTCCTGGATCTGGATTTTTTGGGTTTTAAATTTTGTTTGATGTGCTTCAGAGTTCCTAGGTTTATCTGTAGGTTTATCATGCCCACCCTTACTTCTATCTATCATTATCACTGTACCGTATAGATACTTCATTATATAGAGTAGAACCGTGTACTTTTAACAACTATGTATGTACTTGCTAGAATCTGCAGCTTTTGTTCCCAATTGAATCGTATGTACGGGACTGGAACGCTTAGTCATGTGGGCAGGACTGCCTCGTTGAGTCAATTTGTATTCTGCAACCACCAGCACAACAGCTATCCTTACTTTCTAAGTAAAGGACACACGTTCGTTTCTGCAGTAGTCGCTTTTTTCAAATAGAGAAAGAGCGACAACCAGGGGCCTTTAACTCACACCCCCACCATGCCGAAGGCAAGTCTTCTTCAGAAATCTCGCTTTTCATCGATCCGTTGACGACAATATATTTTCAACAGAATAAGGGAAAGGTGCATACTAGATCTACTTGATTTTTCGTCATCCACAGAATCTCACTGGTCTACGCTATCGATCTAGGGAGGCAAAAATCGCCGTCGTGGAAAGAACGAAAATGATGATGACAAGCGCGAGCTAGTGTTCAGAGAAGATGGACAGGAGTATGCACAAGTTATCAAGATGCTTGGAAATGGTCGTCTAGAGGCGCAGTGCTTCGACGGAGAGAAGCGGCTAGCGCACATTCGAGGAAAGATGCGGAAAAAAGTACGTTCTTGCCAGAAATCTTTTGTGTCTTGTTTCTCATTTATGAATTCTCTAAGGTCTGGATTAATCAAGGCGATATCGTCTTACTGTCCCTACGAGATTTCCAGGATGACAAGGCAGATGTAATTGTCAAGTATACCGCGGACGAGGCTAGAAATCGTGCGTTCATAACAGCCGCTCTTAATCCAAGATCGTTCTGATGTAACGTTTTCCGAATCATAGTCAAAGCATATGGCGAGCTGCCAGAGAACGCCAAGATCAACGAGACAGATGCATTCGGTGAAGAAGATGGAGAGTGTACATTTGAGTTCGGCGACGAAGGAGAGGTGGACATCGATGATATCTAGAGGTACATATGTGTACAGGGTATCGTGATTAGTCCTTATGTTTTATATCTCCCTGTTATGCTTTTGTTGTTATTTCAGCGTGTATGCATCATACTGTATAATAAGCACAGTACATCGATGAGCAAGCTTTCGGAAATCATCCAGTCTGTAGACTTCTGTTTGTTGTATATGTACAGCAACCAGACTCAAATTTATTCAGTGATTTTGCATTTTTTGCATTTGCCCACTACATCTGCGTTAAGCGATTTTGGAACACATTCAGATATATGAGCAGTCATGATAAAAAATCTTTCGGTATAAACGGGTCATGGAAAGCGGAATATTATAATGTAGAAATTTGATCAGGTCGAGAGCTGTCGAGACTCGAGAGTAGATGGATACCGACAAAGCACTAATAAATCATGAACAGTGTGGACCAAAAGTATCGTCAGGATGCTCTAAGAGGCCCCCTCATGTACCTTGAATTTCGAAGGCTTCTTCAGGCTTCAGAGCTCGACCCCGCTTTGTGATAGGTGCTGCAGACCCAAGTAAGGAGAGACTATTCCGGATCCGGTGAAGTTGACATCTGTTAACATGGATCAGCCTCCTGTCCGATTCTTGAAGTAGCATATCATCTTCATCTTCCATGTTCTTGTTATCTCAATTGTGGAAATTTATCAGCAAACGTTAAAGTTTAGACTTCGTAGCCCCAAAGAGGAGACTATGCGCCAACGTCGTCCTAGTCTACTGCACAAAGAAACTTGAAAGTCTAAAAAATATCCTGCCCGCGTGAATACCGATTTGGCAGTAATTTTTGTACTTGCGTTAGAAACCTGTACGTGAGAGCCTGTCGAACAGAACTTTGCTGCACCTGTAAGTGCTTTGGTTCATGCTTCTTGACACAAACCCGAATGCACCCTTATTGGCAATCGAACGACGTGGTCACCATGAAAATTGAATTGTGAACCTAGTCGCAGTCAGCTACCCAGGAGGCTAAAAATCAATATCACCATGAACTTGACAAGTGATACAAACTAGCATATCCTGAAACCTCGTGGAAAGTGCTGAAAGGTGATTCTGCCTTTGGGAGAGGATCTTGAAGTTGCACTGTGAAAGAATCAACTTTGAACATCGTACTGGAAGGAAATCTGTCGAGCTTCTGGTAAGCTGAGAAGGTCTGGGAAGTCCCACAGCCTTTCGGGATTGGCCTGGATCGACGAATCTCAAGCTTACTGAATTATATGCCCTCCCGCACTACAAATCTGTCCTAGTCCAGATTATGAACAAAAAGTTTCGTGTCTCAATATCAATCAAAATCTTACCTTAGATAAAATAGAATGAGGGTTTGGTTTTGTGAGTAATAGGCTGTAGCCTTGAGTGACCTCGAGCAAGATACATAGATGCGGACAATGGTTCATGAACACGGGTTTGGAATGGTCCGAGGGCAAACTATCGGTGCGGGAACGGGTTCATGATATCAAGTCAGAAGCACAGCTAGCTGTTATGTAGGATATAGCGTCTTTCCCGTAGCGCAATCCCGTCACGTCATTTGACTTGTGGTTCACACCTGAGGATACACGGCCTGTTAATTGATTGTTTGATCTCACAATGAGGAGAAAAAAGGCTTGCAAGTTTATTACAAGTGAATCGGACCGGTGACCGAGTTCAAGAGTTAGCTACTCTATAACGTAAGTTCATGAGTTACACAGATGTATGCTTGCGGTACACTGAAGACAACCAGGACAGGCCATACATAGATATTGAGATAAGCGTCAGATCGAAATCTTGGATATCTCAAGCTTGACCTGCCGGCGACAGCTTTCTTCATCTGTTCCTGGCATTTCTGTGGCGACCGTGGGCACAAGAAAGGCATTGGTCAAGGAAGTCAAACCCTCGTTCGCCATGACCGTGTGCGTGTGCTTGAATAACAGATTGACAGCAAAGAGTTTCTGGGGTGTCACGAGGGAGCAATAACATAGTTTCGCTTCAGATGGCGGTACTTGCGCAGCGAGTAGAGAGCAAGCGTTTCTGTTACCATCGAAGTAAGCAACAGTCAGCTTGAGATGATGGTCACACACCATTCTTGATGTATTCACCAAGCTTCAAAGCTTTCTCTATTTCTTCTGGATCGGTCAAATTTCTGTTCTCTAAGATGCGTCAATGGTTGACTGTGCTATAACGTGAGGCTCCATACTCTCGAACATTCTCCTGAGCTTGCCATTAAAATCGTAGCTATTAAAGACGCGTCAATTGGGAAATGGAGATAAGAGTGAGGGACGGACTTTTCGTCAGGATACTCTCTTCCGAGTCGATGAAGCTCCTTGTACAATTTGATGACCCTCAAACGTGTCGAGGGCCCGGCCATCGAAGAAAAGCTATGTTGGTAGACGAGGCAAGAGCTCAATCTTGGGTTAGAAGGGGTTAGCCTTAAGCAGGCGGATTACTCAATCAGGCACGGTATAGCCATGTGGCGTGAGATCCGTCGTCCGCTTTCATGTTACTGTCTGTTACTGTACATACAGTAAGTATTGGCATGTGCAGTCTGAGTGCAATTGTTAAAGAGTAAGATATCTAATAATTTTCGTCAAAGATTCTTCGATGCCCAGGAGCCATCACCTCGTTATTTCTGTGACTATGACTATAACAGTTATCAAGTGTAAAGTGGGTTAAGTGCTACTTTTGGCTTTTCATGATCATTTTGAAATCCTTCCGAAGTTGGCTTCTTTCTTTCAGCTTCCCCCTGAATCCAGATCTATAGCTTTGCTGTTACCGCACATAGGACCTACGATCATCCGGCTATTCAGAATAATCGGGAGAAAGAGTAAAGACAGCAAACGTTTCGTAAAACAACGAGTTCCATGATTGGTTAAAGTCACGAACGTGCTCCCTGTTTTCCTTAGTTGAAATACTGCAAAAAGTCATATAAAGCTGGTCGCATCATAAATACGTATACTTCTTCATCCCGACCCCTCATGGCTAGCGAGAAAGGTTCCAGTGTCTCCGGTGAGCCTTTGCCTCAGACTTCCTATGTCCTGGACGAGCGCCGTCGTGCCGCTCTTGCAGAGGTCGACAATGCCAAGTTCTCGTATGTGTTCATCTTAAGAGCAGTTTATTTCCGTGCCCATTTTTTTTTCCTTCTTAGCTGGTTCCATGTCAAGGTCTGCTTTGTAGCTGGGGTGGGCTTCTTCACCGATGCGTAAGGGATCCTCGGGCCCCCTAAATATCTTATATACCTATACGCCTTACAGATATGACATTTTCGCTATCAACATTGCTTCCACAATGTTAGGGTACGTCTATGATCCTAGTGAGTACTTTTAATCTACAGTCAGTTTACGACGCCCCCAATAATTCTTCAAGAGCACAAGAGCTTATCAACCAACGCCGGTCTTGGTGTCAAGGTCGCAACTCCCGTTGGTACATTAGTCGGTCAGCTTCTCTTCGGTTGGTTAGCTGATGTGATCGGTCGTAAAAAGATGTGTTAGTAGCCCCCTTACCATACACGGATAAAGGCTTTTTATTGACCTATTCAATGGACAGACGGTTTCGAACTCATGATCATCATTTTCGCCACCTTTGCTCAGGCCCTCTCTGCTAATGGACCTGCCGTCACCATCATTGGCGTTCTTGTCGTTTGGCGTTTCCTGGTAAGGACTAGTTTGTTGGATTTTGATTATTGAAATGGCTTTCTCAGAAATCGGTTCATTACAGATGGGCGTCGGTATCGGTGGCGACTATCCGCTTAGCGCTGTGATCTCCTCCGAGTTTGCTAGTACCCGCACTCGTGGACGTCTGATGACTGCCGTCTTTGCCTTCCAGGGATGGGGACAGCTTGGTGAGCGACGAAACCTTTTTTCAGCTTCGTAAGCGACGAAGTAACCTGGGAATCTTTACCAGCTGCATCCTTAATTTCCGTGATCGTGGTTGCTGCTTATAAGGACAGCATCATTGGAGATGTCTCCCCCAACTTTAATGCTGTCGACCACTGTTGGCGCATTCTGATCGGTATGGGATGCGTTCCCGGAGTCATTGCACTCTACTTCCGTCTCACTATTCCGGAGACTCCTCGGTTTACCATGGACATTGAACGTAACATTCAACAAGCTACCAAGGACATCGACACCATACTTGCCACTGGCGCTAACCAATCCAAATCTGTCAGTCACCAGCACTTGGACGCTCCTGTTGCAAGCTGGGCCGATTTCAGAGCATATTTTGGTCAATGGAAGCATTTGAAGGTCCTTATTGGTACTGCTTATTCTTGGTTCGCACTCGATGTATGTCGTCCTGCTACTTCTACCCCTGCATTTTCTCATCGGAATTCCAGATTGCTTTCTACGGTCTTGGTCTCAATTCCAGTATTATTTTACAAGCTATCGGCTTTGGCTCCGCTGTTAGCACTGGCTCTCGAGGAGTGTATGATAATTTGATGAATGTTTCTGTTGGAAATGTCATTCTATCCATTGCTGGACTTATCCCTGGCTACTGGGCTTCGTTCCTCCTCATCGATAAGTGGGGTCGAAAGCCTATTCAGCTCATGGGATTCATTTTACTCACTGTCTTGTTCATTGTCATGGGTAAGCCGTTAACCTTCTCTATCATGCTGCAGATTACTAGATAATTGATGTTTTATTGTCAAAGGATTCGGATACGATGCTCTGAAAGGAAGCGCCTCCGGAAAGAAGGCATTCGTTTTCCTTTATTGCCTTGCAAATTTCTTCCAAAACTTTGGCCCCAACGTTACTACATTCGTTATCCCCGGAGAAGTGTACCCCACACGATACCGTTCCACTGCCCACGGTATTTCCGCCGCCAGCGGCAAGCTTGGCGCAATTGTTGCTCAAGTGGGTTTCGCTCAGCTTGCAAACATTGGTGGAAGTAATGCGTTCGTAGGACACATGTAAGCATTTTGTTCATATTTTTGTACTTGAGTTTCTGACAATTTTGTCTCTGCAGCCTTGAAATATTCGCATTGTTTATGCTTACTGGTATATTCTCAACGCTACTTCTTCCTGAATCCAAGGGCAAGTCGCTTGAAGAGCTTTCGGAAGAGTAGCGCACAACAAATTTCCTAGAAAAGTTCCATTGTTAACATTGCAGCCCTCCTCATGGTACTAGTACAAGTAGTTTACAAGCTTCTATGCGAACTCGAGCGCTCTAGTGTTCCTTAGTGACCACGATATGTCTAATATCTTCAAGAAAATTTGTATAATTGTCTATTCTTTCATGTCTTTGGTCTTAACAAAGTGAAGATAAAATTGTCGCTCATGGGCATAGCAAGGGCATAGCCTGGCTCTTCATACCGTTAGCCACTGCGTACCAAATAGGGCGTCTATAAATGAGTGCATTTCTTAGCGCGCGTGCACTGGGATCGTTACGTAACTTAAAACTACATACCTTTCCGGATCCTACCATCATGCAGGGCAAGTGTGTCACACAACCTAGTGCCCCCCTTACTGAAATTTCGACTTGATCGAAGGATTCAACAAATACTATCCACCTGACTACGATGGCGAGAAGCATGGTAGTCTGAACTCTTACAGAGGTCAGAGTCCTTCAAAAACTTCAACAAAGCTTATACTTGAACTCGACCACTTCAGGGAAACATGCTCTTGGTGATCGAGCTCGGAAATTGGATCAAGGGATCCTTATTACTCGCTTCGAGCTACCTTTCAACATTTGGTGGTACGTGTATCCAAAATGTCCATACAACATTCGCGAAATTCAAAAGTGTCGTTTAGTGGAACATGCAACAATCATATTGGCATGGGCGTCCGTTATAACGCGGAAAAAAAGAAAATTGGCAATTACTACTCAACCCCCATATTTTCATTTCGATGTAAATGTCACCTGTGCGACGGATGGTTCGAGATACAAACGGATCCCAAGGTCAGCAGTATTCCAACTTTATGTTCAGCGTACCCCTCAGTTTGAACGTTCGGTACACTAGAATACTAGATATGTCGTTGTTTCTGGAGCGAGGCAAAAAGATGAAGAGTGGGATCCGGAAGAGAATGGCGGATTTGCCGTGCATGGTAGGTAGATTATTCATGTTGGTTTTTGCTCCTAGCCTCGACGATTTTTTGTAGACACAGATGGAAATGCTGCGCCCGTAGATCCCTTAGCCGCGCTTGAAAAGACCACTGATGCACAAATTCATCAAACCAAAGTTCAGATTCCACGTCTCGAGTCTTTGATGGATGTATCAGACCGGTACAATTCTGACCCATACTCTTTATCCCTCAAAGCCCGTAAACACTTCAGAGAGGATAAGAAGATATGGAAAGAAAAGGAGAAATCTGATGTCCAAGTCAAGGATCGATATGCATTGCCGACAAACTTCAGTTTGGCTGAAGAAGACGGAGAAACCATAAAGGAAGCTAGGGAGCAATGGCGGAAGGGTAGGGAAGAGATACTTCTTCGCAACAGTAAACGTCGAAAGCTTGCTGTCGAGACATCCATTGTCCCTAGCTCCTCTGGCTTGAGTTCGACGTCATCTTCGGCCGTAGTCGAATCCTTGCGTGCACGGGTTCTGATAAATACTGCTCGACAATCTCGGACTTCTACTAATTCTGCTTCTACTTTTGTGAACGGTAGAAAGTCTTTGGTACGCAATAGGTGAATAAGATGCAAATATATGCAGTTTGGGCCCCGTCGTCTTTATTTTCAACAATGTAAATCATATTTTGTCTACGCCTTGGTGGGAATATATATTCGGTCCAATGTCGACAAGATAATCGATAGCGGCTAGAACAACAGTAGCAATACACAGAGCAGGTAACCAAGAAGATAAACGGCGACAAAGACAAGGGTTTGTAACAGAAGGAGAGGAGAATAAGTAAAAAAAAGAGAAATAGATAGAAGGGGATAGGAAAACAGCAACTCCACGCCGGAAAAAACATAGAATAAGATGATATGAAAGGAGATTAAGAAGCAATGGAGAGGTAAAACAACTACACAATCAACAAAGATACATATATCGTGACCAAAGAAGATAAGTAGCCATAAAAGAAACAAATACTATGAATTGAAAATCGCCCAAGGCTGTTCCAGCGTAGCCATGTGCCCATCCCACTTCCAATCAGTAGACTGATAGTAGGCCGACTCCCCTCCATCGATCTCCTTCAGCGTACCCAGCCTCAGCGGATCATACTCTTCTTGTTTAACGTCGAGTAAAGCAGTTGCATGATGCGCTGGATCAGCATCTGCTTGAGATTCTGGGCTAGGGTTCGTCGACGACGAGGAAACCAAATCAGGTGTTCCAACCTTTGACTCGTCTTCATCTTCGTTCGGGAATAGGGAAAAGTCGAAGAACTCTGTGAGATCATTGGAAGATAGAATTTGAGACGTCGAAGCGGATGCGTCTAGTGAACCAACTTCGTTCAAACCCAACGTCGAGAACGTATCGGAATCGGGTATACCACCATCATAACCCTTGAGAATCTGTTCTAGAGTTTCCGAAATATCAGAAGACAGAGCCGCCTGGTCTTCGGTCCCAGCCATTTTGATCAATTCCGTCATCTGTTCAAGGAATTGGCTGGCATCTTCCTCGGTCTTGATATTCTCAACCACTTGATTCTTCTTCTGCAACGACTCACTGATTGGTCCTTCCCAGTCAGTCTTTGCCCGCTTGGGAGGAGAAGGTTCGTTGGCAACTGTCGTAGGTAAGGGGTTGGAGCTCGACCCTGCAGAAGGGTCTGTGCTGGGCTGAAGAGCGTCAAGCTCCTCCTCACGCGGTCGCTTGACTCCAGCAGAGGATGTAGGGATAGTAGCATGATCAAGAGTAGGAGTCGCATTGACTTTGGGTGTCGACGGCTTCCGCGATTTCGGCTTTTTGGGCGCTGATTTTGGCTTAGGCGATTTAGGTGTTTGTGGTGAAGCGGCAGCAGCCGCACTAGGGGTCGGTGCAGTGGCAATAGGCGTGGCAGCAGAAGCAGGCGGAGTAGGAGCACCACTCTGCTTCTTGTTTTTTGACGGAGGCGGAGGCGGATTCAAGGGCATGGGAGGTCGAGGAGGTATAGAGTTGTTAGATTGGGTAGGAAGATTGGGGGCTGGTGAGTGTTGTAAGTTGGGAGGTAGTTGTCCAGATGGCACCACTCGACCGACAGGTCCAGGATAGCTGGGATGTTGATCTACAGTAGGGCCCGAATCCCCTCTGAATATATTCTGAAGAATATGAGCGATATAGCGACTCGCGTACTGGAATTGAGTAGAGTACGTTCGTAGATTTTCGAAGGAGATTATGAATTTAGGATTTGGTGACGTTAGTAGACTCCTTTGATGTTGAACGGAAAGAATCTACAATTCATTGTCAACAAAGGTGAATGTGATGGATTGCAAACAAAAAACATACGCCATTTGATAACTTTTTGGTGTTCTCTTCGTTCTTTGTTACGATACTATAAAGAGCCAGCTTGCCGTCTAGCTCATTTGCAAGACGGAACGCGAGTTCGAGCACACTATTGTATTCCCCTCTACTTTCAAGAGGAATATCGACACCGGGCATGAGAGGAAGGGCTATCGCAAGGTTGAACGCTTGTATTGTAGTGGTTTTGAGAATCACTCACCTCGCGCAGTATACTCAGCCTTGTTCCTGTTGATAGTCATCTGAGCCAAGCTCAGCTGTTCTCGTGAGGGACGAGGAATCGAAGATCCCGGAGGGAAAGTTGGCTGAGGTTCACCCGGGGGTCGAAATGGTTGATTCGTGTTACCTAAATTGGGAAAGGGCTGACCGACATTTCCAGCATGCCCAACATTACCTGCCATAGGACCTTGAGGAAGTTGAGGCCGACGGATTTCGTTTCCGAAATTCTCTTGGTCTGCACTCATGCTTTGCAAACTAGAACGATGAGTCTCGACAAAACTAATCATCGTATCCGACATCCCACGGGCTCTCAACTCGGACGGCGATTTATCTGCACACGCAATAATCATACGCAATTGATGAGGGCTCAAGCTGCGCAAGGCCTCGGGTGTGAATGGCATCGATGGACCCTGAGGAGGGAATTGACCAGGTGTCTGGATTGATTTTCGGCGACTATCCACCACAGAGGTTATGTAAACTGTGTCGAAAGCCAAAAGATATTCTTTGTAGACATTCTGAATATGCATAGCAGCAACCGGACCCGACCTAGGCGGTTCGCCGGGAAAGTTAACCATTCCCAAACGTCCAGCTATTACTGGCCACAACTCTTTGCGTGTAACCTTTGACCCGAAGGGTAAATTGACCATACACAAATATACAAGGATGAACTCACATTCGTAAGACCGCCCTCGCGCATGACCAGACAATGTAATTGGAACAAATCGATCTGCCGATTGTCGATAGCAAGAAGCCGAGGGTCATGAACGATGGCCTTCGTTAAGCACCACTGTTTGTAAGAGCTCTCAAAGCGCGATTTGTCCAATGGAGGAATTGGCGCATTGATGAACGCTCCGGATATATTCGGTCCGGTAGCACCATTGGTGGGAGGATTGTTAATGGGAAAGTTTAACGGCGATGTGTTCATGGGGAAGGAATTCATCGACTGTTGCGGAGTTGGACCGGATCGAGGCGGGACGTTGCTCGGAGAGTTAACAGAAAGACCAGATTGAGGATGCGTAGGAGCTGGACTGGATCGAGGACCGAGCCCCGCAGGCTGGGGCTGAGACGGCGGTTGTGTCGGATTCCCGAAAGGCGAGGACTGCCAAGGCTGACCACCATTACCTGGTGGGGGAGGGCCTTGTGAGGATCCGCCCGTAATATTACTAGATTAAAATGTCAGAGAAGAACACGGCTATAGAGTATTCTACACACATTGGGCCGTTTGTGCCATTGCCCTGCTGCATGCAGATGTTCATCAGTGTAACGATTTTATTCAAGGACTCTTTCCGGCCAACAAGTTCAGACTGCAGTGAACGCATTCTCGCCATAAACATATTATCGGGCATGTTAGTACGTTGAGCCTGCAGTTGGAGCATCTGCATTTCTTGCGACTGAATGAGACTACGAAGAGTGGTCGCTCGCTCAGTGAGATCGCCAAGGTTGATTGTGCGGCCTTGAACATTAACAGTCCCTCGAGAGTTCTGAACCATGCCGTTAGTGTTCGCTGGCTGACCGCTCAACAGAGAGGGCGGCATAGATGGGTGAGGAGAAGGGCGACGCATGTCATTCGGAGCGGGAAACATGTCATTTTGAGATTGGAGGGGATTAAGCCCTTGTGGCGCTCCATTGATGGAAACACCTCTATTTCCTAGATTAGTGGGACTGTTCTGGTTCTGCTGATTCTGGGCGAGGTTCATGAGCTCAAGCTGACGTGAATGTTGCTGATTCCCTTGTAATGTTTGCAACATGCTTTGCCTGTGTTGCATGGACTGTTGATAGCTAGGATTGTGCTGCCCTAATCCCGTAAAACCCATCTGCATATTGTGCTGACTTGGATTCGGTTGGTCCAGGAAGGTCGTCTGTTGACTCTGACCAGAACCGCCGATGGATAAGCCAAAACGTTGCTGCTGCGATTGCATTTGGGCCAATTTTTGGCTCCTTAGCAGGTCAGCCATCTGTTGCAGAGATAAAGAGGAGTTAGTTTCACACCATACACGTAATTGGATCGAGATGAGAACAGCAATGAAAGAGTGGTCGCTGACAAAAATTACAGCAGACAATGCTTTTAGCTATGAAGTACTACGAAGAGAGGACACTGGCACACTGTAACGATAAAAACATAGGGCCTAAAACAAAAAAGCGAGTAGGAAAATACCATAAAAAATTACTCGCCTGCTGCGCCGAAGGGCCATTCATATCCTGTCCATTCTGAGCACGCATCTGTTGCATCTGTTGCATCTGAGACCAAGCTCGGTTCTGGTCGTTGAAACCAGACAATCCAGGATGAGGTTGCTGCGAGGATTCCTGTTGCTGCTGCTGACCGGGCTGTAGTTGCTGCTGCTGCTGCATAGCACTCAGCTGGTGGTGGTTATGCATCCCCGCTGCACCTGGAACAAAATTGTGGCCCATAGTGTACTGTGAAAGACGATCAGCCATGAGTGCTGGTGGGCTCTGGCGGCAAATCGGAGAGGAAGGAACGGTGAAAGGACCGTAGAGCGTCCAAGGCCGCTCAAGACGACGATGAAATCTCAATCAGGCAGCAGGCTATTCTCTAGCAACGGGAACAAGGACAACGACGGGAAACCGTACGGTGGGAGTTACGGATAGAGCGAAAGGTGACTGGCCTGTTAGGCCTGCCAAATTCGGATCGGATTGATTAGGTAACAAATGTAATTGTCCTTTTTTTGAAACTCGACTGTAACTCTGAGCTGTTGCCAGCGACTACGTTGGTTTCAATTTTATTTTCCTGTATGGTTCTATCCACCGTGCCAAGCTACAGCACAGAACTCCAATCGTCTAAGCAGCAATGACTTGAACTCAAACAATGCACTGACACCACGTACTGACACCGACCTTTCATTTACGATCCTCTACTATCCTCTAGTTGGGCCTGCGGGATGAATAACAACCTGAGGGTATATGTGTCTGTCCGCTCCTACTTCTGATGTACTCCTCGTATCATCCAGCTTCATCTCACAAGTATGTTCTCAATCCTTTTGGCATTCGACTCGGGTTCTGGAACATCCAATTTAACCTCTTTCGCAAGGTATTCGCAGAAAACTGATTTCATACGAAACAGCCAGATGCTTATTGAGACGCCTTGGAACCCAAGGGAAGGAAAGAAATCTGTGATCCCGCTGAATCAGGCAGGCATACTATTCCCATCATCAACCAAGTCTACGAGGTAGTACCGAGAGATTTCCCTGTTTACAATCTCAACAACATGTTACGGACATATACATGTCACTAGCATTTGTAGTTCATGAAGAATATCCTGTCCAGGAGTTCATCAGTTGCCGAATATAATCCTGATTTTTTATCCCAGGCTCGAGACTTCAGTCGCCCCATTGGAGATACATAATATATGTCAAGGCCTAGAGCCGCAACTCAACGGGGTGCATTCGTTTCTTTCTACTTTCTTTTTGGTCCAATTGCACTTTGACTTAAAATCATTGTCAAGGGGAAGCGATAATGCATACGGCACCATACCCATATCCGTACTCCTAATCATCCCGCACGAATCACAGCGATGCTTGTTGTGTACTTGTTATCTGTATCTGTCCCTCAAAGCGTTGCCAATCCCACCACCAGCCTTGCCCCTTCTCTCCTTGCCTTGCATCTTCTCATCCTTGTTGAAGCATGGATATGTTGAGGACAAAGAACAAACTCTTGATGGGGATAAGCACATAGGGCACAGCAGTATGCGGGATGACAGAAGAATGAAATAATGTCAATATACATGGGCAAAGGACAGGATAAAGATGATTACATTGTAGACTATGATGTTTACTGAGCTATGTAGTATATGTTTGTCTATAACCTCCAGCAGCCTGAACAGCCAAATTCCAACACTTCCATTGGATGTGAGGCCCAGAAAGAAAGGAGAGAAAGGCCCTCACAAAATAACAAACAGAAGATCAATATTGCAACCAAAAAATTTTGAAACAAAAGAAGAAAAAAATTCAAATAATTAACCAAAGACTAAACTGAACACTATGAGATTGGGTACTTTTTGGGAACATGAATCCCAAATGAAACAGAAGACACAAAATATAAGATATTGTCAAGTCCATGCCTCGGTGCCCCATTCCGAGATCTACCTTTATTGTAATCTCCTTCTTATTGTTCTTTCTTGCTACACATACCCTTTCATTCTAGTCTCTCCTTATTGTCTTTTACTCTACCCTGCAGGTACTACACGTATAGCTCCTAGTAGTTAGTCTAGCGCTCCGCACCGATGCGCCGATCCGTAGATATAAATACTGCCTGTACGCTACTGTAGTTCCTCAGTTTAATTATCGACTTAACTTAGTTCTCCTCTAAGTCTTCAGGCTCATCACCTTAGGACTCATAAGTTCTTTGGTTCGCTCCTCGTCGTCGGCGATACTGCTGTTCCGACTTGGCTGCTCCTGGCTTCTCTCTTCTCTACTTTCGATCTCCGGGGACTAACAGCGTAACGGCGGTGTTGTTAATAACTTCACCACTGTCCCACTTGACCTTTTGCTCTTAGACACCTTGTGGCCTCTGGCACGGTTACATGGTGTACATGATCTTAACAGTATAATTAAACTCAATCCGTTAATGTCGTACTGACATATCATTTTTTATGCCTCCGAGAACTCGAGCTCAATTTAGAGCTAACTCCGAAGAAAATACCTTCTTCACCACAGCCCAATCCTTTGCCCCTTTCTCCGAATCCATCTCTGCTATCGGTCAACCATGTCGCTGTAATCGCGGTTTCGGTCCAGCTACTGTTCCTACTACGTTGACTCTTCCTGAAGCTATGGAAGAAGAACAACAATTCGAGTACAGCACTTTGTACACTGGTGATGGACAACCTGTCCAAGTTTTGACCCCTCGCCATGGACAACCCCCCGTGGTTGCTCTGGCTCGGGGCCAATCCATCACTCGGATTGAATCTCCAATCCTCCAAGCTATAGCTCGTCGTACTGGAAAACAACCTCAACGTCATGCTACTTCACAATCTCCTCGTGACCCGCCTCCTCACTTCGATCTGGACACTGGTGATCACGACAATCAAGACCCTCCTGTCGAACCCGACGATCCAGGTGCCGACAACGACAATCCTGACCACAATGATCTGGATGAAGACTCCGGCAGTTTACTGCGTGGTGAGCCTGGTGGACCCTGTTCCCCAATCCCTCCTGACATTCCCAACAAGCAACGTGTCATGTTGGAACTCCTCTCAGGTTTCAAGGGTTCCATTGAAACCCTTGGTACCGTTCTCGCCGCTCTCGGCCGTCCCTCTGACAGCTCTGAATCCAAGAGCAAGGTCAAGGAGCCAGAGGTATTCAACGGTTTGGACCCCCAAAAACTCAAGACGTTCTTCGTCAATCTCGCCCTGGTCTTCAATAACCGTCCCAAGTATTTCACTGACCAACGGAAGGTGAACTACACTCTTTCCTACCTCAGTGGGTCAGCCAAAGAATGGTTAGTCCCTGATATCCTCGATCCGGATCTCGACTCGCTGCCGGCCTGGACGTCGTCCTTCAAGGCCCTTGTAAAGGAGCTACAGGACAATTTCGGCGTTTACGACGCCCAAGGCGAGGCCGAAGATTCTCTTGGTAATCTGAAGATGAAGGAAACCGAGAACATCCGGAAATACAATATCCGGTTCAACACCCTGGCTGCTAGTACCAACTGGGATTCTGCTGCCCTGAAATGGGCTTATGGACGAGGCCTAGCTGAACGCATTAAGGATGAAATGGCGCGTTTGCCCGAGCCAGCGACGCTCGCCGATTATCGTCAAGAAGTTCTTCGTATTGACAATCGTTATTGGAAACGCGAGGAAACTAGAAAGCGTGAGGCTGGTAAGCCTTTTGTTGCTCGGAACCCGAAGAAGGGTTCCTCGGACTTTAAGACTGGTTCTACTAACCAGCAAAACAACTCTCAGCCATCTGGCTCTTCGGCGCTGTTCACGCCGAAACCTAAACCCTTCTCTGGTGGTAAGCCCCAGAACTTTTCAAATTCCGGCCAATCCAGCGGTCAGCGCCCCGTGTTCAACCATCTTGGTGCAGATGGGAAAGTCCTTCCCTCCGAGAAGGAAAGAAGGATGAAGAACAATCTTTGTCTCTTCTGCGGTGGTAAGCATCAGATTGCTGACTGCAATAAGCGAAAGGCCCGAGAATCAAAGGGCCGTGCTGCCGAGGTTGAAGAAACCCCCGAAGCAACCATTGAGGTTGTTGAAGAGGAATTGGAAAACTAGTCCGCAGCTCTTGTTCCCTGGTACGAAACGGGAGCTGCATTGATCAGGTTCGTACCTCATCTGGGGAGTTATATCTCAACGTGTCCGCTCTTTCTTCCATTGAACGCTCTCTTGTAATATCTTTAACTACTGAATTCTCGTTATCCGATTCGGCCGAACCTGTCTCTGCTCTTCTTAAATTTCCTACTCTTGTTGGTTCTGGTTCTACTGACTGTTTTATTGATACTCGTTACGTTTCTCAAAATTCCATTCCTACGACCAAAATCTCTCCTGTTAATCTTCGTCTCTTTGATGGTTCATTATCTTCTAAACCCATTACCGATACGGCGAATATCGCCGTTTGGTTTCCTTCTGGCGAGCTGCTTCTATTACCCTTTTATGTTACTCATTTAGATTCATCCTGTAAAGCAGTATTAGGTTACAGTTTCTTATCCCGCTACAATCCGTTGATTGACTGGGCATCTCGAAACATTATGTTCCGTAACACTTCACACTTTGATTCTCCACAGACGTCTGTGCCTTCTGCTATCAACCCCGTTGTTGCAAAGGTCGCTGTTCCGCTACCGGAACCTTCGCCGTTGGTTTTACTGACAATTCCGGAGACCCCCCCTGGGGACTCACCTCGCTCTCGCTCTCGCTCCCGCTCTTGGACGTTACGGGCTAAGCCCCTCTCGTCTAAATTCCCCTTTGAACCCATCTATTCTTACCCTATGGTTTCTCAATTCGCTGCTCAACTGGAAACTCCCGAGGTTGACATTGCACTTGTCAGTGCTGCAGTGTTTAATAGGGCTTGCAAGGACGCTGGTATGGAACCCATCCTTCTTCGTGCTATCCACTCAGAGGTCGCAGCCCGCGCCGCCGACCGCTCCTCCACCACTCCTACTGTCCCTCCACTCCATCCTTCTATCCCAGAAGAGTACACCGAGTTTGCAGACGTCTTCGACGAGATTGCTGCAGATTGACTTGGAAGAGGGCACTTCGCCGCCTCTCGGCCGTATTTACCCTTTGTCTGAAAAGGAGTTAGTCGCCCTTAAAGACTTCATTGCCAAACAGCTGGCTACTGGTGCCATCACCCCATCATCCTCTCCTCACGGCGCTCCAGTCCTTTTTGTCCCAAAGAAAGACGGCAAACTTCGCCTTTGCGTTGATTTCCGTGGACTCAATCGTATTACCAAAAAGGACCATTACCCACTCCCACTCATATCAGACCTTCTCAACGCTCCGAAAAGAGCTAAAATATACACCAAATTGGATCTCGCTCACGCTTATCATCTGGTCAGAATCGCTGAAGGTGATGAATGGAAGACCACCTTTCGGACCCGTTACGGCTCCTACAAATGGAAGGTTATGCCGTTCGGCCTTATGAATGCCCCTGGGGCTTTCCAACGGTTTGTTAATGACATCTTCTCTGACATGCTCAATGTTTGTGTCATCGT